CGACAGATGAGGAGGCGGTCCGATCGAGCTTCAAAAGATGTGCTGCAGAGCTGGGTCTCCCAGAAGAGCAGAATAAGAGGCAAGGCTCTGCTCTCGCTGATGCGGAGGCTGTCCAGGCGGTGCTCCGATGGCTCCGCGATAGAATGGAGCCGGATGATGAATGGCTGTGTATCGTTGATAATGCCGATGACCTCCGCTGGGGAATTCAGAAGATAATGCCACAAGGGGGAAGAGGAAAAATTATTATTACTAGTCAGAACACCTTGAGCCAAAAGCTAGTTTCCGGGGGGTGCGAGCAGCTTAAAGTCGATATCATGTCGCCGCTAGAAGGAAGGAGACTTCTTCTCCAACATCTCAAGCTGGATGTAGTCTCAGCACCCGGAGAAATCCAAAACAGCTGCGATAAGATGGCGCAAAAGCTTGGATACCTAGCACTTGCTGTTGACCTTGCAGGCGCCTATATTGGCAACGACCCTGATCGTGAGGGTGCTCTGACGCAGTATCTAGCAGACTACGACACGCATTGCGACGAGCTCTTGCAAATGGATAGTTTTCGGGGACTTTTGCCAACGGAGAAGACAGTGTGGACGGTATGGGACACGACACTCCAAAGAATTACGAGAGAGAACCCAATACTACAGCCTAATTTGCTTTTAACGTTTCTTGCACACTTCAAGGGCACTATTGTTCAGGATGAGATGTTTCGACTAGCAGCTCTTGGCTGCGCTTTCGTCGATGATGAGCTCGTCGAAGGAATACCTACAGAGCTTCGAAAACTTTTCTTATCTAAAAGCGGTGAATGGGACAGTTTTCCATACCGGCAGAGCCGCGACGTACTGCTCCGCTATAGCCTGCTGCAGCTTGTGGACGGTGAATGGCGTGGCGTCATCATGCACAGGCTGGTTCAGTGGCGGGCACTACAAAGCGAACAAAGTCGAGGATGGGGTTGGTGGTATATAGTGTTTATACTAGCAGCGTGCCAACAACTTAGCGAGGACGAACGCCAGCCCGAGTTCCGTCGACATTTGATAGTGCATCTCCCACATATTTCCGAAATTCGCGGTAATGATGGTGTAGATTCGGAGAGGCAACATGATTTTATACGGAGCACGTTGAGTAGGGTTTTTTATAGTGAAGGCCGGTGGGAGGAGGCCGAGGAGCTGGAGGTGCAGGTGATGGAGACTCGCAAGACGAAGCTCGGGGCGGACCATCCCTCTACACTTACGAGCATGGCCAACCTAGCGTCGACGTACAGGAACCAGGGCCGGTGGGAGGAGGCCGAGGAGCTGGAGGTGCAGGTGATGGAGACTCGCAAGACGAAGCTCGGGGCGGACCATCCCGATACACTTACGAGCATGGCCAACCTAGCGTCGACGTTTTGGAACCAGGGCCGGTGGGAGGAGGCCGAGGAGCTGTTTTTGCAGGTGATGGAGACTCGCAAGACGAAGCTCGGGGCGGACCATCCCGATACACTTACGAGCATGGCCAACCTAGCGTCGACGTACAGGAACCAGGGCCGGTGGGAGGAGGCCGAGGAGCTGGAGGTGCAGGTGATGGAGACGAGCAAGACGAAGCTCGGGGCGGACCATCCCTCTACACTTACGAGCATGGCCAACCTAGCGTCGACGTACAGGAACCAGGGCCGGTGGGAGGAGGCCGAGGAGCTGGAGGTGCAGGTGATGGAGACGAGCAAGACGAAGCTCGGGGCGGACCATCCCTCTACACTTACGAGCATGGCCAACCTAGCGTCGACGTACAGGAACCAGGGCCGGTGGGAGGAGGCCGAGGAGCTGGAGGTGCAGGTGATGGAGACGAGCAAGACGAAGCTCGGGGCGGACCATCCCGATACACTTACGAGCATGGCCAACCTAGCGTCGACGTTTTGGAACCAGGGCCGGTGGGAGGAGGCCGAGGAGCTGTTTTTGCAGGTGATGGAGACTCGCAAGACGAAGCTCGGGGCGGACCATCCCGATACACTTACGAGCATGGCCAACCTAGCGTCGACGTACAGGAACCAGGGCCGGTGGGAGGAGGCCGAGGAGCTGGAGGTGCAGGTGATGGAGACGAGCAAGACGAAGCTCGGGGCGGACCATCCCTCTACACTTACGAGCATGGCCAACCTAGCGTCGACGTACAGGAACCAGGGCCGGTGGGAGGAGGCCGAGGAGCTGGAGGTGCAGGTGATGGAGACGAGCAAGACGAAGCTCGGGGCGGACCATCCCTCTACACTTACGAGCATGGCCAACCTAGCGTCGACGTACAGGAACCAGGGCCGGTGGGAGGAGGCCGAGGAGCTGGAGGTGCAGGTGATGGAGACGAGCAAGACGAAGCTCGGGGCGGACCATCCCGATACACTTACGAGCATGGCCAACCTAGCGTCGACGTTTTGGAACCAGGGCCGGTGGGAGGAGGCCGAGGAGCTGTTTTTGCAGGTGATGGAGACGAGCAAGACGAAGCTCGGGGCGGACCATCCCTCTACACTTACGAGCATGGCCAACCTAGCGTCGACGTACAGGAACCAGGGCCGGTGGGAGGAGGCCGAGGAGCTGTTTTTGCAGGTGATGGAGACTCGCAAGACGAAGCTCGGGGCGGACCATCCCTCTACACTTACGAGCATGGCCAACCTAGCGTCGACGTTTTGGAACCAGGGCCGGTGGGAGGAGGCCGAGGAGCTGTTTTTGCAGGTGATGGAGACTCGCAAGACGAAGCTCGGGGCGGACCATCCCTCTACACTTACGAGCATGGCCAACCTAGCGTCGACGTACAGGAACCAGGGCCGGTGGGAGGAGGCCGAGGAGCTGGAGGTGCAGGTGATGGAGACTCGCAAGACGAAGCTCGGGGCGGACCATCCCTCTACACTTACGAGCATGGCCAACCTAGCGTCGACGTACAGGAACCAGGGCCGGTGGGAGGAGGCCGAGGAGCTGTTTTTGCAGGTGATGGAGACGAGCAAGACGAAGCTCGGGGCGGACCATCCCTCTACACTTACGAGCATGGCCAACCTAGCGTCGACGTACAGGAACCAGGGCCGGTGGGAGCAGGCCGAGGAGCTGTTTTTGCAGGTGATGGAGACGAGCAAGACGAAGCTCGGGGCGGACCATCCCGATACACTTACGAGCATGGCCAACCTCGCTTTAACTTGGAAAGCTCAAGGTCGACAGGCAGATGGTTTGGTGTTAATGCAGGGCTGTGCGCAGGCTCAGCAACGAGTCCTAGGGCCAGAGCATCCAAATACTCTGTCGACTCAAGCCATCATAGAAGATTGGAGCATCTAGAATGCATGTCCTTTTGCTCTGTAATTATGAGCTGTTGGACTTTCTTTACTTGTGTTCTGTTAACCCGTTATTACTCAACTTGTTGGTCTTGAATTTTCCTTATAGCCTACATTTATCGTGCATTTTCTCGGGCGTTGAGATTCAACACCGGCTCGGTTTAGATGGTGACCACATCACCTTAATCAGACCATATATTTATTACACGCCACTGGCACATTCATATCCTGTGAGTCGGCACAGTCTCTCCTTAGTGCAGTAGCTATTTGAAGGGCTAAGTCCCCTGATATCTAGAGTGTCTATGTGCTGGTGTTTTTATTAGCTGCTAGCATGATATGCTTGGACCACGTACCATGATACGTAAACACATTAATCATCTTAGGGGTAGCGGTGCCTAGGTACCCTTGAGATAGTATCTCGTCCAGGCTTCTTGGTGATCCTGCACTGCAGACTTGCTGCAGCCAAAATGGTGGCAGATAATGACAGTACTTCTAACTTGAATGTAAACCGAGCTGGCCATGACACCGAGCTGGCCACCCTTACATAACCTCACATAGAAATTTTACGATAGTAAAACCACAACGCCGTAAATCAATTGAAACTACTCTGAATCTTCCTCTCCAGAAGATGGCAATGCGATCTTACAAGTTCGCGCATTATGCCCAGTCCCGTTGCAAATACCACAGCGCCTCGGGCGCGTTTCAACACGCTTTGCGCGACCACCATTTCGGCGCTCTTCTTGCTGTATCTGCGTCGCCAACTCCCTAGAGTCCCGTAGGTCCTGTCCTTCTTGGAAAATAAGTGATTCTCCTTCCCGTAATTGCATTTTTTTAGTCCTCCGACGCCGGCTTAGCATCTTATTTGCCTCTCGAAGCTCAGCGCACTCGGCCCGTACGAGGGCGAGCCGCCGTTTTTACGCGTTTGGAGGGTGCTTCGGGGGACTTGGTACGTTTTTGCCGCTTGTCGGAGACTAAGTTTTTGTTCATTTTTGAGAGCTTGAAGGGCTAGCATTAAGTCTGCTTCGTTGTATGACTTTGCCATAATTGGTTGTTGAGAAAATCAAACATTAAGTTGGTCGGTCGCGTTGGCGCATGAAAGTGGCCAGCTCGGTGTCATGGCCAGCGGTGTACATTCACGTTAGTAAATTAAATAATTGAGAAGTCTGGGATTGAGCGCCAAGGTTATGCCCTAGGCCGAAGGCGGTGTAGCGGCAATTGCACTTTGGTGGTCAAACCCTTCCCAGCTACAGATACAACCTACAGAAGAGTAGAGAGACACAACAATCCAGACAGGCTCGCCAAAGAGTCATCAATAGAGGATTGAATCCCTCAAAAAGTGTTTAAAGATATAACACCTTATAATAGTTAAATGCTCTAGAGAAGCTAGTGAGCAATAACGATACTGGTAATTCCTCAAACCGATACAAACTGCTCTCTCCTATCCCTCAAGTATTTTTCCGGTGTGAATATCCTAGGAAAGGGGGCGAAGCAAGGTTACCTTATCGAGCTTCTCTAGACAAACGTCGCCGCGTACGAAGGAGGCCCAGTAGGTTGCCTGAGCTGCTTTGCGCCTGTGGTACGACGTTTTTGTCATTAGCTGAAATACGAGTCCGAGGGAAATGAAAGGAAGAGGGAATATAAATACAAACGACAGCGGTGAGGCAAGACGAAGTATTTATGATAAACCGTCGACCTCACTCACTATTAAGCATGATGGTATCTGCGATGTCAGGCTGAGTAATAAAGTCGGTCCCAGGGTTCTGATTGGATTGGTGGGCGGGTCATATGGGGCGAATTGGTGCAATCAAAAACGGAGGCCTCGACGTCGCAGCTGCTATCTTGCTCCGCCAACAACACCGCGCCGACATTGAAAGTCGTCCGCAAACCCATCCGTCACGTCGCGAACGAAGCCGATTTATGATCTGCTGTCCATATAACCACATGCGATCGCATCCAAACACGCACTCCATTCTTCAATCATCCGAAATCGTCAATTTAATCCTTCTCCCACGTCATTCTCTTCCCAACCGCCAAGATGGGAAAAGCAGAGGTCGGCTCGACCAGGTACCTGAACAACAAGATGAAGTCCAAAGGACTCCAGCGGTTGCGATGGTTCTGTCAGGTCTGCGAGCGACAAATGCGCGATGAGAACGGCTTCAAGATGCACACACAGTCTGAATCACATGTCCGACAGATGATGCTGGTGGGCGAAGATCCGAAGAAGTTTATCAACGAATACAGTCGCCAGTTCCAGCGTGACTTCCTACAACTGCTGCGTACCGGTCATGGCGAGAAGCAGGTCCAGATAAATCACTTTTACCAGGAGTACATCGCCAACAAGGAGCACGTACATATGAACTCGACGAAATGGCCGAGTCTGACTGAGTTTGCCAAGCATCTGGGGCGCGAAGGCCTCTGTCGAGTCGAGGAGAATGACAAGGGGATTCATATCGCATGGATCGATGACTCGCCCGAGGCCTTAAGGCGGAAAGAGGCAGTGAAGAGGAAGGAAATGCAAGACAAAGGTGACGAAGAGCGCGAGCAGAGGATGATTAGAGAACAGGTCAAGCGTGCGCAGCGAGAAGCGGCAAAGAAGCAGGCTGGAGGTGCAGACCGTGAGGACGACGAGGATGAGGAAGAACTGGCACTGAAGAGAGGCGAGGGTGAGAAGATCAAGCTGTCGTTCGGCGCAAAGCCGGCTGCGAGTACAAATCCTGCGTTATCCCCAGATAAAGAAGATGAACCTACACTGGAGTTAGCCGGCACAACGGAAGTACCAGTCCCGGAGAAGCCAACCGTTGCGCCCGTATCTATGAAGATGACCGCAAAGCCGCAACCCAAGAATGTGTTCGCAACAGCCAAAAAGAACGCTCTTGCTGGAGGCGCGAAAAAGCCATCGCCATTTCAGCAACCGCGGAAGATGAGCGAAGCCGAACGGATCATGAAGGAAGAGATGGAGAAGACCAAGAAGAGGTCTGGGCCCGGTTTCAACTTCGGCTCCTCTAATAAGAAGCAGAGGACGGATTAAAGCAGCACGTCCTCACAGTGTGATTAATCCGGAAACACAGGTGCCAGAAATTGATGAACCCTCAGTGTGCCCAACACTGAATGGCATGCTTATAGCAGCGCATACATTCGAGGGGAGTTTGGTACTTAACCACGCCATTGCGCCGATTTTTATCAGGTTGAAACTGATGGAAAGCATTACAACAAACGGTACGTCTATGGCACAGTCGTAGTCGTAGGTGTATTTTGCGAAATGCTAGACTCGACTCTGCCTTTCACGGTTGGCACTGGCACCAGGAAGATATAAACAGAAACTTATATAACCCGGAGCATCTATATGCATGCTGTCTCAAGCTCATGCTTGCTTCTTCTATGGTATGTTTATGCCATCCTGTGGTCTACTCGACAAATGCTCATGAAATCTTTGTGACAATCAGCTCCCCCTTATCTTCCCCGTCCAACTCCAAGAAGCTGCCACTCTCCAGCTTTTTTGTCCATTTCGTACTCTCGTACCTGGCTAAAATCAGGGTCATGCGCAAAGGCGCATGGTCGCTTGAGTTGTGCTCCGCAGTCTCGTCCGCCAGTGGTGTGAACGTCCACCTCCCGAATGCCCAATTCAGGATATATCTCTGGGAGGGATGTGGTGGCGTAGGCAACGACTCATCTTCGCCTGAACTTCGAACTGTCGAGGATGCCGTCAAAACCGACTTGATCCTGTATACCTCGTCTTTCGGGGCTGCGTTTAGCAAAGCCATCAGCTTGACTGAGGAGACAGCTGATCCCTCCTTTCCCTTCAGAGTGACCGACAGGACTTCGACTTCGGTTTGATGGTCGTGGCTGTGATCGTGCCCATGTTCATTCCTTGCCGTGGCCTCCTCGGTCAGAGTTCGAGCGAGGCCACCATCTACGCCAAATATCACATCCACAGGAACGCGTCCCTTGTCGCTCTTGACCCATGCAATATCGACTTCCAAATCTCCAACTCGGTCCAGAACCTCGTCGAACCGCCGCTCATCACAGCTCTCCCACTTATTAAACACAATCAAGTCAGTGTATTTCACCTGTACTCTGGCCGTGTAACTTGTGTCTTCGTAACCCTTCCAATTCTCAACATCAATAACGCTTACGACGCCGTCGAGAGTATAATTCCCCGTTTCCCGCGCCAACCGATTCACCTCCATCGCCAATGTGGCAGGGAATGCCGACCCAGATGTCTCGACGACAATACGATCCGGCGTAACGGATTTCTGCAGCTCGGCGAGTGCCTCCGAGAGCTGCCCAACTAAGTTGCAGCATATGCAACCGTTGAGTAGCTCTTGTACACCAGAGATGGCGGATGACGTGGCTAGCTGGCTATCGATCGCGACATCGCCGAACTCGTTCTTGAGGAGGGCGAGCTTGTAGGTGGGGTTTGCGGCGCGGAGCTGGGGAAGGAGGTTAAGGAGAAGAGTCGTTTTCCCTGAGCCCAGGAAGCCGGTGATGATTGTTATTGGTATAGGCGCCATCGTGGGTGGTAGGGGTGAGTTGGAAGGTGTTCGTGGACGAACATTCGATTGGAATAAACAACTTTTTCAAGCCATGTCATCAGCTGTTGTAAAAAAGTCCCGCTTCCGGCACTCATACGACTTGCCTCTGGGGCTTATCGCCCATGGAGGGGTACCGACATTAGCGTTATCTTAGCGCGGGGCAGGGGTCGATGCGCCCATGGAATCGGGAAACGGCACAAGAGAAATGACGTAGCCGGTGTTACCCGGTGTTGAAACTACTACATCTTGCCCAGCATCTGCCAACTCGCGCAGGTATCCTCGTAGTGATATCACACTTCAGATTAGCCTTTCATAGGATATTCGCAAGGGCTGTTATCTCAACCACACAACCCCCTACAAACAATCCCTTAGTCCTTGGCTCTGTTGCCAACCCAAAATCTTCACATCACCTCGACTAGATATTACCCCATGTCTTCCTCAACGGGAATCCTCTCTTCCACAAGCGAAGAGCAACACACATCAAGCTTCAAGGAGCAGCTGGACCAGAAGGCCAAAGATGACCGTCACCCACCAAGCACCGAGACCGAACCTGGCACCGCGCAGATACTTAAGGAGAAAGGTACGACATTGCCCCCATGTACCACCACATTTGTTGGAACGTCCATACATGTACTCACACTCCAAATAGTGAACCACTACGTCCCAGCCGCAGCTAAGATCCTGGGGACCGATGCAGAGCAGAAGGAAGACGAACGCACGACTCCGCCCAAGGAGACCCATAGCTTCCCTGCACGTCCCAGCCATGACGCGAATATTGAAGACTTCATTCGTGATCAGCATAAGAGTAAGAAGGGGGCAGATGGGCAGCTGGCCGAGGTGTAGAGCGGATTGCCTCTTATCTCGGTGGAAGTGTACACTTTGGGACGAACGCTGGCGGCCCGCGTTTCTGGACGGTATTCTGATAATGGGGACTTGAAAGGGAATGGAATGGAATGGAATGACATATGATAGGGCGTCGAGTGGGTAAATAAGCAGGGCATACTCTATTACTGTTTTCCTTTTACGCGCGGTTTTTGACGCAAGCAATATCTGCATCCTCGTTAACTCTGGGGTGTTGTCTATAAGCTCGGTAATTTTTACCAAGCTGCAAATAAGATGTTTAATGGAACTTTTGAGGAGCAGATTCGGGAGCCTAACACACTTCATGCTGGATTGCAGTGCTTAGGCATTTGCTTGCACCTAGAAGGTACACTAGCACAGATTCAATATTGCTCTGCTAAATGCAAAACAGAATTGTGCCAACTTCGTGGATGGCCATGTTGTGTTGTTTCAATGTATTGTAGGAAAACTGCCATCATGTTTCACTACTTAAGGATATAAATCTCGAACTATGTACAAGACGAGAGTGATATAAAGAGAAAACGAAGATATTTTACTCGAATTCGTATCGAGGATATCGCACCCGTACATAGGTAGTAATCCCCACCTCATCATATGACTTATATATCCAGTTCTCAGAAAGAACAAAGAACCTTCAGTCGCAGCGTGCTAATGCCATTCAATTAGAAATTAGATCGTCTATCGAGTAAAAGTGAAGACTAATACTTAAGCAAGTTCCATAAGGTCGTCAGTATAAAACGCCAAGGAATCTCCAACTCAGCATGCGTGTACTTAAATTAAAGGCAAGTGCAACGAAAAGGGACCGGCTTCACTAACCTAGTGACATGCTTCCTTAACTGTATTTCATCCACCACAACTGCCCATCACAGCACATCCAGTGCCTTCCACATTTCATAACAGCGCTTGATACCTAGGCAACTCACCAAATGTCCCAACCAGACCCAAGCACCCTAGCCTCACCCAATGCGCCATCTTGGGCGCCAAGTTCCCCGAATTCATGCTGTCTGACGGGACAGTCGTGAAGATGCGAACGGTTTAGGGCCTGTTCGTCAATATCAGAGCCTACGATGCCAGTGATCCGGCCGATAAGGACAAGAACGCGCCGTGTTAGAAAGTTATGGCGGTTGCGATTCTACTGCTGAAGAAAGTCGGTCAATTGCATCACCCTAGAAGCATGTGATGCGGAATCTGGAACGCTGCTGCTTATTGGAATTTGAACGGACAGACATGGTTCTCCTGTCCACGTCGAAACAATGGATAGACACGACGAGCCTGGGCAAAAACTTGTAGGGGATTTGGCGTTGCGGAAAAACTTGATCAGAGGGTGTTTCATGGTGGGGGAATAATAAGGGATAGGCAGGTATTGATGGTGAACTTGTGGCAGCTTGAGTTTTGTGTAATGTACACTATCTTATATACTCTCTACTATCAGAAACGTTCCGCAGCGGTTCCAGCGCGCTCTTGGCCGTTGTTACGATGTCAACTCACAAAGATACCTTACCGCCTTCGCTTGGCCGATCTGCGACGTCCTGATGTACAATCAGTAAACGGCAACATAAGTGCTAGCCAACCCGATTCATTACTCACCTTCCACGCCTCATCGAAGCCCGCGTTACGCACCCAAGTTGGTCCCGGTGCCTCGACCGAATCAGCAACCAAATGCCCGACCTTATTCCATAAGTCGCCCTTAATGAACATTCCTTGTTCGTCTTCGTATGGTTTGCTAACATGTTGGCCTACACCGATTGCTCGGAATAGCTTGATAGCGTGGCCATCTTCGACCAAGTTGTGCATTCTGGGGAGTAACTCTGGACTTCATTAGTACATCCTAAAGCGAATGGCAGTGTAGCTCAATATCACGTACCGATAGTTGGTCCTGGGTTCTTATCTTTTGGTACGTACAACGCAATCTTATCCACTAATATCTTGGGGCATCCTCTGGCGGCATATTGGAGTAAATCCATGCGAATTTTCCATTCCAAAATTCGCACCTTGTTCTCGGTGGAGATCCAATCCTGTTTATTGAGAACGATAAAGATGGGAGAAACATTGACATGATGTCTGTGTGTTTAGAATCGAGGATTTAGTGAGTGGGGATCCGGTACTTACATCAGAAAGAATTCATACTTGGGATCCTTTCCCGGATAGACTGCGGCACAAGAAGCTTCATAGATTGCTGCGTTGAACATTTCGGCCGTTCTTTGGTCTAGCTCTTCAGGCAGCACTTTCACCTGTCCGCAATACTTGATTGCTTCTTCCCACGCTCGAGCCAGGACTCCATCACGGATCTTGTTGCTGTCATCTAGTCGAGGTGAGTTTCTCAGTTTATCGTCCTTGGCCAAGGTGTTGAGAAGAGACACGATGGTCGGCATGGGCGTCGGTGCAGACTTTGCCTTTTCCTCAGCCGTGATGAGTAACTTTCGGAGCTCGTCTTCGTGCACGCAGGCCTGGGCCAGCGCCATCGCGACAATGGCGGGTTGATCCCACTCCACACCGTACATCAGCTGTATAAGAGGGTGGAGAAAGCCTGGGGACGAAATTCAATACCACAGCCTAGAATACAAAGGATGAATAGGGGCGGGACCCCAAGACGCACCTGAAAACATCCTGACCATCATGTCCTCGCATCTCTCGTCGCCCTTGAACATGTACTCGGCCAGTGCCTTCTGCCAACCTAGTCGTTCGATCTCATGTTGGTAGAAGTGAAGCCAGTCCGTGTAATACTTCGCCTTGCCCAAATGCTTCTTCGCTTTCTCCCAGTCCTTGAGGTCCTCAACCAGATTTCCATGCGCCTTCACCGATGGACGCTGGTATCCTTCATTCTCAATGTACCCCTTCACGAGGTCTTCAGCCGACGCCCCTGTGCCGTACAAGGCGAGGATATGGTGGCTGATGCTGTGGAAATATTAGAAACCCGAGACTCCGCTGAAAAAGAAATGTAGGCGACTTACTGGTTGTGAAATCCACCATCGTTAAAGAACACGTGGTGTTGCTGATATTATTTTTAGATAAGACCTCATTTTGCAAGCCAAAAACCAGTATGACGTACGTTCATATCCTTTTGCAGCAACTCGGTAGCTTTCTCGGCCGCAGATTCATCCTGACCAAAATGCCACAAACCGGTGTTTTCGGGAGTGATCTTGATTTTGTATGCTGTCGCCATACTTCTGAAGTGTTGTTTCTGGGAAAGTGTTATTCGAAAAGTGCTGCATATGAGTCGCAGAGGTAGGACTCTAGCGGAAGCCATCGAAAGTTTGGGCACCTTTAAGTGAATAACAACCAGGCGTCAACTTCATCTCATGACGTTTGTTAGCTTCCCCTTATTGCAGCTCTTAGTATCCGGTCCGACCTCTGGACGGTACGAAATGTGCGTTTGTCTCGGTTTTGCGTAGTTGCGGTTGCAGCTTACAAATGAAGCCCGGCTTTCAAAATATGCGGGGATGTAGCATCCGACCGAGCTGTAGAATACTGCATTTACAGGCGTACTAGCTCCGTTTTACCTCAGCTTACCAATTTGTACCTCCTACAAGCAGAAGCTAGGTAAGGTTCCCGTCAGGCTGTCGGACAGATGAGAGCGAGGTCATACATATCCAATCATTTCCTCACCGTACGACAACCCCGTCATTGTTACGTCAACCTTATGTGCTTGAGAGCGAATGAAACTTCTCAAACCGCGTGATGGACGTGTAGATTTCCGTTTCTACTGGAGTCTGAGCTGAGTTGCCATGCAGAATTCGCACACCACTCCAGCTGCTCGATGATCAAGCAGGTGTCAGCATGACAAGCCGATATAAACTCAAATATGACGCCATGGCTGGACACCATTACTGAACACCTTGATTACGGCGTACATTCCCCCATTGTTATGCCAAAATGGGGGTAGAAAAAGTTGGACGGAAAGATGGCCTCGCCTTTAGACGAGCAACTGTATGGACATAATACACAGACTCCCTTGCATGATACAACTTACAAACGTACCGTCTATGACGTAGCTCCCATGTGTATTATAATCATACTAGCAGTAGCCGACCTGCAGACCTATCCGCCTCTATATCATACCTGTGTGCATATGTGGCCTATCATACCTCTATGAAGAGAGGATGTCTACATGTAGGAAAATCCCTAGCCAATTTGACCGTAGAAAGTCACATACCTTGATGATTTATCAAGAATTGTTCCGTAGAGCTTTCGTACCGGGTCCTGCGAACGCTCACATAAATCCATCTAGTCTCAATCAGTAGCGATTTCAGTTCAGCAACTATACTTTGGAGTATATCGAAAACTTCGATTCCTCACGCAGACAGCATGACCTTGGCCCCAAGTCGAACCTTACTGGACGGACAGTCAGCAACGCCTATCAAGCCTTGCGGCGATATCTTCAGGTCTCCATTCCATCTCGTCGAAGTTGAACCATGTCTCGGCCACTTTGGGCACGCTCTCGGACACAGCGTACGAGGATTACCAGTCTCCTCGATCTCCCCTCCCCCAGAGATACGAAAGCAAATTTACCGCCACTGCTTGGTCTTCCGGTCTGTTATTAGTATGGATTTCCTAATCTCGAATTTAACTGGCCTCACCCAGATCTGGACAAGAGCCTCCTCGTCGTGTCAAGATAAGTCAGCACAGAGGCATTAGACGTGCTATACGGCCAAAAGGCGACCGCTACTACGATGGCCGGAATGTTGTGGGGGATGTACAGGCATGGTTTGTCTGACGGAGACGGATCTTGAGGGCGTCGTAGCACATCTATCGGGCGAGATAGTGGTTGAAGCTGATGAAGGCGAACGGATGGAGACGGTAGAAATTCGTGGTTCATGATTCTCGCCTAGATATCAGAAAGTGATGAACCGGGCTGGGTATTTGATATTTGACAGGGGAATGTTCCAAGGGGATGGTTTTGGAGGAATCGACAAACCAGAATGAAGCTAAGTGAGGCTTTGGATGCTAGGAAGCATGAATCAACGGCGGACTCGACCTATGTTCGCCGCTACGAATATTACACAAAATAGAGCTCAGGAGGTGTGTGATAGTCTACCCGAGGACACGATCACTGCAAATCCGAGGGGACACAGAAGACTAGAAACGTTCGCGATGGACTAGGTCAGTCATATCCATGCCTTTTGACGGTCTCGAATGCCCGTTCAGGCTGCTTAACGTGGTCGGTCGTATGGGATGAGTTACAACAAACACAATTATCTGTTCAGCAGTGGAGAGTGGAAACCGCATCGGGGACAGAGACGAGTAACAATCCTAATACCGACGGTGTCTGTTTTCAAGGGGCTTCCTTTCGCCACATTACATAAGCTCAGGTCAGGCTCAACTCAGGCTCAAAAGGTTTGTCTTCATCTTTGGCCTTCAACTAGCGACCGGTGTGTTTGATTGACTGTGTGGGGTGAGCACACTTATCGCCCAAGCCATTTAGGGCCAGACGGAGAAGCAGTGGCGTTGGAACCTCCAGAGCTACTGCGCCTTTAGTTACTAGTGAGTCGAGGTCTTTTCGACATTTCGTGGCCTTCTCAGCGAAGGATGCAAACCCATTATTGCAGCCGAAGAGATTGAATTGCAGTTGGAAGGCTAAGAATACACTGTATTGCCAGCTGGTTCGAGCCTTTTAGTAGATCAAGCCTTCAACGTCTGAGGTGTAATTGAACTGTTCCAGTTTTGCAAGGGTTGTTTGCTTTTGTTTTTCTCTCGGGGCAATCACTGCCTCAACAGCATGGTAGCACAGACCACTCATCAGTCGCAGCGTGCTAACGCCGCGTAGCTTCCCCAACACTTTGGTAGCATTGTTCGACTCGACATCTTCTTCCAGGCCTTCTCAGCTGGAAGATGCCATCGTCGCCGTTATGGTCATCTTTTGATCAGCGATCAGTAAAGCCTGATCATTCTATGACAATCCGCCATATGCAGCTTGAAAACATGCCTCCCCTGCTACTCAATCGCTGCCCTACCAATCGGCCGGGTTCAAGATCCTTCTGCCTAGCCGCGCCTCATGATAAAATGACACGGCGGGCTAATGTTGCTACGTTATGGCCAAGTTCGACCAATCCGCATCGCGGGAACGGATTGACACTCATGCTTCATCATGCCGTCGCATGGGTCGTTTCCCAGCTGAAGTTAGATGAAGCCACTAATTTGACCGGCTTTACAGGAAACAGCGAGGCACCAGGGGTTTTTTACGATTGAGGACCGATCGAGAGACATGCGCGTGCTATTGCCGTCGCCTAGTAGTCGAGTGACACAGTTGAGGTCCCCTGGATAGCGCAGTCGCCAATTCTTCTCCGGTCATTCTAATTTGTCGAACTCTCTCTTCCCTTACATTTCCATATTTCGACGGCTTGTCTTCATTCTTGCCGTCGTCCGTTCGTTCGTTTCTCTTTTCCCAATGAGGGGTATACGCTCTCTTTTCGTTTTACCATCGGTTTTGGGGAGTATTGTCAGAGGTGCCGTCGATGATGGCTTGTCGCGGCGAGGTGTTGACAACCCAACCCCAGAAAACTTCCGCCGCCATGCTTTCCCCGCGGCCGTGGTGATTGGCGACTATGTTTATATAGATGGCGGCGAGATGTCTCAAGCAGAAGGTGGTCAGGAGCCCAGTGAGAGCAAACCCTCGTATGCCAGTAGGTCCTCCATTCGCGATGTATCTCGGCTAGCGCTCCCCGTCTTGAGTGCCTGGATGTATGTGGTTGACGCGAGGCGTAGTGAACTCAACCCTTTCATTACCCATCAAATCGTCATGGACAAACGACAGTGTTTCTATTCGCTCCATCACGAAGAAAGCGCCCCTACAAAATCAACAGATATACTGGAACGATCCAGCGGTCAACTCTTTTTATACGTGGGGCGGAATGACGGCGAATTGGGGGGAGGCTGCCGACAATGAAATATGGAAATTCCTTGCGGATGGCGAAGGGGGTGGTGAATGGAGCAAGGTCACACTCTCGACAATTGTAGCCTTCAGCAACTCACTCCGGCCTATAGGTGCTGCATTTACTACCCACAACGGTGTGGGATATGCTCTTGGGGGTGATGTGAGCATACGTACAGATACAAGCATCTCGGGAAACCTGACCACGGCAATACCGGGTTACGTTACCTTCGATATGCGTAATCTCACATTCACGAACTCCAGCTCCGACGGTTTCGAAAAATACGGCACGAACATGAATGGACGTGCTGAATTTATACCATTTGGACCGGATGGACTCCTCATATTCTTGGGCGGGTCCGAAGCCCCAGTTGGCGGTGTGACCGAGTACGATCAACTCGATTGGAACAGTCTCTCGATGCTCGACCCCAAGACAAACAAGTGGTACAGCCAGAAGACGACAGGGTCAAAGCCCACAACGAGGGAACGCCATTGCACTGTTGGGGTTGCCGGCCCAAATGGGACATACGAAATGCAAGAGATACTTCCTCGACGTGAAATGGGATTACGACTAACCTTTTGATGCGTAGCTTCATATACGGCGGAATGTCGGATCAGACGACCAGCTCCTCCGACGAAGTCTTCGTGCTTTCACTTCCCGGCTTCGTATTCTTCAAATCCTCCAGCCTAGGTACGCCGCGTAACGACCACGCTTGTGTCGTAGTAGGAAAGCGGCAAATGCTGAGCGTGGGTGGCACCAACGGCTACGAGGGGTACCCGAATTCCATTCTGCAAGCCGACCCGTGGAAGCAGGGCCTCGGTATCTTCGATATGTCACAGATGCAATGGGCGAGCAGTTACGATGCGAACGCGGCGGAATATGAATCGCCCCAAGTCATTCGTGATTGGTATGACCAGGGGGGGTTGGCTTCGGTATCGTGGGGTAGCGACGACGTCAAAGCTTTGTTTATCGACGGGTCAAACCCGAACGTCGGGGATAACGGGACATCATCCACAACGAGCTCGAGCTCGGGACCGTATTCTAGTTCCACAGGCACGGGGGATGAGCCTCAAACCAGTTCGACTCCAGTGGGTGCCATAGTGGGTGGAGCTGTTGGGGGCGTCGCACTCCTTGCTGCAATCGGCGGAGCCGCAGGCTTCCTCCTCCGCCGCAGAATGGCCCAGAAAGCCGCACTTGTAGGGGGGTTATCTGCTGATCAGCAGTGGCAGACCGACAAGCTGAATAGCCCGACGTGGCAGTATCCCCTTGTCGAAATGCCGACCGAGGCGTCTCACGGTGAACTTGCCACCCAGCAGCCTCGCTACGAATTAGCCGCTCATGACGCACTCTTTCAACAAAATTTGCAGGAACATTACGCACCTGAGCAGAGTTATACGGGAACAACAGACCAGAGTTTACAGGGGAGGGACCAGGAAACTACGAGTGACGTTGGTTTTTGAAAGAAATGACGGTCTCGGATGAATGCGTCAGGAACTAATGGTAGATAGGTAATATCGGGGATACATCATGACTAGCGCATATCAAGACATTTTTGAAGATTCTCTGACAATATGAAGTGATCCGCGAGAGCTCAGTAGCACGTATTGAAACCGCCCTAAAGTGGCTCAAAGAGGTGCTTGTTCCTAAGATGCAGCCAGTGGACCCTCCTGGGGTTCGTTTGATTATACTTTACGGACACAGAAGCCATGAAATTACTAGGAATTGAATCATTCGCTCCCAGTAATATTTTGTGGCTAACGTAGTCCACGATCCAATTGCACACTTCGGCAGATTTTCGTACGCTACCACTTTGACCTGCGGTTTTTCACCACATAACTATGGTTGGTTCTTGGAATGAAAGTGATATGATTCTAGCATTACATGCGCTTCAATCTGATCCAAAATTAAGTGTACGTCGCGCTGGTCAGATCTATAACGTACCTTTTAGAACCCTTGCGTATCGACGCGACGGTAAAACCGCTCGAGCGATTACGCGATCGCCAACGCAAAAGTTGACTCCTTCTGAAGAAGAGGCAATCGTACGACATATAGCCGACCTAGATTCGCGAGCATTTCCTCCCCGATTGAGTGGTGTTGAAGATATGGCCAACCGATTACTTCGAAGTCGCGACGCGGGACGCGTCGGCGTCAACTGTGCCTCGAGCTTCGTAAGACGACAACCAGACCTCCGGACGCGTTTAAATCCAAGGATCGACTATCAGAGAGTCCTCTGCGAAGACCCTGACGCGTATCGCGCGTGGTTTGACCTGGTACGGAATACAATTGCGAAATACGCGATCCAGGAGGAGGATATCTACAACTTCGACGAGACCGGTTTTATGATGGGCCAAATCTCGTCCGAAATGGTCGTGACGACTTCTGATCGGCGCGGAAGGCCTAGAGCAGCCCAGCAAGGAAATTGGGAATGGGTTACAGTTATTCAAGGCGTTGGGTCGTCCGGTTATGCCCTCCCTCCGTACATCATTTTCGCCGGCAAAACCCACCTCTCGTCATGGTACGAAAACAGCCCATTACCGCCTGATTGGGTTATCGCAGTTACTAAAAATAGCTGGACTACGAATGAGAGAGGCGAAGATTAGATAAAACACTTCGATCATCACACTAAGTCTCGTACGAAAGGTACTCATCGCCTATTGATCCTCGACGGTCACGAAAGCCATCACTCGACCGATTTCGAGGTATATTGCAAAGCTAACAATATCGTCACGCTTTGTATGCCTCCTTATTCGTCGCATAAGCTCCAGCCTCTTGATGTTGGCTGTTTTCGCGGGTTAAAAAGAGCGTACGGAAAAGAAATCGAAGATCTCATGCGAGCACATATAAGTCATATCTCGAAAGAAGACTTTTTACCGGCGTTTTTAAACGCGTACAACGCAACTTTCACGGTTTCAAATATCCAAGGAGGTTTCCGAGGGGTAGGAATAGTTCCGTACGATGCAGATTATGTCATATCACAGCTCGATGTGAAATTACATACGCCAACACCTCCGGGTAGCTCGGCTGGTCTCCCCGTCCCTTGGGAATCAAAGACTCCGAACAACCCAACCGAAGCCCAATCACAAACCGATTATGTGAAAAACCTACTGCTGCTACCTCCCTGCGCACACTTCGAACACCCTGCAGTCACTAGATGTAGGTGAAGGTTCTAGTATCAAGATGAACTTCATTAGATGCTACAACAAAGCATGCAGGGATGGAATAACTCCATTTTCAAGCATCGTCCGAAGGAGAAGACTCCGGAGCCAGAATTCGATGAATTCAGAACACCACTTGACGGCCGCCACATTATGATTTGAGGAAAGGACAATTCCCAACGAATAGGTTACTATTCCGCAAGGTAGCCAAGTCCCGTGAAAATAACTCAGAATAGTCGGTAATGCAAAGTAGCCGTGTTGCCGCTCTTGGGGCTGAGAATGAGCGCCAACGGCCAAAAGAAGCGCCAGAAGGTCGAGAATCCGAATACATGGTTTATGGCAATCGCCAATACACTGGCCGAGGACCCCGAAGCCTATTTAAGCCACCAACCGAGTATTCAGCCTTAAGAGAGGTAGTTGAAGCAAATGAGGCATCAGAGGATGAAGGGGCCGAGATCAGCGTGCAGCGCACCATAAGGAATGTATTAGAAGTCGTTGTATCTCTATTTTCCCCTCTCGGTCTGGACAGTCCTACAGCTCCAACCGAGATTCCAGAGCCATTGTGGCTGTCTGTGGCTGTACACTGCGATGGCCGTTCTGGGAGGGGTGTTGATTATGGAGCCAAACCTTCGCAATGGGCGTGAGAGCCCCAACAGTTACTGGGGTTTATTGAAGTGACGTGCTGGAGGGCCTGTGCGATCACGCCATAATATTGGCTCTAAAGTCTAGTTAACTCGAACGGTATGCCGCCCCGCGAATCTTAAAAACCAGATATTCCGATCCGTCAGTCACTTTGCTCCGGAACAATGCATGCAACTTATGACCGAAGCCGTAATTATTTGGTTACTGGTTGAAATCATTGACTCTTGTATGGGCTGCATCAACTTTGCTGTACCATCGGTGGAAATGGGGGTTGACGTATACTCATGATGCATAGGAGAAAGCTCAATTCCTGCGTTCAGCCACCTTTACCCTCCCTAAGCATTGTGCCTCGATTTCTCCTCATGGCTCTCGCCCCAGGCTCCACTTAACGAAAGCTATACTCACACAGCACAACAGTGTGGGGTTATATCATGTAAGCTAGCTGATTTCTAATCAGATATTCACTACGGAATAGAATTCCTCGACGGCATTTGTAATATATACCATCGCCTGGCAAATATAAAAGGCACTCCTGTTTACAACTGTTGTATAGACGACAACATAACTTGGCCATATCGCAACTCATCTCTCATCCCAAATGGCTGACAAATCTGGAATCCATCTGTATACGGCGCAGACGCCCAACGGCATCAAGGTGTCAATTCTCTTGGAAGAGCTGGGACTGAAATATGAGGTGCGTTGTCTAATGACCTTAAATGGCTACGGTGATTACGACTAATCAAACAAACAGACACACACGCTGCAGTTCAGCAAGAATGAACAAAAGGTTCGGGGCCCGAACTCATACCAAACTCGGTAACAACGGACGACGGAATTGATCATTGAAATAGGAGCCGTGGTTCCTGGAGATAAATCCCAACGGGCGCATCCCAGCGCTGACGGACACCTTCACGGATGGCAAGCTCATTCGCCTGTTCGAGAGTGGCTCGATTATGCAATATCTGGTCGAGCGTTACGACAAGGACCACAAGGTGTCATATCCTCAGGGGACAAGGGAGTACTATGAGGTGAACAGTTGGGTACGTAATAGCTTCACATCGCGAGATGCGTATCCACTAACGACGACAAGTTGATGTGGCAGATGGGAGGTCTGGGTCCGATGCAAGGGTATATATATCCTATTTCTGTTCATGTGTCGATTAGGTCTATGCTGATAAGCCCCCAGACAGCTCATCTACTTCAACCGCTACGCGCCCGCGAAGATCCCCTACGCAATTGACCACTACAAGAACGAAACCGGCCGCCTCTACAAAACCTTGGAAACGCAGCTCAAGCCATCCACGTCGGGCTACCTCGTCGGTGACCGGTGCACGGTAGCCGACTTTTCTTGCTGGGTCTGGGTGGCAGCCTCTTGTGAGTCTTATTTACTTCTAGGTAGTGACAGCAAACGGGTATGAAACTGACGAGTGACGCAGATTCCGGTGGGGTTGACCTCGCCGAGTTCCCACTACTGAAGGAATGGGTTGATCGATTACTTGCTCGTCCTGGGGTTGAGAAGGGGCGTCATGTACCCTCGCCTCATACTGCTTTAGACGCTGCAAACCTGACTGAGGAGGAGTTGAACGCGAAGGCTGAGCAAAGTCGGGCGTGGATTTTGAAAGGGATGCAGGCAGACAAGGAGAAGAACTAAGGCGTTGAGCTGGAAGTCAATGCGATTTAAAACCACTTCATTTCATCAACTGTCACTTGACCACTTCGGACTTACTCTTCGGAACAGTACGTGCTGCAAGATATCGGAAAGTTATTGTGAAACGCATGCCGCTTGTTGTTGCTCACTAGGCTTATAACTCGTAGGTTTCCCTCGTAGCTTTTCCAGAACGCCACTGTCTATAATCCCCCAACTCACATAGATCTCCGAACGCACTCTGCGTACTTGAAACAGGCCTATTTACCCGTGAGTCCCTCGGCCTGCTTCCACTCAAAGTGATGCTTCCCCTTCTTGGGTCCACCAACCGGGTCATCCGAGTCATCATACATATGCTGACCGAAATAATCCAGCTGGGCTTCCGTGAACTGCGTCGGCAGCTTACTCGACGTCTCGTATTTGAAGTACTCCAAGCTCTGCCCGATAGCAGGAACGAAATGATCGGCCTCGACGGACTTCAGCACCACCTGTTTGATGGCCGGGAAGTGTTTGTGCAACTCGCTCCCCACCTCGTCATTGGAAAGGAGATTATCCGGATCGTGGCCCTCGCGCTTGTACATCCCCTCGAGCAAGTCGGCTATGCCGTCCGCTTGGATGATGCACCCACCTCTCCACAGCTGTAGTATTTTCACGTAGTTCAGGTTCCACCCCTCATTTTTGTCCTTTTGCCGAATGAGGTCGAGCCCCTGCGCGAAGCACGTTAGGAAACAGAAGTAAGTAGTCCGGTGTAGCCACTCGGCAAACTCGTCCCTGGATTCAATCCCATCGAAGGACTTCGCCTCCACGCCGCCCTCGGCAGACTTCTTATTCTTCATCCTTCTCCCCAAATCCGCCGATGCGCAACGGAACAGATGCGCGCTGAGGATCGTAGCAGCAGGGACGTGTAAATGCACCGCCTCCTCTGAAGTCCAAATCCCCGTGCCCTCCTCCTCGTCAACATCCTGCACCACCTTATCGCGCACGTGTCCCAGGACATGTGACCCGTCCTTTCCCCTGGCTTTCTCGATATCAACCGCTATCGAAATCAGGAAACAATTCCTCAGCGGGCCCTCCTCGTTCCACTTCTTGAATTCTTCCGCGACTTCTCTGTAACCAAGTCCCAGCCCCCGAGTCAGAATAAGCCACGCTTCCGCAACAACGCTCATCATCCCCTGCTCAATGCCATTGTGCACCATCTTCACGAAATGACCGCTGCCCGCCGGGCCCACCGGGGTAGTGCACGGACTGCCTTTCTGATCCTTGGCTGCGAGGGTCCGTAAGAACGGCATCACTTTCTCCAACGCCTCGGGGCTGCCGCCGGGGGACATCGACGGCCCATGGCGCGCGGATTGATAACCCCCCGATACGCCGCATCCGACATAGTGAATACCCTTCGGATCGAGGGCCCGTTGGCGTCGCTCCGTGTTGTGCCAGTGCTCATTGCCGCAGTCGACGATGATGTCGCCTTTGTTGAGGAAGGGGAGCAGGCCGTCAACGCATTGGTCGGCGGGCTTGCCGTGCGGTGTGCTGAACATGAAGACCTTTGGCTGGCCTTGGACTTGGATGGATTTGCACATGTCTTCGTAGTCCTTTGTGGGGAGGATTTTAGAAGAGAGGGAGATTGATTTGGCTTGGGAGGAGAGCTGGTCCATGTTCTTTTGAACTGACGACAAGTGTTAGAGATATGACTTCGGGCTTGGATTGGCTTGTCTTGGGCTGGTTTATTCCTTTTTCCAATGGGAAGAGCGTGGTGACATGTGCATACCTGGGTCGTGAAAGTGAACCTCGTAGCCGTGCTCGGCCATGAGGAGAGACATCATGGCGCCCATGCTGCCCACGCCGAGCATGCCCACCTGCAAGAAATCATGAGAAGGCAAAAATATCATAAATGGTGCTGAGAAGATAACTGACCTTCGTCACCTCGATTTCGTTCCCCATGATGGCTGGAGGAAGCAGTGGCGAAGTTACGAAATCCGGTTATGTTATACCTTCGGTTACGTCTTGCAGACTAGTCGACTGAGGCTCGAGAGGCAAGAAAATTGTCTAACAACATCGTAAGGTGATGGGCTCTAAAAATTGGTGATTCTTTCCTGGCCAAGTCGTGTAGCTCAATCCAAATCGCGATGTGTGAGTGATGCACCTGTTACGTAGTTGTGGGCTTTTAGTCCCGTCGTTGACGTCAGGGTGCTGCTTATCTGCTGTCGCAAACCAGATTGAGTGACAAACATTCCATGTACTTCAGTACGTGAGGGACAGATCTTCCTGGAAAAATCGCCATGCTATTGATAGTTACGAGTCTCCTTGGCTGTTCAACATTTTAATACTATGCAAATGCAGCGTATTCTTGGATAAGCTGTCATTGCAGCAAGTGCCCGCAATTCATGTCTTCCCATCCCCACTCGATACCGCCGAGTGGACAAAATTCACATACTGTTGTAGCCATCGACGCTCAGTCCAAAGCCTTTGAGCGATAACTCAGACTAAGTACGACTGACTTTATTGCGATGCAGGTGCGTTGGTAGATACTAGCCGACGAGGAATGAAACCCGTAGGGCAACGGGTCACCACTGTTTCGAGCTGAGCCCCGACAAACGAATGAAGCTGCCTCATAATCGCATTCGTATCGATGTAGCCGTTCATGCCGAAGGCGCCTTCGCAGTAATTTTGTTTCGACTGAATCCAGCATGCCAAATCTCAGCTTATTCGTCATAATGCTTCTGCGATAGTGTCATGGAGAATGCCCGCCCGTAGTACCGTCTCTGGGAACCCGAGGCACTTTGCATTCGAGGACTTGTCTAGGGCGTGTCTGTTTCGTTCGGGCAGAGACTGGCCCCCTTCCAGCCCCGGCTATGATATTTTTGATCTGGGAGAGGACTCACAGCGGGAGATGCGCTGCCAATCCCGAAGATCGCTGGATCCGCATCAAGGTTCATTTCGAAGACGGCTTCAAGCTATGCGACATTGGCCTCGAATCCCCAACATCCCGCGTTTGGTCATTGACAAGCCAAGGAAGACTTCGTGTCGCTGGCTGGTGCAGCCTTATGTCTGTAGGTTCGGGGGCGCTACATGGGACAGCGACGTTGCCGGCAAGAGCTGGCCGGTTCGAGGGCGGATGATTATCACACAGCCTAGGCCTTCGCCCCGTGGATGGATGGGATCCCGAAAGGTCAAGGACGGGTATGCAACCCTAGAGATGAGGTGTGTTTGGATGCTCGGTGACTTGTTTCCGAGACACAAGTACAAGAAAACTTGGCTTTCTTAACGGCTTCGCTTGGACCGTGGTCCTGTAACGGACCAGAACATCCGATGCTGCAAAGTTCAAGGAACGGATCCAGGCCGGTAGCTTGTTGTAGGCACGAAGAACGCAATCTGGTCTGGGGTTCGGGCCAGCCCAACATCATCCTACGAGATCAGCACCAGAAGTTCGGAGGATTACCGATCACGGCCAAACATCATCTTGCACGTCCTTTCTGGTTATGCATCCGACGGCCGATGTGGGATGCGGGCATTGGCTCTGCCGAATCATGCAAATAGAGACAAATGCTTCTAACCTAGAAGATCGAAACACACACAGCTGTCAAACCGACTGACTGATGCCACCTTTGTCTGCGAATGGATTGAAACCCGGCATGACAACACTGACGTACTTCAATGCAGGCTGGAGCATGTACCCAAACGGCGGGAAAGGGAGAAAGGGATTGGCGTCGCCTGGTCGTAACCGAAACAAGCATTCGGGAACAGTAGATGCGAAAGCTTCGAAGCTATCAAACGGATTTCGGTGTCGTAGGCTCTCTCTGAACTTTCCACACCAAACAACTCTGAGCCAAGCGAACCCCATTTCTATATTTGTTCTTGCTGTTGACCTGGGCGAGCTTGGCACTTATGCTTATCTGATGGCCAATAGATTGGTGCTACTATGGAGTCCTGGAACATACTCGATCAAAGATCGACAGGGACCAGGTCTGCGAAAGAAGAACTGAACCTTGCCCGCCCGGTATTTTGTTAACCATGTTAAACAAGCCAAGACAGGAGGGAGGCCTAGAGTGGATAGGATCGACTTTTCTACTCTCTGCATCTGACTAGAGACGCCGCCAAGAGATTCAGAAAAGAGCCGCACTTGTGCACCTTGTTGGGATCCACTTAGTCCTCGTTTGCGACTTCCTTCTCTCAACGGCCTGCACGACACAGCGGAGTCGATGCTGACCACGGGACGACCAGAAACAACATGTTGCGTGCCAGGGGATATTGCATGCGTCGACCGACCGTTGGAAGTTCAGCGTGCATTGAGAATGGCCTAGAATCTGGATAAGAAAAGCTAGATTTGCGACGCCCAAGACACCAAGACTAATCCCATCGACCCGCACTGCCCAGCCGCGGGCAAATCTGCTGTGGCGCATTGTTCGGAAGATTGACCACCACGCTGTGTAGCAAACCTATCGGGTATGGAGACAGTCAGTAATAGCCCATGGATCGTCGGTTGGGTCTCCGTGCGGCATGCCGAGCGGGGGAACCGAGGCAGAGAAATTACCCGTTCGCAAAAGGCGTCGTCGTCGTAAACCACTACGTTGTAGGTTGTTCCAACACCGCGGCCTGGTCTCCGCTAATAACAACTAGCGACCTGCTAGGCGTTTTGGGCTGTGACGCGCCTCGAGCTGCGAAACTAGGGTTCGGAGGTGGCAGCTCCCGACTCCTTTCAGCACGGTCTCTTGCTGGCCTTGTTTCAGGACCTTTCGCAACTGTCGGAAACCGAAGAGGGGCACAGCAGCCAGTTGCACATCCATCACGATGCCATCCGCTTTTCCCACGATCTGCATCGCGATGCGACACTGGACGTAGAATCGAGGCTCATTCATTTGCGGCTTGTTTTCCTGCTTTGTTTTCTTTCCCCCAATGTCTCCTTCCTACCTCCTATTTCCTACTTCCATTTCGTTTTTTTCCGCTGCTGCTGCCGCCCCCAATACCACCTTGTGTGCCATTGCCAAATCCGGAAGCCACAGCTGCCGTGTGGGGCCGTATGAAATACCCGAATCCATTTAAGCTTTCCTTAGCTCTACCCTCAGCTCGTCGCCTTACAACATACCCAGCCGCTGTTTTCGGATCCAGATTCAATCTCTTTGCGGCTTCGTTGGCTCAATGGCTTATGAGTTAAGCTGCAGATCTTCAAGCGACCTTTCTTGTTTGGTGGTTAATGGTATCTCTTCCCATTTTCATTGATCTCGCGGCGCATATTCCGAATCACCGCAGGTTTTACGTCCACATCCGACCGATTTCCATCACTTACACGCCGGTCAACTTGCAACATTTTCAATAATACATCCTCTTTTCCATCTTGTCATCGACCTACGCCACTTTCTTTCCCTTGGGTTCTCTCGCAAATTCTTCGTTATGGAAGGACTGCGCACACACTCCAACATGACACCGGTGATAGAAATGTTGCCGGTGCGCGTCCTGGTGGGAAGCAACTGGAGTTATTACGTTGCCATCGCGGTGGTATTACTACTTGCATTCATCCTGCAGCCATCGAAGCAAAGTCACGTATCCGCACCGTTTTACAAAGCTTCGAAAACGAAGTGGATGTTCAGTGCCGACACGTTGGTCAAGGAAAGCTACGACAAGGTACATTACACCCCACCACCCTGTCGCATCGACTCCAGCTCGCTTACACCTCGTAGTTTCGCGATCGAGTATACCAGATCAAAGCCACGGAGGGTACCAGGACCATGATACCTGCCAGCTTGATTGGTGAACTGAAGGGTCTTCCAGAGGACACATTGAGCGCATCGGCCGCTGTCGATGAGGTGCGAGAGTCCAATCGGGATGACGAGATATGCGATACTGATGTCTCCCAGGCTATGTTGAGCGACTACACCAAGTTCTGTCTTGGACCTCATGGTGACACGCTCACATTCCTCATAAGAAGCAAGTTGACCCAACAACTGTCACGCCTGGTGCCCCGGCTCAAGTCGGAGCTGGAATTCATAATTGTGCAGGAGTTTCCCGAATGCAAAGGTACGTCCCAATCTGCTTGACTGCGACAGCTGGTCCAGCCACTAATATACCGCTGTAGATTGGACTCCAGTGCAGGCGCAGCCCTTTATGGTGCGTACCATTGCCCGACTCAGTGGGAGGGCGTTTGTAGGACCGGAACTCGGTCGCACTGAGGAGTGGATGGACACGACTATCAACTTTGCGGTTCACGTGTTCGTTGCCGTGGTCAAGTTGCAGTTCTTCCCACCGTGGTTGCGACCAATCGCACAGTACTTCGTTTCAGAGTTGGGGCAGATCAAGCGCGATCTTGCCAGGGGTCAAGCCATGCTCAAACCCATTATCGACGAACGGCTACAAAATGCCGAGCTAGATCCTGGACACCAAAAACCGGACGATTTTATTCAGTGGACAGTGGACGCTCTCCCCGATGCACAGAGGAACGATTACTATCTGCAAACACAACTTCAACTGGTTTTGGGGGCTGCATCGATACACACGACGAGCAACTTGACGACGGATTGCATTTTCGACTTGGCTGCACAACCAGAAATTCAAGAAATATTAAGACAGGAGGCACAAGAAATCCTCGAGGATGGAGGTGGTTGGGCAAGAAAGGAAAGCATGGCCAAGCTCAAGAAGATGGACAGTTTCATGAAGGAGTCGCAGCGCTTGGCTGGCAATGTCAGTATGTATCGACGACCTGCTCACAGCCATCTTACCCGTTCGCTCCAGCTTACCTTGTATAGCATCATTCATCCGCAAAGTTATCAAGCCGATCGACCTCTCAGACGGCACGCATCTTCCATCCGGGACGAACCTACTCGCGCCACAATATGGCATCAGCCATGATGATCGCTATTTCCCCGACCCCGAGGTCTTCGATGGACTACGCTTCTGGAAGATGCGCCAATTATCAGACGAGACCGCCAACCGCCACCAATTCACCAGCATCGGCGACACGAATATGAACTTCGGCTTGGGCAAACACGCCTGCCCGGGTCGCTTCTTCGCCGGAAATGAGATTAAGCTCATCCTGGCCTACTTGCTGCTCAACTACGACATCAAGCTCAAGGACGGCGAAACCGAACGGCCGAAGCCTATGATGTTCATGATGAGCAAAACGCCCAATCCGACTGCCGAGATTATGTTCAGGCGACGCGAGCGAAGCTCCTCGTCATGATACCCTATATTAAGCATAAACAACCAGACGCTCTGAATTCATGGAACCGTCATTGTACATAGGAGAGGGCCAGCATTTTTTACTATATGAGCGAGACGACATTAATCAAAATCAGCATGAACGAACAATCAGCATCGGTCTGGGGGCCGGATTCGGTACATATACCATCAGTGGCATGTGTAGAACAAACAGGGCCGGCACAACAAGCCGCGGAGTTCGGGGGTGGCGGGTATTTGTTTAGTATGTGCGGTAACCTCATGTGTATTCGACGTCTGTACAAACCTGTGGATGGGATGAACGGGGCTCATCCACAGTGGCGGCGTCCTGTGTGGATACCATGATTTCACATGCGCGCAATTGCATGGCGACATAGCTTGAGCCACATATGTGGTTAGCGCTCCTAACGTCTAGGACTTGGACACTTCGCGAATAAATTCATATAATGATCAATCATGCTATACGTCATTGGATTTCTCACGGAGCTTCGGGATATGTCATTATGTGACATGGATGCTTCTGTGAAGTACGTTTCGGATGGTTCAAATTTGTTCTGGAATTACGAAGAGAGGGTATTTGAAAGTCCCGATGACCCTAGCCCAAAATAACACACTCAATCATTACCTGCTCGAGCCACCAGATCGATCACCAGTTCGCAAGGCAGACTGTTTACACGGGCGGCTCTCAGACCGCGAAGCTCACAACTCACTGGGCGCCACTTCGAACCCTGTAGAAGAAGAATTCCACGTCAGCTCAGCACAATCAATAAGAGGAGGAGTAGCATCATCCCAGAAGGACCACTCACCCGGGAGACCAAAGCAACCGATGATCCCATCAGTGTTGCTCACCACCGTATCTACCCGCGCAGTCAGCCTCAACATCCCATAGGGCTGGGGCCCCATATATTAGACGTACTTAGATCGATAATCGTCGTCTTGGGCTGACCACCCGTCTGCTTGCATTGACACGTCAATTCCGCGTTTGTAGACGGTGTGGCGGCGGTACAGGAGGAGCAGGAGTGGAAGGCGAAGCCACTATGCACAGTCCGTCCGTCAGTTGCTTCATTATTCAACATGTCCATAACAGTTTTCCGTGTTCCAAAACTATTATACGATGGCGTGGGAAATATAGAGTTCGAACCGACACGACATGATGCGGGACAACGCTTCTCGCGAATGCCAGTAGGGAGAGAAGACTTGGGGAGAAGAAAACAGCATGGTGAATGAATAGAAGTTGAACTCACACTTTATCCGCCCGCAAGACCCCCTCCGAGTTGCTCAAGCAGTCATTCAAATTAATCGTGCTCGTGTACTTCTTGTCGTCGGGCCCCGGGCATGTCGCGATGACGAAGTGCACCCGGTTACGGTAGCCGAGGGACCATGGCTTGGCGCACTCATCAAAGAAACCTTGTGCGGCTGCGAGGGTGGTCAGGAGGGGGATAATGAGAGTGGTTGATTTCATTTTGGTGTCGTTCCGGTGTGAGGAGACGTGGGCTGTACGCGGTACGGCGATGGGGATATACTCGCGAGGAGTTGTGGATATAGTCTCGAGGGCGATCGACAGGGACGCGGAAGGTTGGGGTCAGGTGCTTAAGTATATTATACCAGGCGTGCTGAAAGCTCTGAACGACCCTCACAGTCGGCGAGGGTGATCATGGCGGCGTTCCGGCACACGGGTATACTACTCACACACAAGCAAGCAAGAACGCAAGGATAACCCGCGGCATACCGCATGCAGACTTTCACGGTTGTGACGAGCGAAGAACGGGTGGGGAGTTAATATGCGAATGCCGTATTGTTGCATAGGACGTGTGGGGAAGAGGAATGCGCCCTAGGACCTCCTCGACTTTGTTTGGACGCCTCATTTGCCCTAAAGGGAAAGTCAGGATACGTCCTGCCGCTGACCAGCTGGTGCTGCCTCCGGTAGAGGATTCGGCGTCGGTGGGAAGGACCAACTGGCCAAAAAGGAGACCAAGTACGGTATAACCACACACAGTCTCCGGGATGTTGCGCCTTCGTGTGGTGAGAATTTCCGGTGAGGCCCTGCCTGCCCCGAGTCTGTCTACCAAGGTCGGTGGAGTCTCGCTAAGCGTCGGACGGGAACAGAGACCGACCACGCATCCCACATATAAATTGGTCTTGTTTTTACTTACCTGCAACCGCAATATTGAAATCAGCCCACCTGCCTCGCCCCAATAACCCAAGTTCCTGGAAAACGCCATCCAAATCAACAGAGAAAGTGGCAGGCAATCAACGAGACCAACTTCCAATCAACTTCCAGCCAGCGCCTTGTTGCCGGGGGCTGCGGTTAATATAGGTTAAGTTAATTAATGGGGCCAGCCTGCCAAGCTTCTCGTCTCTGGCGCAACGCTGACATATGGTGAATAATGATCTTGATTTTGTGGGGCAGTCATCGGTCAGAGTGGGATAAGGGGGCGGAAGGGGATGACTGGGAAAGCCACAGTGCATGTAGTTGGTAATGGTCGAGTTTGGAGCTGGGAGGATTGAGTGATACCGGAATGGAAGCAGGGACGGCTAACAACACTCTTGTTGTTGGGTTGCCACTCCGACCTCGAATATATTACCTAAACTCCCGTGGCTCACTTAATCTGAAGAAGAATTTCGATGAATGTTTTGTACCATTATCAGAAAAGACTGGGGTATATCCACGGCTGACTGACTGACTAATCATACTCGCTCGCTAAATAGCTTCGACTTCCATTTCCATCCCAAACTCCGTCCCATTCCGTCGTAACCCATCCGTTGCAGCTCATCCGCTCACAAACAGGCAAACGCAAGCATTAACACGTCACACATGCCTCATGTCCAAATTTCAATCAGGGTGGGTTCCCTTTCTCATCGGTCCATCCCCAAGTTTGGTCACGTTGGTCTCTCGTTCCATTGCACCTCGCTTCCAGAGCCCTCCGCCGACAAATATGTACACGCACCCAACCGCCCCCATATTACCGCTGCGCAAACCCCATATTAAAGACCCGACGCCTCCGTGATCCCCATCCTGCGACGTGTGGGTGATGTTATGTACCAATAAACAATATCGATAAAAATGCTCGCCGTCAATTGAATACCGAACTAGTCGTTGTTGTTGCGAATGTAATGTATGTGTATATGCATGTATGTGCGTGCTGAGAATAGAAATTGCTCGTTCAGGCAAGCCGCCGTTTAGATTCCCAAAAAGGAATACGCACGGGCAACAGGTATGAAAGGCGGAGTCGAGGAACCGTACTGTCTTTGCCGATATTTCCTGCTGATTTGGAAGAAGGACTCTGAGTCCTGCTGTTTGAATCTTGGTGGTGTGAATAAATAAATTTGTGTGGTGCCAGCCCGTCTAAGAAGGAAATAGCCCGTTTGATTTTCGGGGTTTTCGAATGCGATTCAATATATTGGTGGTTGGGCTTGCGCCCTCTTGAAATCTTGTTTCTCTGGTTCTTGCGACAATTTGTCTGTATGCTATTTTCCTGCGCCATGCAAATGTTGTGGGTAGGTAGGTAGGTGGAGATGGTGATAAAGAGAGGATCCAAGCCGTAGATGGGTGGATGGTAATTCCAAAGGGTATTGATGCTGTAAAATCCGGTAAAATCCGGGGGAACGTATAAGAAACCCAAAAAGTCAAGAAGAATGGTGAAGAAGGGCCAAACCTATGAAGCCAGGGCAAGGTGTAAATAAGTGGCCCAAACGTAGAAATCAAATACTTGAGACTCGCCCTCTCGTCTCGGGAACCTTCGCGTGACACACCATGAGCTTCAGCGTCGTCTCCCACTCCTCACACTCAGCCAACAAGGCCTTGTCGTTCCAGATGCTGGCATTGGTGCCGGTAGCGGTCTCGTAGAGGCGGTTGTACCACCAACGACCAACCTTGGCAACCATCTTGGTGATGTTCTCGTCGCCCATGGTCGTCTCGTCGTTCATCATCTCCGCCAAGCTCCGCTCATCCTTCCCCTTCTTCTTGCCACCCTCACTCCCCGAGTTCGCAATGGCGCTTGCAACGGGAATGCCGACGCGGCACGTCTTCACGTCGACGAAGCCCATCTTGCCGAGCAGGCGCAACACGAGGTCTGCGGTGCTGCTGAGGTTCAAGTCGGGGTTCTTGATATTGACTATTTCCTTCAACCGGCGAACAGCTCGTCGGGTTCGGTTTCCCATGTTGTTCAGGTCCACGTCCAGGATGGAAAGCTCGATGTAGCCACCGGGTTTAAGGACCCGGCGCGCCTCCGACATAATGTTTCGGTAGTGCGCCTCTGGGGCGGCGGATGGGAAGCGGAAGACGACAGACGTGAAGCTTTCAGCGCCAAAGGGAAACTTTTCCATGTGGGAGTTGTACTGGATTTGGTGGTGGTTGGGTGGGGTCAGGGGAAACGAGTCCGATGATCGATGTTCCTGCGAGATTGGTGCCCTGGGCGACAGGTTGAAAAACGTAGCCGCTGGATATGTCTCGGCAGCATAGAAAGACCAATCATCGTTACCTAACCCGTCAATGACCAGAATGGAGTGACGTTTCAAAGACCCAACAACCTGCAGCAGATCCTCGCGCACCGGACTGAAGAGTACGTGCCCAAACGTGAGCCACTTACTGACCGTCATGGAGCCAACCCGAAGGTTGACCTGTGACAATGGGGTTTCTTCACTGGCGCTGCTGCTGGCTGATATTCTCGCTGTGGCACTCTCGCGAGGAGAACTGCTGCTGCTTTGTGATGCTGCCCGAGGTTTGGCCACCTCGGCACTACTCTTGTTGCGCTCCCCATACCCAGACACAAATTCCGAGACAGAAAACGGCGTAGACGGAGGTTCGGCACCAAAGTGGAATGCTGCGTTTATCCTCGCCGTCATATCAGCACTGAAATGACTTGAAGATGTGGCAACCTCTCCCGTATCGCACGAGTCGCGAGTGTCTTTGGCAGACTGAACTTTGATGGTGGGAGACTCAAGTGGCTTGGAAATCTTCTTCACCACCTTCGTCTCGTACTTCTCGAGATGGAATGCCATGCCTCGAGAGGATGTCGCAGATGGTGGAACATCTCCAAGCAGATCGTTGTACTCGTCCCAGATTTCGTCTTCGGCCAGAGGTGCAGTCGGCTCGGGAACGACTGCCGTAGTATGATTGGCAAAGGCAGGGGCTGCGGAGATGCTGGAACAACTGCTCGTCGTGTAATCCGAGTTCTTTCGCGGTGCGAAGGCAAAAAACTCCTCGGGCCGTGAGCAGTCCATGGACGGCCCTTGTGCAGGTGATCGATTCTTCGGAGAGTTGTTTGTGACAATCGTGGCTGTCGGCTCATCTCTGGACAGCTCGGGCGTGGACGGTTTCGGGGGGCTGGGACCCTTGGCGACAGAGTCTTGATCCACTTGGATTTGAGGTGGCGGTTGGAGTTGAAGACTGATTCGATTGAACGGCCTCGAGAAACTCTTGGGAGATGTCTGTTCTGGGCGGGTGTTGACCACCTTCGGAATCCTGCCAACTTGTGGAAGTCGACTAGGCCTGACTGCGCTTCTCCCTGTCGTTTTTGTCGCTGGTACTTGACTATCAAAGGGCCTAGCTTGGTTTGGTTTGGCGATAGTCGTTGTTTGCACTTGCGCCGGTGCGTTCTGGACTGGCTGAGGCCGCACAGCTTGTCGGGGCTCCAGTGGAGGAGGCTGTTGTTCCTTGCGTTGACTGCTTGCAGAAGGCCTCCGCTCGTGTCTGTTTACGACGGATGACGGAGGCGCCAAACCTTGTGCTTCTCTCAAGATGTCAGTCAAATCCGGGTCTGACATATCCTCCTGCTCCGACGAATCCATGATGGCATAAAACGGGACCGGCTTTCTCGGGACCGCTTTGACGGCAGCAGCCACTGTCGCCGAGTCCCCTTTCTTCTTTTTCGGCTCCGTGGCGGGTTGGCTCTGGGATCGACTAAACAGGTTCCATTTTCGAGGTGATTTAGCACGCTTGACCAGTTTCCTTGGCGCTGCATCCTTGGCTCCTCGGCCACGCCCAACTTCAGGCTGAGACACCACAGAGTCGTCAGTGTAGATAGCCGTATCCATGCTAACGACTGATGGCATGGTTATGCTCCTTGTCACGATGGGTTTCGGCAACTTCATCGGCTCTTGGTCCGGAGACGAACGGAGTCGTTGAATAGACCTCCGGAAAGCAAGTGTCGACTTCATGGTCACAGCCTCCGAGTCACTGCTGTCAGAAGGTCGGCGTGAGTGAACCGAAGTGCGGGGGAAAGGGGATGGCCAAAGAGTGTGTCTTGCACCAACACCACCATCCTTTGTTGACAGGGACATCGAGGATCGGTTGCGAGAATCGATGCTAGGACCAGGAGGTGGCAGACTTTGGTCGCTGTTGGTGCGACTCAACTCGGAGCTGGCGTTGCGATTCTCAATAATCTCACCTCCAGCGATGACAACAGGGTTCATCCGCTCGAGAAGGAACGGGTCGGTTGACTGAGTGCTGGCCAAGCTTTCAGATGAAGAAACAGGGCCACCCAGTCCGCGTGGTGTCGGTGCATGGCTGCTTCGCCTCCGCACCGTTCCAATCCTACCATAGCCCTCGTGTCCGGTACCTGCTGCGGGGCCCTTGCGTGCTGATTTGTCTTTCTTGTCCACTTGGGGCACATCGCTTTCTGTTTTCGTTCGCCTCCCGAACAATCCAAACCTCGACTTGAATGTGGTCACGCTGGGGCTCGGAGTTCGAGTGGCTCTTCTGGATTCTGTCTTCGCAGGCTGGGCACCCAAGGCAGAGGCCGATAAGGGAGCAGGTGTCGGCTCTCGGTTGACTGGTAATCTTGACGCGTTGGGGCGGTCCTGTGATGACGACGGGGTGGTAGATCTGGGGAGCGAACTCGGGGCTAACTGTGCGCTTTGACGTCGATCAGGGACACTGCTGGCGGATAAGTTGCTGTGGATGACCGGAAGCGGCCCGCCGAATTGTGAGTACAAGTCGGGTGTGCCGTCTCTGCTTGGCCGGGAAGGCGGCGTCGGTCGAGGTTGTGGAGACGTGAAGGGTCTGTGGCTGTTGTCCGATTTGATGGGCGAAGGAGACCTCATCACGGGGTGAGCCGGCGTCTGAGCAGGCTTGGACGGAGACTCGTCCACATCACGATCCTTGTTGAACTTTTGCGATGATTTCCTTGGTGGGGGTTTAGGGGCTGGCAGCTGTGCCAAAGCCTTCTTCTTCTTTTTTTCCTTGTTGTCAGCATCACGCACGGTCGAGTTCGACGACGACGATGTAAGTGCTTCTCGAACTACCGCAAGACCATGAGAGTCGGTACCAAATCCATCACTATCAGTCGGTATACTACCGGCTCTTCTTCGGGTCACTGGCGGTCTTCTCTCGGCTGGACTTGCTTGTTTCACTTTGGAAGCAGCGTTACGCAATGGTGCAACGAGACCGGGAGATGCTGAAGACATGGATGTCGGTGTTGTGTCTCGGCTGTAAGGGCCGGGGCCGGGCGATTCCGAAAACCTTGTCGACGGACTACCGCTGAACGTACTCAACTGGCTGTGACTGCTCGTCCCCGAGAAAAGGGGCGTTGGCGGGAGAAGATCATGAGTTGCGAGTCTGAAAAGCCCATCGGTTCCTGGGCTGTTCCTGGGGATCTCGATGTCTCGGTACCGATCCAACTCGGGATATATCGTAGTCGATGACTGGGCCACAGCTTTGGGCAGCTCAATTACCTGTGCCAACTTGACCTCCACGGGACATTCCGTAACACCTCGGTTCAGGTGTGAAACATAAGGATCAAGGAACGCCTGGGCTCTCGGTATACAGGAGGAAGAGGTGTTTTTTCCCGAGTTTGAACGAGAGTAGTCTCGGAGGCTGCCGATTTCCCGTGATACGCTCGACTGCTTCCGGCGAAGGACACCGTGAGATTGTCTGGACACGGCATCTCGATCCTGAATCGAGGGCATCACTGGACTGAGAGTTGCGGGTGCTGCTCGTCCGAAGCTGAAGCCTGTAGAGCCTGTTGGTCGAGTCTCATGAGTGAGAGGCGGCCTGCTGGATGAACCTGGTGGTTTTCGCATCGATGGGTTCTGGGGTATCCGACTTTGCGTCTTTGGTTGAGCATTCAACGAGGCCCCTTGCCTGTTGCCGCTGTCTGCTTCTCTTCGCGCAATCCTGGTAAGCGTTGGGGGAAAATCCTCCTTCGATGTTTCCATGTACCCTCCCATTCTCTTCGACCGTGATGCGTCACCTGCTCGACTCCTCAAGTCTGAGCGCGGCCTGATCGATGCCATTATATCCCTTTTCCGTGTGAGATTGAGTCCGATTTTCAATCATAGTACTTAAGGTCACGATTCCATTATCAAAACCAAGGATGTGGTTCGAACCCGAGATATCCTTGAGTTGGTGGTCAGCGACGGATCCCGGTGACAATAACACAGATGGGACTAACCTGGCAGGATTATTGCGAATCCAATTCCAATATTTCGGAATACCAATTAGGTGCTGACTGGCAACGACGCGCCGAGATATCGAACCCGATAGGTAGTCCAAGCTGGCTGATAATCACATGAAATCGTGAGTGACCCTGCAGAGCCGGTTAGATGTTGCGAAGGATCCAGGTTTCCAGGATTCCAGCCTCGAAACGGAGATGAGATTTCAAGCCTCGTGGACAGTTGGTACATGCAACCGGACCCCAAGAATTGATATACGAAAGAGGAACGTTGGAAAATAACAAGGAGGATAACGAGACGAGTGTCCCAAAGAAGAAAATAACCGCGCAGGAAAACGAAACCCTAGAGAAAAGTAGTTCAAGAAAGATCCGTTTTGAGTAAGCTAGTTGGGCTGTGATGGTGGGTAAGCGTTCCCGCAAGTGTGAACTCCCCAGTCTAGTTAAAAGATGGTGGTGGTGTGGGTTGAACGTCGATGGTGGGGTAGATAGGGAGGAGTGGCAGGCGTTTAACAAGCGTTGGCGCTGCTCTTAGTCGACCAGCCGTGGGTTTCGGTTCTGCCCAAGCGGCTCTTGAGAAAACGTAGAAGAGTTCTGCAGCGCTAAAGAGTAGATATTGAGAACGGTGAAGCTTTCGAAAGCTGAATGGAAAACGTATTGGTGAATAGACAGCGACTTGAAGTGAGAGGAAGAAAGTAGACAATACGTCCAAGAATAGAGCACGAGAGAGACACACAGAGGCGACAAAATGGAGCCATCGCACAGTTGATAAGAGACAACAAAACTGTTGTATATTGAACAGATACCTCGAGGTGTCGCCTGGCTTCGCCCATTTTGCCTTGCATGTTCCTAGTCGAGGAAGTACATAGGGAAATGAGCTAGGCCGACGGTACTTGGGTGGCAGGTATTATTTTTTGAGAGGTGTGGCGTTTAGATCCCTGTCAAGGGCCTTGGAGGACCCTCTGGATTATGTCGACAAGTCAGATGCCTGCGCACTTGCTGGGTTCGCCGAAGGAGACGGTCTGGCTGGCAGCGGCCTGCGCATGCTCTGCAGGGACAATATGAGCAGATCATTGAGGTCCCACTAGTAACAACCATTGAGTCACCGAAGCTCACACAGGAGGGAGTCCTGCTGGTGGGTTAGGAATCGAGCTCGCAAAAGCGGAGTTGCATGCTTATGCGAGCCGTTGGAGGGAATCGACCACCCATGGAGCTGCTGCAGCAGATCATCGCGACAACGGGGCACTTGAGCAGGAACGGGAGATGAAAGGTCCCCAGCCAAAGCACGACGACTGGGCCTCCGTATCTCCTTGCGCATGCTGCAGTTGAGATTCGCTGGTTGCGCAGTAGTGCAGAAAAATTGCGCCGCCATGCACGTACTGAGCGCAGGACGGGTCTTGGATCGTGCTTGTTCCGATGTCCTATGAGAGCGCTGCGGTATTACCTGGGCGATTCGATTCGCTCAAAACAACCTTGCCGCCTTGCTGACCCTTTGCTCGTCGGGTCCGTCAAGTAACTGCACGCTTTCTAGAGCTACGGTCAGGTGCTACTGGGGCGGGTCGTTGGAAGAGTCATCCAGTGTGCTGGCAGAGGAACGCGACGTGGGAAAGTAATATACATCGGATTAAGAAGCAGGCATGGTATTATTAAAAAGTGCGAGGATAAAACTATACCAAAAAAAAAACTTGTTGCATGGTAGTCCAGTAGTCCAGTATCGGTTGGAAGAAACGGTTTGATCAACTTAAAACTCAAGTCGTCAATTGCAACGAACGAGGGGCAAAAGACGGCAAAACGGGCTTCGCCGCGACGGGGGCACTAGCGGATAATTTGGGGATGGCAGGAGGCAACCCGTTGAAAGCTGTCATTGAGCGCTGGGATTTGTGGAGAGCTTCAGGGTAATGTTAGCCTTTAGCTGGAAAACAGTGGAACTCCAACCCATTGTGGAGCGGCGCGCGACCAGACCCTTTCCTCGAGGCTAGTGGAAGAAGCGTCAGTACCAGGCTTTTGCTAGTAACTCTCTTCCAACAACGACGAACGAAGCGGACTTCCTAAAGCTCCCATCGTGAGGGTGCCGTCTCATTGCTGCTGTAAACTGCCATTGCATGAATTTGCAATGTTAATGACTCTGGATCGTGGACTGCTAAGTCTAGGAAGGCGCAGCGCCATGCCTGGATGAGCCTGGGCAATTTCTCATCCAGAACTCATGATTGGGGCCTTCACCATGCTACCATCGTTACACTACATCATGTTGCCCTTCTGCATGTCTCACACTGATGCGGTCCGACTGGGCAACCTGACCCGATCATGATCGTTCTGCAGAAGTATCCTCCAGCGCTGGTACTTGCGAGAGGAGTGGGAGTATTTGTTTACACATGCGTTCCTCAAATTCGTGTCAGAAACGGGGCCGTGGATATCAACTCGGATCCTAGATATGGATTTGAAGCCAGCCTTGAGCTAGTGTCTCGAATATGTCTGCAGCCTCTTTCTTTAGGCATCCTGTTTGCCTGTGAGCTCGAGGCTGGCTAGGTGTACACAAAACTGTCACACGCGTTGGTCTATCACTGTGGACCAGAACATCCATTGAAGCACCAGAATCTGCGACATTGTCCCGAATTGGAATGTTCCTCCTAGTCCTATCACCTAAGGGCCCCAATGGTTGTGGTTTTCGAGGACCATGACGCGGAGATTGACGAGGCTCGGGAAATGCAAGGTGAGACACTGTGTAACTGTGGATTTTCAGTCTTGCTCTTCCCCGCCGCCGTAAGGAATCCAACTACAAACACCACGGCCTGGAGGCTGCGGGACATATCGTTGCCAGAGCTGTGTTTGAACGAAATTCATTCGTCGTCGAGATAACCCGCGCCGAGGATTTGCAATGGAGGGCCACATGGGTTTTCTCATTGGTCGCTATAGAGCATTTATGATCCAATGAGAATCCAGGACGGCGCTTTTCCCAATCCTACCCTTGGCTCCCAAGGTTTAGCGAAAATGAGTTATGGGGGTCCATAGAGCTCTGCATGTCTCCCCTTAACCGTTTGACCCAGAGTCTTACTACCACCAATCTTCGCATGAAATCGGCTTACATCGAGGATTACTCGTGTATGGGAAATAACTTGGCGACATTTGCGCCGTTTGTCGCGATGAACTTTGACGAAGACGAGGGTGATGGAGGCGTTCGCATCATTCGCCAATCAGACATATACCGCCTGCCTTCCAGCCGACGATCGGGGACTCGTTAACTATTTGCACCGGCACTTCGAAACTCTGTCAGAATCAAACTTCAGTGGAATTGAATTAGTAAGTGGAATTCGTATCTGGAAAATCATTGATTCACCGAAAACTGGCATGCGATCTGAATCCAGAAACGTCTATTGAATTTGAATGCGACGGCTCTACAGTTTCACACTATCTCATAGTCAGGACGCAAATCAGATGCAAGATCACGCGGCACAGACCGATAGTCTGAAGCTGTATCGTTCTCGGAATAGAAGACTGCAGAGGAGCATGCATAACAAGGCCAACGCCCAACCGAGACACCGCGTCGCAGTGGTCACCGCATACGTATATGCCGTTGCTCAAGGGTGGGTTTTTCCAGACGTCCTCTACGCCGCAACCGTCTGGAGCGTCCTTGTAGCGACGATCGCACGGCAGGTAAGCATGGCGAGCTGAAAGATGCATATACTGTGGCAAAGCTGTACGCTGGGAGGCCGTTCGTGTCTCCGCAAGTAAAGTTTGCTGCAAGACCAGCATCATTTGGGTCGCAGTTGGGGATACTGCAAACGCACGACATGCAGCAAAGAAGTTGCCTACTACTACGTACGTGGAGACCATACCTAGATGTGGCGAGTGCCGTGTCCACAGGGCCAATTACAGCGCTCCGCCACAATCGTATCTGAAGCGAAATGCTAGGTCAAGTTTTGGTATTACTGTGGCCCCGTTGTCACTGACGTGGCACGCGGACATGCCAAGGCCCTCAAGCCTCGGGATCTTCAGGTGGCATTCAGGCAACGAAAAAGCCACGGCAGATTCACATCAGGAAAAGTATTTGGCATCTTTCGAGCTACGCGATCATGAAGTACTATGGTCTGATAGACGACAGGTGCCAGGAACGGATCCAGCGGGTCTCAGATCACGGAATAGGCCACCCCTGCTCGCAAACAGGGTTCTGACCGCTATCGCACCCACTACGTCAAAGGTCAACGCCAATCGTAGCCGCCTGTCTTGCCGCGAGCAGGGACCACGCTGAGATCGTCTTCAGGTGAGCAGGGGCTTTGGCAAGACGATTGGACATTGCGACTGAGACAACCATCCTTGATAGCAATCGGGTCGGGTGACAAAGATGTCGTCTCCGACAGATGAGGAAAGTAACGTGATCATGAGATGGTGTGAAAGCAGAATCGGTGAGCTCTTCGGTCCTTGTGCCCCGGAGCTTTCCAACACCGTCCAACGGTTGCCGTAAGCTCGACTTCAGTCTTTCCCAGGAACCCGGGTCGCTGGTTAAATGCTTACTGTTGCCATCTTCTTCGTTGTGTGGCTTGGGGCGAAGACCACCAAGGAAAATGCGGGATTAGCGCGAGCCCACCACACTCTCGCGCTAAAGGCCACGGAAAATCGCTGCTTGTACCCAGGGCGTCTGTTGCCAACATTAAGAGGCCCCCAACGAGGAATCGTCTTGTCACCACACAACGAGTTGGCCTGGGTGGGCAACAGTATGAGATTTCGCGTCTATTCCTACCACATCGATTAAACAAGCATGATCAACCGCATGTAGGTCTGAGACACTCCGATCGTCTTAGAACCCTCTTCAGCTCTCAGCTAAGCAGGAAACTCCTATCTCGACTTCAGTTGAGTTATCAGACCAGCAGAGCATGTTTTCGTAATGGTACGCCTTTGGATTTTCTTTGTCGAGGGTCACACTAACATTGCGGGCCGCTTTCGAGTTACTCCGAAAGCGCGCGTTGCGCAAGACTTCTAGCCCCTCGGGAAAAAAAAACGGACGGATCAAGCTCCTTGCGTTTATTCGTACTGCAATTCTCCATCAAACGAGCATTGACAATCACAATCAGCCGATTCTAGCTTTCTCTAGCTTTCAATATAGGAAGGAGGCGGCGCTGAAGCTACGGTAAAGCCCCCTAAGTGGGCTGAGCTCTGACGAATAGTTGCCTTGTACTGCGACCATGTCTGCTTCTCCGTATTTGGAACTCAACCTATCCGCGATTCAGGTCCCAGTCTACCCAGTTCGTCTACGAATGTCGATATCGGGAGAGAGTTTGAATGGTCTGAATTTTGAAAAGGGTCAGTAGATTGCGAGCTAACGAAATACCCTACTGCACCTTCCTTCCTTCCTTCCTCCCCCCCTGTACCAATACGCCGGGCTTGCGGCTGCCACTCGAAAGGATATCCTTTTCAGGAAAACAGCTCTTTCGTTTTCGGATTTCAGCACGAGCCAATATGGGGTCACCCGATCGGACGTGCAATCCCGTGCAATCCAGTCAAGTCTCAGAAGCGGCTCATCTAGCGAGCTATTCGATGCTTCTCGTAATGGGAGAGTCCCGCTCGAGCGAGTAAGCAGGGACCATATCAATAACCGAGCGTGCTTTAGTCCGCAGTCAACCACAACCAGTTCTGGAAGTATGTATCCATGATAGCGTCGTGAAGCTCCAAGCGAGCGAATTTGGCTGTGAACTTGCAAACCCGGGATCTCCTTTCCATGGTCGGCAGCCCAGCCGTTAGTCTGCGGGAGACTGCTGTGGAGAAGGTTGTGGCACATTGGCCATGGCTGGGATCCCATGGGATTGCGCTGCGACTGCGAACCAAACTATTGTTGCAATGGCGAGGCGGTTACTTCCAGAATAGAGAATAGAGCGCGACAACCCGTAGCTGTCTGTCATACTGAGCACATGATGTGGATGTTTCTCTATAGGGGTGAGTCCGACATCTTGTCTGAACCCAGCAAAGGGCTCGATCTCTTTTCATCTTGGTACGACTCTGCGAACAGAATACAGTACAAATAGAACGGATTGATGTCAACTTTCATCTTTTCGATTCCGTCGTCTTTCATCATGTCCAATGTTCCTGATTTAGCGAGTGTTCTCGACATTCTTTTTTAGTACTTACCCCTGAGTCGTGGTGAGCTGAAGATGCCATATGGCCTTCTGGTTCGCCAGGGCGTAACTGCTCAACAGGCCTGAACTGGGCCGGGTGATGGCCGAGCAACTTGTATTCTGCGACCACGATGGCTTGCTTCGATGGACCGAGATCTACTCGTATCATTGGATCTTGGACAATGCTATCATCGCTGTTTCGATCTTTAGCGTCCCTGATGATATTGATGTCCACCTCTCAAGCCTTCTCAATCTATAGGAAACCTTCCTTATCCGCATATTGACTCTCTTCGAGCCGAATTCTATGGGGTTTGTTAGGATTTCCCAATGGGGTCTAGCGAAAACGTCGAATATAGGCGTTGGATTAACGTCAATATATATTTAGGCTTGCACACCTAGGTGCTGGAATCCTTGGGCGTAGACCTAAAGCACAGGCTTGACTACGTAGCCGTCGAGGGAAATTGTCGTGACACTTCGCAGGCTCCCTTCAGATCAGAACATGCGTGATTTGGGCTAGGAATGACTATGGGTACCGCACATAGATAGATAAATAGACCAATCACAGCTTCACTCTGCGGCGGCTATTTACTTGCTTCTCGCTTCGTCCACCACAATATAACAATTTGGAGGCCCAGGGGCTGTCTCTGACAAAAAAGGCGCAACGAGACGGCTCCAGCTGCCCCTCCAGGTCCGTTGTGCCATATAAACGTTGCAAGTAGTCGACTATATTTCATATAACCCTCCCCCTATATCCGAGTAACCAGGAATGCTGCATCGCCTGCATCTGTTCCTTCTCGTCTTTGTCGTTGTTGTCGTTTTCGTTCTGTTGCTGTGTAGGGAGTCGGGGCGATTGAGCCTCCACTACTTCCTCGTCGGCTGGTATTGCGCCTGCGTTTCCAGCGCCCGCACCTGTCGCTGTGGTTCAATAATCTGCTGCCTTGACGCTTGCCATCCCTCCTGGTGTGCCCGTTCAATCGCTTCAAGGCGCTGGGCCAGAGTCGGGCCAGCTCCCAACATCTATTGGCGCGTCCGTTCAATCACTGCAGCGCATGCAACCAGACGCCGTCTCACTCCTGGCACCTGAACTTGTCTTTCTCGGTTCTGCTATGAAGAAACACCCTGCTCGACCGTACTTCCCCGGACGTGCTGCTGCCTCTTCATCTCTTCCCGACCCCACTCCACGGCCGAGTTGCTCGCAAAACTCAAATGCGCAAGCATTGTGCCACTAGCAACGTGCTCAATATGTGTGCGCAAGCATTCCATCTGCTCCTCCTGCAGGTGAAAGGGAAGCTCCGGGGGACTGATGTCGAGATGCTGCAGGAGCTGGCAGTGCGACCGTCCCAGGTCGTCCAGGAGACAATCCACTTGTATGGAGGCTCGGAAAACCTCAGTTTGGCCGCGGTCCAGGTTTCGACGGTGTTCCATGCACGAATCAAGGATCTGGAGGATTTCGAGGCGGTTATCTTGCCAGTATTGGCGCATTTCGGTTTCGACTTCTTGTAGATTCAATTGCGGGTATCTTGGTTGTTCGTCTGGATGTTGTTGATCCTCCTGGGGCTGCTCTTCCCGCGATATCTGTTCTCGGGGTTGCAGCTCTTGTTCCTGAGGGACTTCATCCAGGGTCCGTTGCTCCTGCTCCTGTCCTTGGCTAGGCTCGTACTTCTCGCGCTGTCGAATCCGCGCCCTCCATTCATCAAACAGTCTTTTGAAAATACGGTCCTGCTCCTCCCTGCGCTGCAGTTCCGCCGAACGTGCGGGATGCATCCGAGCCTCAAGAGCCCACAATGCCGTCGCATTCCGTTGCTCCTCCGCCTCTAGTTGCTCTGCTACCCGCTCTTCCGGAGACGGGGAAGACGGTGGGCCGCTGACCTGATAATCCGTCACCTCCGTATGATAGTCATAGAACCATTCTGTCCAGCGGAAGGCGACCTTGAGTTCTTCATCATCGGGCGCGGAGAGAGGACCTCATACGTCCTGCTGAGTCGACGCCCTATGGGAGGAAAGGTTATATCTCGAATGTCCAGAGATTTGTTGATGTTATTTCGCGAACGCACCACGTAGGAAATTCTTGCCCTGTGGCTGTCGGGGTTGGGGCGGCTGTTGACTGGTTCCGGACGGGCAATATTCCCGTAGCCGCCATCTATTCCTCCGTGTGCGTACCAAAGGGTCCCGTGCGTTGTGTCAGGGACGGAGGACGGTTGGCTCTTCTCTCTGCACCTCGCCGCATGAACTCCTCCCTAGTCATGATTTGGGACCGGTGTCCCTGATCTTGTTGGGTTCAGCTGGGCAACGCTAACAATTTGTTGGCGGTGGCGACTATGAGAAGCCACTCGTGCTGCTTCTTCCTCACGCTGCTGCAATCTGGGGTCTAGCCAGGAACCGTATCTCTGTGCGGCACTCAACTGTCCTCTTCAGTAAGCCGGACATTTCGAGTGTTTGGAGCCGCATCAGTCACCTCCTCGCGGCAGATGCCACAGATATCGGGTGTGGTCGACATGGTTGTTATTGATGAGGTGTGTGCTGATTGCCAAGCCGTTCTTAAGACTGGATGCATTCATCCAGTGACAGTTGTTCAGTTGCTATGACAGAAACGAAATAAACAGACGTGTGTCAGTGCTTGCGTAGGGGAGGGTGACCAAAATGAGGTATGACTCGGACAATTCAAAGCACATATTCCCATTATATACGTCGGTATACAGGAAAAATGGAGATAGAAAACTTCATCGGTCGAGTCATAGTTGTGTAGACTTCACCTTCAACCAGACTGGTACGACAACTAGACCTTCGGAGAAATAACATATCGTTGATACTGGGACCAATCAAGGTGCGATCCATAGGAGATATACCTCTGAAGAGGAAACTCATCGAAGTTTTACCTTTGAAGTATCCAGACGCCAAGCTCCGTTCCATAGAGAGGACCAGGAGCGGCTGGCGCAAGGAAGAAGAGCAAAATGAACTGGATCGGGAGGCAGTATGAGGAAAAGCAGTATTTTTCTTCATGTTAGACATGAGATGCACGGTTCACTGTAACTACTCCACATAGGGTGAACATCGGGATCTCAATATGAAGCTGCAAAATGACAATACCGCAGGTGGTTTGAACATGGAAGGCAGTTACCAGTTGCTCCTGAGGTTGAAAATGTAAAACCACATGCCAAGCGGATGAAGAAACAAAGGGGGCAAGATTTTCTGGGATGACCAGGCGCAAACAATGCCCATTTGCAATATTCCATCTGGACCCCAACTGGATTATACGATGTAATTTTCAAAATATTTTGGACTGCATTCTTTTGGTGCTATTTCCAGGTTTTCCGAGTGGCTTCGCAGTGTCTTGCCTGAGAGAAAGACGGGAGACGGGACAGAAGGGAGGGTGTGGACCCGCGCACGCAAGTTGCGCCAAGAATCCAGTCAATGGGCCAGAAACGCGCTCCCTTTGTTCTCGCGCGACCAAGCTCCCGTTTTCATCACACTGTGCCCATCAGTCCACCACTGCCACCTTTCTTTTCGAGCCCTTCGCAACCTTTTCGGGCCTCAATTCCGGCATATTTCTGGTCGCAGGCAATCTCCCTTTTATTGATCCTTATTAAGGACTCAATCCCTTCTTTCCACTCCGTCAGCGATTCTTTCCATCGCCGTCGACTGTCTCATTATTTCGCCATGGCGGACTACACCTCTCTCAAGGTCCCAGAGCTCAAGAAGCTGCTTCAGGAGAAGTCGCTGCCTGTCACTGGCAACAAAGCCGACTTGATCGCGCGCCTGCAGGAGCACGATAAGACGCAAGAGCCCAGCAAGCCTGGTAAGAACTTTTCGCCTCGACGTCAATGCCGTATAACCACCTCACCTCCCAGCCTTGCGCTGCGCCATTCAATTCAATTGCACAGCAGGGGAAAACCAATACTAATATCACCCAGCTACCACCGCTGTAGCCACTGCGGAGGATGAGATCGACTGGGACGATGACGAGCCCGTGCCTGCAACAACCACAACCCAGCCTACCGAACCGGCCAAAGCCGCCGAGCCTACACCTGCACCCGCCGCTGTAGACGAGGCTGCCCCAGTAGCTGGCAACATCGCAACAGAGGCGCCCGCAGAGACAACCGAAGTTGCCACGGCAACCGAAGAAACGCTACCAGAAGTCCCCAAGCCTGAATTCTCCGCACATCTGCCCGCTACGAGCGCGGACGAGGAAGCGCGCAAGCGCGCCGACCGCGCCAAGCGCTTCGGAATAGTAGTTGATGAGGACGAGGAAGCAAAGCGCAAGGCGGAACGCGCGAAGCGATTCGGTGTCGAGGAGGCAGAGGACGCCGAGAAGGTCGTCAAGGGTCTGGATGCTGCGCTGCCCGAGGGCCGGAGGCCGAAGCGCGGTCGCGAGGGAGGAGAGCGCGAGGGAGGGGAAGAGAGAGGTGCCAAGAGGCAGAGTACGGATGGTCGACGAGGTGGTGGAAAGGTGCGAGGAAAGGGACGTGGAGGCCGAAGTGGCGGTGTCGGCAACCCGAAGCAGAACGGTGGGGGTGCGCCTAAGCAGCGCATCATTGACGACCCGAACGAGAAGGCCAAGGCCGGGGCAAGAGCGAAGAGATTCGGTGCTTAGGTTGTGGACGATGTCTGACCTTGAGCTGAGGACGAACCTTCTGGTCTTGATCGATCGACTGCAATGAGCCCACGGCGAGAGCGGAGTATGTATTTGTACTATTATGCTATTATTTACGGTGTGTACCCAGAGGGCACTTGTTTTTGCGTCAGGAGCAGCTAGACACATAATCTGTGTAAAGGCCAGCGATTTTGCCTGGAAAGTGTTGAACACGAAGCATTTGGGGTCTTGGGCTATGGATTAGTTTGAAGTTATGTGATTAGACATTTTGATGCTTAGTTGAAGCCCCCAATATAGATGTTCTGAAATGGCCCATTCTACCCAGCTGACGGCAAAGCAACATGTTAGGTAGGAAGACCTAAAAAGCTGGAACCGCTATATGAATCATCAGTCACTACCGAACTACGTGTCTTTGATTTTTGCCATATTCAAATGTTCCAGCGAACGAAACTCCCGAGTTTCCAAAGCCAAGCGAAATCAATAGATCTCACACAAAGAAAGCAAATAATGTGCCTCTTGCAAGCCGCTCGACATAATGTCGGTCTCTACTGCAGGCCTGTAGTGATTGCACACACCTTTCCCGCAATGGACCACATGGGAAAACACAGGAGCCACAAGATAAGAAGTTCAACGTTGCTATAAATCAAAAGCTAACCCAGCTCTGGATGCGGCACAGAGCCATGAAATTTGCCGCCCTCCCTTTTATGTATATCATTTCATCCCGTCCATGTATGTATGTACCTTCAGAGGCCTTCCATTCATTCCATTTGCATACCGCGGAACATATAGACCATAGATCACTCACTACAGGGAGCCCCCAAAACATAAACCCTTCCTAGATTCCTTCCTGAACGCCGGGCTTCTACCAATATGCAACCAGTCAATGACCATATCCATGCTCCGTATCGAATCGTGCCTATCTTACCAACACCAAAAGGGAAAACAAGAACGTCGGGTTCGATAAAAACTCAGCAGACAATCCTTTCGTTGGGCGTTCCAACGAACCCCTTTCAGTCTCGCAGCATAATCAATGGGTATCATCGTATCGGAACTCCTTCCATCCTTCCCTCCACATTACCCTTCTCTTCCATCCTCTGCTTCCCCTGCCCTTTCACTCTCCCTAACCAATCATAACCTCTTGCGTCACCAACCCATAAATCCAGTTCGCCTCCATCACGCTCGCGCACTGGAAACACCACTTATTAACCGCGCCCGCTACACCCCCGGTCCTAGGCGCGAGTCCCTCCTCACCCGCCTCATCCTTGACCTCCTCCCACACATTGAGCAAAATACCCCGGCTCCCCAGCCTCGAGAAACACCTGCTGCCTAAGATAACATCCAGGATAATCAACGCCTTGCCTGCGTTTTTCTTGGGTATGCTAGTGACGACGACCCGCTTCTCCATGCCCTGATATTTGCGCAGGTTCTGCCTTGTGCCCTGGTCCGGCCGGCTGACCTCGAGGAGGCAGTTGCCGTGGTCTTCCCACTTGCTGCTCGAGACCATGAGGTGGAGCCGGATCTTGAGGTTGTTGGTCGTGAGGCTCATCTTGGCCATGTTGCCGCTATTGGCGGCGCTAACGGAGGGTGAGCGCGGCGGCGTGCCCGATGAGTTGGACGAGGTGTATATGCTCGGCTCGATACTGCTGCCGCGGCTTTGCTTGTCGACACTCGACATGGCAATGTCGAAGGACTGGTTCCCGCCGCCGACCAATCTTTTGAGGAATGATGATGCGGATATGCCGGATGAATGTGATGTGCTGCCGGCAGACTGTGAAGGTGCGCGTGCCGACACACGGTAGCTGTTCTTACGGCCAAACCAGCTGCGTCGCTGTGAGGATCCGTCGCCATCCTGTTCAACTGTCTGGTTCTGCCCGAAGGCGCGGACGCGGGCTTCCTCTTCTAGGGCTTTGTACTTAGCATTGTCCATACGCGCCCGGTGCACTGCCAGGTACAAGGATTCGCATTCTTGAAATGAGGCAGCACGGAAGCGGAAGAAGGTCGTCTCAATCTTCGTCACTTTCGAATACAGCTTCGCGTAGCTGAGGACCGGAGATCTTATTTCGAGGTCCAGCACGGTGCTGTTTCGCAGCATGACGAGGGGTGTAAGATCTAGCGCGATCAGTGGTCGGTCTTCATCTGACTGAGACGCACCCTGCATTCGTCTCGCAGGATACGCTTCGATCAACCCGGGTGTGATGACGAGTGAGCAAATTTCTGGCCAAAGGTCCTTCCAGCAGCCCTTCTTGTTGTCCCAGTACGAGATTGAAGCCGCAGCTCTAGTGACGTATGCTGGCGGCTCAGCAGCAAACTTTGGTAGACCAGCTTGGGAGGCTGAGGCCGACGGGGTGAGACTGACGGCGCTTTCCGAGACAAGTGAGTCGGCGGGCGTTTCGTTGGGCACTGGCTCGTTGGATTTCTTGATGCTGATAGCAGGCATGGTCTCTGGCATATCAGCGGCCTCGAGTTCATCATCAGATGACTCGGATGACGTGTAATCATCATACTCATCCTCGTCTTCACCTTCGTCTTCATCCTCTGTGTCTGTGCATGAAATTGACAGTGAACTTTCAGACGAGATGTCAGAGGGGTGGTACTCGTGCTTGAGAGGAGACGAGCCACGCCGCTTGATCTTGGGGGTGTTGAGATCTACAGGAGGTGAAAGTGTCGATGATTTCTTTGGTGTGATGCGGTGTGCAGGCGGAGGAGGTGCGCCATCCTCACGGTAAGATTCGGTGCTGGGAGATCTCTGCAGCGCCGAGGGATCAGGCCGCATGCTCTCCCGTAAGGGTCGGGATCGGTCCTCCTCCGTATACGGCGAAGGAGATTCTGGGAGTCTATGCTGCGATTCGAGGTATGACTCTTGCGTAGGTGTCTTCGCGGATGGCGGAGTCGAAGGCCTTTCTGGAGAAGATATCGGCGTTATAGGAGCACTTGTTTGCCGTGATTGGTAACGAGTTGGAGTAGTCTTTGTCTTGAGTTCCGGACTGGATTCCACTCTTGTAGGAGACTGAGTGGCAGACTCATGTCTGTGGTGCTTCCTTTCTCCAAGTGGAATATCTGCCGAGCCAGGCCTAGGTTGTAGAACCAGAGGTTGCGCCCCTGTTGTCCGCAGCGCTGTAGTGACAGCTGGAGGTACTGGACTGCTACCGAGGATGTCTAACCAGTCGACAAGCTGCTCCTCGCTGTCCGTGGTAAGTGTCAGGAGTTCGAACCATTCATCATTCTTGCCCCTGATCATGACCACGAGTTCGCGCTTGCCACCCTTTCGGGCAGAGTATTGGCCGCCGGGGATCGGAGCGAATAGCAGCCATGATCGTCCGCGGCTGCCAGTTTCTCTGATCAAGAGATCACCAGGGTCGGACTTGAACAGCTGATTGTCTCGAGAGACTAGTTCGACTTGGCATTCCAACCGTTGTCCGTTAGAATGACGAAGGGATAGGGAAAAAGAGTCCTTCGCATACACTTGTCGGAAGCGATCGATTTTAACGTTGTCCAGAGCTGCGAACGTCTGGAGATCCCGAACTCGGCTTGTATCTGTATTCATCGCATCCTCATCAACAATTCTGGCACATTCTTCCTTGTGCCGCCGACGTGCTTTTTCCTGTAAACCGTCCCATTTGCTCGCAATTTTCTCATAATTTTCTGTCCCTGTGACTTTTCGGTAGCTCTGGATCAAGTCAGTCAAACATCTTCCAGTGAGTCTTCATTGTTGATTCCTTACCCTGATGAATCTGGTGATCCACTTGGCGCGTATAAGTGGCCTCTTCAGGAGATGAGCAACGTCGATGCGCTCGCCATCTTCGTTAATAACATCGCCTTCTTCGTTGCGGGGGAGGGCGTTGATGAGCGAGTCGTTATCGTCAAGTGACAACGGAGCGAGATTAACTATGAGATCCTGGAAACCAAGACGCCATACGTCAAGGTATTGATCATAGATAGGATGCACAGAGTCGAGCCACTGCGGAAGGCGATGCGCATCTAACAGAGGACAGCGTCGGTGCACATTTCTGAGCTTCTCAAGGACAATGCCCATGTTCACGACTGATTTGGCAAGGCTGTCCTCCCTTTGCTTGCCCATAGGCGTAAAAAGATCCTCTTTCGACAGGGTCTCATCACCGTTGATCACTTGGGTCAATAATACGGGAATAACACCGTCGACAAGTGTCTTAAGCTCTCTTGCATACAAATTTTCGTCGCCGGCGAACTCCTGCAAAAGGCCCGCAACAGTAGCTGTGTTTGGACGGGTTGAGTTCCTTCTGCGTACACTGTGAGCTGATCGGAGACTACTGCTCCTCCCAGCCTTGGTGTTGGCATCTGGTAAAGACAAGACAGAAACGAGATCGGAGTGCTTGGTAAGACGTCTCTTCAAGCCTGGTTTGTTGCTTCTGTGCCGCGAGAGGTTTGAGCCCGTACTCCTCGTCGTAGCAGTTGTCTGGGTCATAGTGGTCGATGAGAGCATCGACGACAGATCTGACTCGCGCGTACTAAGCGACTCCCGGGATACTATCGTTGATAGCTCATGGACGCCTTTGGTAGGTGGCTTGCGTCTCGGATACGAAGAGGGTGTGGTAGTCTCTTGAGAAACCGACGAATCGTCGGCATATGAGGACAACGGGGACCTGGAGCCAGATGAACGACGCCGATCACGAGTGTCCTCACTATCCCCGTCATCAAGTTCAACTTCTTCAGAGCAGCTTGGATAAGTCATGGGCAAAGTTTTCGGCGCATTGGATTCTCCACGGAATGCATCCATGAGCTTGTCCTTGAACCCTTTCTTGGCGCCTGGCTTCAAGGGAGACGAAGTGCTCCTAGTGGCTCGACTTCTCTTGAGACCAGCTGCCGTCGGAGTGGTGGGGTCGTCCTTCGGACACTCATCTGGCTCTTCATCTTTCATCTTGGCGGTTTCTTCATTCTTGTGCTTGACACGCTCTTTGGCTGTGGGGGTCTCGGCGGGACGAACATCATCTGCTGACTTGCTTTTGGACACCGAAGGTGCACTGCGTGCCTTGCCTTCGTTGACCGGTCGCTTTTCTGTGTTTCTTCTCTGGGGCTCAGGGGTGAGCGGTGACTTCTTCGGCTCAGGAGGGAGCAGAAGCTCCTTTTCAATGGATCTCCTCTTGGGCTGAGAAGGAAGCGGCGATTTTCTCTTGGGTTCAGGAGGGAGCGGCGGGTCCTTGTCGATGGATTTCCTCGTCGGCTCAGGGGTCATGTTTGGTGACGATTCTTCCACGAACGGATCAACGGTCTTGTTCAACCAAGACTCGATGCTCCGTGGTTGATTAGCCACTGGCTTGGGTGGAGGGTCAACTTTCTCCGAAACTATCTTCTTGCCCTCGGTCAACACCTTCTTCAGGACATTAGTAGCGCCCTTGAAGCTGGGATTCCTTTTAGCCTTGGGACGTTTGGTTTGACCCGAATGGCCCCCAGTGGTAGATCCAGTTCGCTGAATGCAGAATATCCCACCGGAATATCCGCTAGTTTGGAAGGTAAACTGGACGGCATGAAAGATTGAAGATCAGAGGCATGAGAGCCACTCGACCACGACTCGCTATCTGACACGTCCTCAGTCAGAATGGTGCTTGTCAAAGTGGTTCCTGTGTCCGCAAGACTTTTCGCCGCGGCTTTTTGTCTCAAATTGGAAGACGTCTTGCCGCTACTTCGTCTCGTAGGCGTGTCCGGCTCATCACTTTCAGAGTCTTCGATGACCTCTGTTCTCTCCGAGGGCGACTCACTACGCCTTGTGCTCGTTGTTTGTGCAGTTCGGCCGCGGGATCTCGGTCGTGAAGAAGCTCGGACAGTGCTGGCACCGCCAGATGTCGGCTGCGATCCATCGTCGGGATACACTCTGATTCCATCGTCTGGCAGAGTGGATCTCTGCGGCCTCACCCTAATCCCATCATCGGGTAGAGTAGTATTATGCGGTCTTATCCTAATCCCATCGTTCATAGCCGTCTTCTTGGGAGTAGGCGAAACTTTGCGAGTCGAAACCTTTCGAGAGGGGAAAACCTTTTGGGGAGGCGATGTCCTTCGAATAGGCGAAATTTTTCGAGTAGGTGAATACTTTCGAGTACGCGACTTCTGTCGGATAGGTCTTACTCGAATGCCGTCATCCTCAGCCACCTTCGGCTTGTCTGATTTGCGATGTTCCACCACAATACTCCCATCATCACTCGCGTCGTCTCTTGTGGTCCCAGAGCTCTGCGTAGGAGTGATGCGACTGCCGTCACCACTGCCCACCGATTTCGAGGCACTGTACCGTGTGGTTCGAGGCTCGTCAGGGATCTCGACCCGTGCAGCCCAATCCTTAATTTTGTTCTTGACAGGAGGGTTGGGCGATGTTCTCCTCAGGAAATCCTTGGGAAGTGGAGATCCGGTACCCAGGTTCAGTTTTACTTTTGACGAATGATTCCGCGTCGGGCTACTCCTCCTATTCTTCATCCAGTTGGTGTCACTAACAACACGCTTCTTAGGCGGGTTGCCCGAACGTGGATCCTGCTGGTTCTCTTTTTCGGGGTCGTTACCCCCTGCATCGTGGTGCTCAACCACCACCCGTGGCGGTGCCTTCTTCTTCTGCCGCAACTTGATCCTCACTCGATCTTGTTCCGTAACACTTTCGTCATCGACCTGGATCGCCACCTCGCTTGGTTCGCTCGGAGCAGCGAGGGGATCTGCTGATGCCATGGCTGTTGCGTTCTTTTTCTGCCATTGTTTTACCCGATCGTGCACACCGCCAGGAGGCTGAACCTTTCTCACATAACCCTGTCGCATCTCCAGCTTCACTTGTTCGACACTCATCCGTCTTTGCCTCGCCGCCTCCTTGTCTGCCGCAATGCGTGCTGCTGAAGGTCGCCCTAGTAGAAAGTCGCTCAGTAGAGTCGGCTGTGCTGGCCTCGTCGCCGATCGTGGCCGTGCTTGTACAGCGGCCGGCGCACTCTTGGGAGTGACGCCAGCCGCGGGGGCCGACACCTTGCGAGCATGAGTGGGCGTCGCATTAGGCGTTCGCTTCTTGTCGGGAGAGGCGCCGCGTCGTGGAGTTACCGGACCCCCAGGATTGTCTTCGTCGGTAGTCATGGTCTATGTTGACGAAGTAAGCTTCCGTCACATACTGTACGAGATTTGTAGGTATGGATGTGCAGATCTGCGAGCTTCCGTGGGAGGGGGTGGTCGCGATAATTGGTCGCCCAGCATGAGAGCCACATGCCAGACTGGCAAGAACGCAAAAGTGGAGGTGAACGTGGACATGCGTCCGCTCAGTAAGAAATCAAAAAACTGGCCTACCTTTCAACTGTACGGCATGCTGACTGTGGCTGAGACTTTGCGATGCCGCTGCTCAATAGGCGCCGCTTGGGTTGCAAATGAATGAGATAATAAGTTGGCAACGACACGATGATGCTTGTGCATCAGAAAAGGACGATTAGAGATCACACTAGAAGGAATGGTCCCAACTCGCGGAAGTAGGTGATAATGAATTGCATGAGGCTGACCTTAGCTAAGGTATCTTCCATCCTCGATGTGCTCACTGACACACCTTTGCAGCTCTGCAGCTCTGTAGCTTGATGACTTGGCTCATGAACACCACAGCAACCAATGGCGGGCGCTACGCAAGCTCAGACATAAACAATGGGATGGGCTTCGGACTGGCTGAGCTGGGCAGCTTGGTGGGCTCATAATCCCTGCCACCCGTCGCTAGCTTGGCTACACTCGGGTTAAATATACAGCTAACTGAGGGCGTTGTAGCCAATTCTGATGTTTTCCAGCCAATCAGCAGTCTCGCCTCGAGGTCTTGACCCCTCTTCATCCCCCAAATCGGTGATACCTCCAGTTTTCTCCTTCCCAACCGGAAACGTACCGGAAACGATCATCGCTGCTGTGGCTGTTTCACCTCTCAAGGCATTATCGCCTGAGAACCATTTCTCACCACTCGTGGAATCGTGGCTTATGTTGTTTTCCTACAGCTGACGGGTGCATATATCTTCATGCGCCCTGGTATTACTGTTATCGATGTTGTTGTTATCATACTACTACATACATCATGGATGCTCCAGCAATGCATCTGCATTACTTGGCAATAGTTGGCATCTTCTCTGTTTTTACCCCCTAGAATATCCCAGTTTCCAAGATCATGTTGTGATATCGGGTGAGTTAAGACGGAGTTTTATCTCATTACGACCAAAGGAACCAAACTTGCTACTCCCTGCAACTGAGAAATAGCAGTCGTCTTTCCGGACCTCTGGGCATCGATAATGACATGTCATGGTGTGCAAGCTTCTTTCCGTCTCAATGCGATATTGACCATATCTTATCTCGGCTCTGACAATCGCGGGGGGCGGTGCCTTGGTGTCACGGTGATGGCGAGCCAAGGAACATCGGAGCAAAAATGTTGACATTGACTAGACCCTGCTTGACATTACAGAAAACGAAACTTCTTGCGATGTCCCTCTGGATGCTTGAGAGTACAAGAAAGGGATACTTCCCGCGATGTCCCTGCAGATGGCTGATTGCAGGCAACATACCTGGACGACTACCCAGCCCATCACATGATTGACGCGAGTACAGACTTTTATTGCCAACCCAGAGAAAATGCTCAACGACACACTGATCTGTTTGGCCATCAGGTTATCGTGTCAAACGGCGACGTGACCCCCACCATTTTGATGAAAGTAGACCTCAAACCGCAAATCGGTACCAATCCCAACCAAAGAAACAATTCATTGTTCCGCCTGGAAGCAAAACAACTTGCCCAGGCTCATTTTCTGGGGCTTCTCTCGGATCGTGGCGTCATCTCCGGCGCGGAGAGTCTGGACAATTCTGACTCCCTCCTCGAAGATTCGGTCCACACCCTCTCCCGTTTTGGCCGAACACTCCATGTACTTGACCGTGCCCATGGCGTGGGCAGCCATGGAGCCCTCAGAAGCGCCGATGCGAGTCTCCCAGGTAGGGAACAGCGGTGCCCACATGCCAGAGCCGACACGAGTGTCTTTCTTCAGTCCGAGGAGAAAGACGGGAGCGCCAGGACAGTGCATACGGATGGAGTTGATCCACTGTTCGTCAGATAAATCAGCTTATTTTCTACGATGATGAGAGAACTGGTTCGGCTGACCTTGGTTTGGGCATTGGTGAACTTCTTGTCACTATTGACGCTGAAGCAGAGGAAGACTCCGTCCCAGGCTAGGTAGGAAAGAAGAGAGAGCTGGTTCAACTCGATGTTGCCAGAGGTATCCCAAAGCTCGAGATCAAAGTCTTGGCCATCGACATCGACGGTCTTATTGAAGAGCTCATACTGGGTAGGTAACCACGCTTGAGTGAAGGTATCACGGTAGAAGCGGCTGCAGGTCCAGTTAGCTGGCGCCAAGTTGGAATGAAAGGAATGATGGCAAGCTGACAGTAGCATGCTCGACTTGCCGCAGGCAGAATCGCCGACAAAGACGAATCGAAGTCTCGGGTTATTGACCAAAGTCACAGGAGAACCAGGGGGGTTGCTGGAAACGGGCGAAGAGCCTCGAACAGTAGCGCCATCGAGGTCTTCTTGAGCGCGAGAAGGGGTAATGATGCGCTGAAAGCCACTGGAGACACATCGGGCAATGTCGCAAGTCGATTGCAGAATTCGGGATCTAGGCCGGTCGGTTGGCGCCTCTTGGTGACCGAACGAGACGCACTTTATTCGCTTATTGCGATGCTCGCCACCATCATGGCCGGCATAGGCTTCCTTGAATTCCTAAGCGGTAGGCATCATTAGCTTGTAAGACACATTTGGTACCCGGAGTTTTGACTGATAAGTGGGGTTTCTTACCATAGCATGTTTCTCTCTGTGAAATTGAGCAGGCTCAGCTGCAAAGGGCAAGTCGCGATGGATGCTAGGCACCTCGGTGATCCATCTCAGCATGTTGCCATTCGATCTCCAGACATTCGAGACCGAGAAAGTGAACTTGCCGACAACGGGAGGACAAAAATTCTGCGAAGCTCTCGATGCCTCCTGGCCCAAAAGCTTGGGAGGCGAGGAGCCGAACTCCGATGATGAAGTCAACGACTGGGCCATGATGGGCAATATGACTAGTTAATGAGGAAGGGTGATGCAGAGGAGGAACACATAAGACAATGAACGGAAAGAAAGATGATAGAAAGCGCAGTGATTGTTGGTGATGTTACCAGCTGTGCTGGGGCAAGAAAGAAAATGCTGTTGTCCACAAGCTCTGCTGGTATTGCTGGTTTTCGCGTTGCTGGAGCTGGTCAAGGAGCTCAACCCAAAAGGGTGATTCTTTGCCTGGTCAGAGGAGCTTTGCAAACTCGAACTAGGAGAAAGTGCACCTTCCAAAGTGCAGCTGCTAACGCGTCCCTCCCGGAAAGCACGCGCATGTAAGATCAAGTAAATAGAACATTCATCCAAGACCTATTGATTGGGCAAATAGATCCATGCTTTATTGACTGATCTTGGAGTCTCATACGACGCTCCGCAATCATGCTGAATGACTCCTAAGAGAAACATACCATCCTTTGAGTAAATTATATGAGGATCGTGGTTTGACATAGATCGTGGCAACCACAACATACTGCTGCTGCTATGCGTGAATCGCGGACTTTTGCCTAAGTACAGAGGTCGGTCGGCCAGAGCAGTGTTATGTCGAATATGCGAGGCTCACAGGTCACTTTTTGTTCCTTGATATTGAAATATTCTCCGTTTTCGCCCCCGGCCTCGGAGGATGTCACAAGGTTGTCTCCTTCCCCGAAGCAGCATCAACTCAGGCGAGAGGAATTGATCTCGTGATACCAAGTCACTAGTCCATGGCAGCTCTTGGTCACTTTTCATGGAGTGGTAGTTTTATGCCATAGCTGTAAATGGGCTCGGACTCCTCTGTCCTGTGATATGGCCCCTTTCTGGTTCTGGGGACAATCATTCAGGGCTATGCAGACTATCTGCAGACTATCTGTAGCCACCGCGAGTGCAACAAAATACGGACAGCTGTTGGTATATATCTTTATTCGGGTTACAATATATCATAGCTGAGCTGTTAGTAATCCAAGTCACCTGCTTTTCTGTCACTTTGTCAGTGGTAATGGTTGTTGTGGGGAGTCCTTGGACACAACCATTTTAATTCAACGCATCCACTTTCACTTCACCAACTATCGTACCTACGAGCTTTAATTTCAAATCAAACCACTTCAATCAGATTCATAGAGGGATTCAAAGTGGTTGAACAAACTACAACGTAGCTCAACATTAATGTCGATATTTAAAAATATTCGGCTGCTGTAACTTTGAAAGATGGTTACCAATCGCACGCAGGGTTGGCTCCTCGATCAATCGACTCGTCCTCCTTTTATTTATTGTTTCTTTTTTTTTTCTCTTTTGGTCGTCTATCCATTCCTCTGGATTGATTTATTGGTTCACTGCTCCTCTATGAGAGCTTATGTCTCTTTGAAAGAATTAATAGATCATAGCATTTGACACAAATAATCCTTGATTTCGTTGTCAGATGCTTGACATATCAGGTCCTATAGTCCCACGCAAATCACCAAGGATTGATTGCATTATAGCAATGTATTCATCCTCAATCCCATAGGAGTTCAGACTATGTTGAATTGTAATTGAGATATCATGTAGTGATTGCAAAATTTGCAACACTGCGTGTTGGTAAAATTGTGACAGAAACACCAGATCCCTTTCCTACAGTTAGATATCTCCCATTTAATGAGCCTTTTTGAGTCTCCTTGATTTCGGCACTGCTCAAATAATGCCGAAGGGGTCTGTGGGTGGATCTTCTGAATTCGAGAGTCAGAAAGTTGAGCACCTAATCTGCAAACTTTCTAGCTGAATCAACAGCAAGAGCAACTCAGACGTCCTGGAGGTACGCAGGTACTGCATTTGTATTCTTGAATTATTTTCACTTTAGACAACGACGCCCTTTATCACACCTTCCCTGCCTTCAGCCCATGAGACCCCAAAGCTGAGAAATGATAGAATATCCCTCTCGCTTTGCTTATGACAAACGCTGCCTATTTATGCGCGCCCCTTTATGCGCGCCCCTATCATATCCTTCCAAAGGCGACTACCTCAGACTCCATCCAAGGCCATAGATCAACTTTTTATAAACCTTTCCAAGCTTACCCTCAGCCCCTTAGCCCTTAATACTAGATTCGAATTCTCAACCGTAGAGGAACCATCCAAACCTAAAACCGATACTTGCGTATTATTTCAAACACTTCTGCTTTGATATCGAGCAGCGCAAATTATCTTCCGATGCAAGCGCTTGGTCAATTCGCAAATACCTCGTAAGCGTACGACGAGACTGGCCCGCCAGTCGCGCAATCCCACCGGTCAGGGTCGATTTCGTCCATATCATCGCCCCAGATCAGGTGATTCATCAACGTGACGGACCGCATGATGTCAATGGTTGTACCCTTGCTTGGAGCGTACCGTCGACCAAGGCTTGGCGGGGCACGACGACGGCTGGGTTGAAGTGATCAGTGATGCTTGTGGATCAAGAGTGAGTTGGGATGAAACTTACCTGTGGGATATACCCAGAGAACTTCCTCGACGAAGTTGCTCGGGTATGGTAAAGCGTCTATTTCGCCGTAACCTAGGGCGTCTTTCTTTGCTGCTAGCCCTATGGTCTTACCGCGACGCTGGGTTTCAGATTTTATGCTTCGTGGCCGAGGTATCATTGCCCTGCAGATAGAAGCACGGCATGCCTTTTATCGGCGACGAACAGTAGTCAGCATCTAGAAGGACTTTCAAAGATGTTCAGGGGTTCATGGAAATAAGACTTACATAGCCCACAATGTACGCATCCGTCAAGCCCTCAGCAGAGCCACCTAGCAGACTTGCCTCTGTAAGTAACTTAACAGATCGCGATAACCGTCAGTGTTATGTTTCCTGGTAGCCATAGCCTGAGGAGTATCATGTCGTCCTTTGCGAATAACGTATTGGCAGGGCATGCTGCACAAGATTCGTAGTAAAGGAAAACATCCGATTTCCCTCGTAAGGAATCCATCGCGCGGGATGAAGCCGTGGGCGGAAGATCTGCAGTTTTGCCGTTAAATTTATGCCGCAAATGTCGTTGTAGTCGTTGTGAAGCCCATATTCGGCCGCCCTACGCGTAATGATGTCCTAAAGCCGGCACAACGCTTGTAATCGACTAAGAGGGAATTGCTATGGAATTTGTACGCCAAGAATCCCTCCAACTACCTCCTAAATCATCAAAAAGTGCTGTTTGCGGCGAAAAAAACTGGTTGAACCTTTTAGGGATACGCAACCACTTAGCCACAACTGGATGGACTGTTTTATACTTATTTAAATCCGGCAGCAAAGACTGAAATGGGCACCAGAATCGAGTCCAAACGCTTTAACAGAGCTACAACGGAAGCTGTTAACTGGTATCCTGATATTAGAGAGGACTAGTACAAGTGGATTAACGTAGAGAATGCCCTCAACGTCGATAAGGGAGGCTTGATGGCTGCCCAGGTTAATAAAAAGATACTGAGTTATATGGCTATGTAAGTAATTCGAATATAGCAATTAACGGATTGGTACTCAGCAGTATAGAAACTAAGACGGCTTGAGTTAAGTCGCTGTCGCTTCATCTAGAGACGTTCCTATCCGATTTTGCGCGCGTTTAAAGACGAGGTCCTTGACCTAGCTGCTGGCCCCGCGAGAGACGAAGGATATCTCAACCCTGTCTAATGAATGCTCCCGCTCTTGCTAAGGCATGGACCTAGTGTTAGCTGAAAGTATTTGATTGGTGGGGTTGGTTGGCTTCAACGATCTACAAATCAGGGCGACGACTTACTATACGAATCAGCCTGATTCCCAATCTCACTTTACCTTTCCGTGGTGCGATATGTCGCTTGACTGAGGCCGTCGAACTAATCACCAATACTACGAGTGACCGACTGCACAGGTAATTGCCAAGGCCGAGGCGGCGCGCTGGACCTTACATGTAATGAAGACACCGGGCGGAACGCGATAGCCTGTAGACATGGACCCCCTGGTTTATACGATGTCCTGGGGTGTTGAGGCAAATTGCCTCAGCTGCAGCTCTGTTTCCTGCTTATATGGGACAGCCAACGGTGGCCATGAACTTTGTGCCGATATCTTCAAAGTGTGCGCCCAGGAGTGAGGCAGGGGCCTGCGAAGATACCTTAACTACAAAGGCATGATGCTTGAGGATAGACGCGAGAAATGATACGCTCGCCTGAGTCGCTATCACCAGATGTTTGGACATATGGTAGTAGATACTCCTACCTCGACCCAAAGGGGATTGTTTACAAGAGCGTGGTGATCAAGAGCACCTGTCTGACCATCGCAGGAATGCTCATTGTAGTTAGCAAGCAGCCAATTGAGCCAGTCGATGGTCACTGCGGGTATCTCATGCCGTTGACCTGCTACACAGTTGGAAATACATTCTGTTTAAAGGTACTCAATAAGTCGCACAACTTGCCCATGCTAATTGAGGAGAGAAACCGAACGGAACCAAACCTATAGTAAGACAGTTAGACCGTCCCAATGCAGGTTTCGGAACAGATGATTGGCGGCAACATCCTTGTCAGCCCTTCGCTCTTGCTGCAAGAAAAGGATATCGCGAACTATTCCATTGGAGCGAGAACCCGCTGGTCATCTTTCGATCCTTCAAGTCAATAAGGACGCTGAAGGACACGGGCCGCGCGTGATATTTGGGCGGCCGACTGGTAAGAAGAAGATCAATATTTGAGTGCCCCTGAGACATGGATGGCTACATACTGATGTGCACACAGCTTCAGCTGTGCCGTGGATTATGACTAGCTTCGCTTTCTCCAGTCTGGGAATGCACTTCGTGTTGCCAAAACAATATGGCAGTCTTAGAGCTATGCCCAACTCAATAACTCAAAATTGATAATCGTAAGACCAGGAACCAAGAACATGTCGATTGCAAGCATGACAACCTGTTTCATTTGGAATGAATCGGACGAGGAGCCTGTCATCGTGCCATCAGGCAGTCGGAATTATGAAAGCACAGTACGTGTAAGGATGTACTTCACTAGCAACGAGCTCGTACGGTGCGATTCTTGGTACGTTGACATACCCTTGTCATCGTTGGCTTGAGCTCGGTTGCTCAACAAATTTCAAATCATCGACATTTGTTTCATTCCTCCGGACGGCATGTAATCTTATCTGATCATCACTCCTGTCAGACACGAGAAGTAAAAATCGTGCGATTGCGTAACCTGCGTTGCAGACCGCCATGAAAGATTCCCGTGAGCGAGGTTGCTGTGCCGTGCAGTCCGCGATCAGGTCAGCACAGAGCAAACATGACACGCGTCGCGTCGAAGTGACCCAAAAAAGAAACTCTCTTTCCATAGCCATCGCAACGAGGATGTCTAAGGGCCAAGGCTTGGCCAATAACAAGGGGCTGATCCAATAGCTGGGGGTGGACACCATCCAGGAAGTTATCTGATCCTTTTTGTCCGAGACGAAGGTGGGTACCAATCCTGGCAAAAGTGGCTTTGGGTTTTCATTGGTGACTGTCCTGATACGATCGCGTCGTACGAAGAAAAGAAGCCGAGATGAAGGCCAGGAGACGTGCTTATACGTATCTCGCCGACGTCGGAGACATCAAGATTATCAGATGCAGAGATATTTTATTGAGCGGGGTGATTGATTAGATATATTGATTGATTGATTAGACTAGAGGTACAGCGGGATTGCGCGACATGGAGACGGCGCGGACAGTTGCAGACTGCTTAGGGAAAAGGGGAAGGAGGAAATACAATTTGCATGTGGGAATTTGGGGATGGTTAATACACCAAAAACACTACGGGTATATGCTGAACACATGACAGTTTCAAGCTGCACCTAGATGGAGACGTTGGGAGTCTGTATTGTGGGATACAGGGGGAAGAAATTATGGGAAATGACACAAGATCCGAATGACAATCCCGACCAAGCGGCTGCGGTAAGAAAAAAATCTCGGAGTCGTCATATTTCCCTGTCGTTTTCTACCCCAGCTATGATGTACGGCCCCGGTGCTGGAAGCATTGAAAGAAGGAATGGAAGCAAGTTTAATCCTGGGTTAGCTTTCCCTCTAGCGGGGAACTGTTCCGTGGCCGGCGGCGGATCACAGTACCGGAAAAGGAGGAAAGGCACATGTTTCCGGGGTTCAATGACAGCAAACACAGTCATGCTGCATGACCCAAGAAGTCCACTTCGGGTTTTCGTCCCCGTGACTTTGCCTCAAACAGTGGCGAATCGCCGATTCGCAACGACCTCGGCGCGTGTTGCGTCTTGGATAATTGCAAATTAGAGTGAGCGCAAACGATGGTCTCTGGCTTCCGCGGGCGTCTTCCGGAAATCCTGACGAACTCGAACTCGAACTCGAACCCCCGAGGTCCCGTCGAGGTTCATTCAACGGCAACCGACAGACGCTGGGAACCGAGGATCCCACGATAACGACCAAACTAGTACATAGTGTTTCTATCTTTCCACAAAGTTCGATTGCTTGGCCGCATATCGGCAGTGGTGTTGACAGCACACCATTTCGGCATTCTTGGGTGGATGTTTCGAATGTGGAAGGTGGAGTTGCGGTCCGGCTCTGGCCAACTGATGAGATTCTGTCCCATAATGATGAGCTTCGCCTAGGTTGATGTAATAATGATCCCTCCAGTGGTAAACGTCCACCTGGACGAAAGCTGCAGACTGCAATGCATACGTAGTATGTGCAGGTATGAAGCCATGAATAATAAAAATTGATAGAGTTGTGGCCTGCTGCCGGGATAGGCCCTAATGGATTCTTTTTCTAGCGAGGCGGAGGAGAAAAGGAGATTCAAGCATATTTGTCACTGATATTAATCACTCGAGGTCCGATTTAAGATTCCACATTGAGGGGCAGGACACCTAACTCTGTGGCTCGGCGAGAATCGGAGACTAGAGGTAGGTGTATTGAATCGGTTCTGAACTGCTGTAAGGGTCTTGTTAGCCTTGTTGAACGCGAAATTTGTCGTTTGGCACTGAGGTAATCGACGGGGATATTTCTCAATGTGGGTCTGGCCCTAGAGATCGTCTGCATGCCCATCTGATAGGTGGGGGCTAGTGGAACCAACCGAAATGCATGGTCATCATATCATCGCTTGATCGCTCAGCGAAACTAGCTTATTATCTGATCAAGCCTTCTTCCACACCTCTACATCTTTTCCTTGCCTTCCCCAAGCCAAAGAAGACGACCAGAGACAGAGCCGCTGGCAATTTAAGCTGACTTCGTTGTTATATATCCTTCATCATCAACCTTGTCGTCAGCGTCCTTCGTCTGCTCGACCACAACCCCCATTGTAGACCTCTGTCGACTATCATTGTTTCTCCGAAACACGGTCGCTCCCACAATCGTCCAATTAAGAAGCCACACCTGCTGGCGTTTTTAATATACACTCACTCTTTCTCGCGTCCCATTGTGATGAGGGCTTAACGATAACAACACGTACAACTCCGTTGACCTTTTCTTTACCCCGTTGCTGCACCACACAAAGAAGACCTGAAACACGATGTCTGCACGCATCGACCAAATGTTGGTGGAGGCGACTCGCGACTGCACGCCATGCTCGCCTCGTACGCCTTCCATCGCACCATCGCTGACCTATTCGGAGGACTCTGTAGACCAGGATGAATTACAACAACCTGAGCTCCCGCGCCGGCGCCGTGCGTCTACAAGACTCATTGCCCAGAGCGCAGCGGATGTTCAACGCATCACTGGTGAATCTACTACGGAATTGATCAGCAGGTGCTGTGGTGGCGGCTGTTGCATGAATTTGGCGAAGAGGAAGAAGGAGGGGCAAGGCTTTGAACGCATCCCATTTCCCGATAACGATGCCTATAAATCCCTTGGTCTGAGACTCGATGAAATACCGTCGACCCTCACCAACATTACAGATTTACCGGAACAAACCGCCTTCTTCACCCCTATTCGACGCACCTCCAATAACATGCCGTCATCGCCTACGGACTCTGCCATTTCCGTGAGCAGCGAAACCAACGGCACTGCCAACAGCCCTGCTACAATCGAAAAGAAGCTGCAGAATCTGAGTCTAGAAGACCTCGACACCTCGATTCAACCCCCTTCTTTTGTCCAGCCACACCCACCTTACCATGTCTTCCCGGCTAAGGTCCACAATACTAGGGAATTGACCAGACCGGGTGCAGAGAAACGTACATACCACTTCGACCTTGATGTCACCGACTACCCTACCGAGACGGGAATGGACTTCAAGGTGGGCGGCGCAATAGGCGTCTCCGCACCGAATGACTCCAAGGCTGTTGATGAAATTCTCGATCTACTCCTGGTTCCGCGATTTTTACGTGATAAGCCTGTGCTACTTCGAACCACACGTGGCCGGTGGCCTACTGTGTGGGGTGAGGATCAAGCCCGCGAGCTTGTCACCACCCGCAGGGACCTCCTTACCTGGTGTTCTGATATCCAGTCATACCCCCCAACGAAGCCGCTTCTCAGGATCCTCGCCGAGCATGCGACTGACGCAAACGAGAAGAAACTGCTCATGTTCCTTTGCGCTGGCGAGGGACAAGGTGTATTCTGTGACTTCCGCACAGGACCCCATATATCTCTGTCGCAAATTCTCAATGCCTTCCCTTCGGCAAAACCTCCCATGGATCTGTTACTCTCTGTCCTGCAGCCCCTGATGCCCCGATTCTACTCCCTGTCAAATGACCCTCATGAGAACTTCGAGATTCGTGACGGAAAACAGCACCGCCTCATTGAGATCGCAGTTACCGTACATGACACCTCTGACTGGAGGAAAGGCTACCGCACGGGCGTTGGATCTGGATTCTTTGAGCGGCAGTCCCGAAAGTACACGGAGCTCCAGCTATCTGGAATCGCCAACCCCGTCATCCACATTCCCATGTTCAAGGGGCTCATGGCCAACCCACTGGCCAAGCAGTTCGTGTCCGATGGTCCGATGCTCCTTATTGGTGCTGGTGTCGGCATCGCCCCATTCCGTGGCTTCGTTCAGCGACGACTCAAGAACGCGAACTGCGCAAACAAGGTGTGGGTGCTACAAGGCATCCGCGACTCTCTCGTCGATGAGATCTACAGCGGCGAATGGGGTGTGCACGAGAGTGATGTAAAGCGTATCGTAGAGAGTCGCCGGGGCGAAGGTAAATACGTCCAGGAGGAGGTTATAAACCAATCCGACCTGGTCTGGTATGTCATCAATTCGGTGGACGGGCGCATCTTCGTCTGCGGTAGCTCCAAGGGCATGGGGGAGGGTGTTGAAGAGGCACTCGTCGACGTTGCGATGAAGAAAGGAAACTTATCGAGGGAGGCAGCGACCAACTTCTGGGACCTGAAGAAGCAAGTCGGTCAGTACATTGCTGAGACTTGGTAGGTCTCGTACTGCCCTGGGATGGGGTGTGTCTGTTCCACTGACGCAGACCAATCACTTTGGTATTGCGATTGCTCTTGCTTTGATCTTTTCGTCCTGTGGTATCGAAGGGTTTTGCTGCTGTCCCCAACGAAGCGTTGGCTTCTGTAGAGATTGGGTGCTCCAGAACACACGTAGATAGACAATGGCGTTTTGCGCAAGCTGGCTGGATTTACAGGGTATAGACGGCCCCAAGGGAAATGGCATCAAAGGGGCGTTGCATCGGGAAAGGTAGTTGAGATTTTTGTGAAGTTTTCTCTGGGAGCAGAAGAGTTCGTTTTGCGGGTTTCCGCAAACCTACCTGTACATAGCAGCATAGCAAAGCAGATATATTGCAAATGAGTGCACAGGAACAACAGATTATGGAGTCCAGTTTGATAATCATGGCGTGGTGACTAGTCCTAGGTATAAGTGCTAGAGACTAAGGTCGGCTCGGTCGTAAGACTCGATCGGATATTGATGCGGATGTGGACGCGGACTCGGACGCGGACTTAAGAATACGTCTCGGCCGGTGGGGGGAGGGTATTGTGTTAGTCTTAAGTCAACGTAGGCAGCAAAGAACCGTGCGGTACGAAATAGACAGACAGGACTGGCTCAGCGAGCATTCTATCAACGTGTGACAGAAACCACAGGTTGTTCGCATCACCCTGCCGCATCTCGACCCATGGTCATGTGCGAGCGGGTCGTCGGTAACCGGAAGCGTCACCGGTCCTCAACAATGGAAAGCAATATGTATACTCAGTTCCAATTGAATATGAGCGAGCGAATGGGAATAGGTGCCCAAAGTGGCAGCATCCTATATCAAAACCAATCGACGCCCCTGAACAGAATCTGGACGTTCAATTAGACAGCCATTTGTACCAAGGCTAGCCAGATAAGTATCCCTCAAGAGGTGGCCATGGCTAGTCTTCCCCGCGCCATAGCTTTCACTTGTGCGGTCATACTGCTATCTATTTTGCTTTACCACCCGAGCGCAGAAACACCGGCGTGCTTCTTTGCACTGGATTCATCTTGCTCCAGAGAGCGGATTTTAGAGTTGGGTTGAGCCTGGGGCAAATCATGCCATTCAGAAACTCGCGACCGAGTGTCAAGATTATGCAAACATGTAATTCACTCTATACCATTAGCCGTCAACGAGCTCACCACCCAAGAGAAAATGGACTTAAGGGAAAATTCAAGGACACACAATCATACTCCAAGTCCACAAGATGTTGAGCTAGACGGCATGCCACTTTATCGAGAATTTCTCCAAAGCATAGCGGCCTTCACGTGGTTATTCTTTACCATCACCTCAGAAGGTAAAATAGACACCTCGTGCACCTTTGATGCGAAGAAAACAGTAAACCATGGATCCTCGAAATTGTTAACGGCGTAAAGAATTTCCACTGAAAGATCTCCTAAGCAGTGGTCATTGATTTTAACCTCGACTGGAATTTTGCCGCATTTCGCGTTGATCAGGAATATTCAAGCAGCCCAGGGCAATTCCTCGAAGCAATTACAGTCCGTCCGAGCAACAGCTTTCAGGCAGTATGTAAGCCCAATCATGGGGCGGCACTGGCGACTACGTCCTGCATGTTATTCAGCAAGCCCTGAAACATGAGCCTGGCCCTTCCCAATCTGGTAAGCCCGATCCTCTGACATGTACGCAAGCTGGCTTCTTTTTGTAGCTAAATTTCACGTTGAAGACAAAACGGAGGCTGTAGCGTCTTACAAAGTTGGCAAATTCCGCTTTTGTTTTCTTTTTTTCTTTTTTTTTCTTTTTGTGAAAGTCTGGTGTACCTTTCTCGGATGTCGAGACGTCTCTGGGGAACAGCTGGCTTGGATGGCCACAGCCTTTGCTCGACTACGCGGAGCCGGGAAGTAACTTATTGTGTCCCGTTTACCGTAACATCTAGGTCAACTGGTAGCGAAAGCCACGGAATCATTCGAGAAGAGGCATCGCAACATCTAGTCTGCAAGATTAGTTATCACATTATGACACTTGAAAGTAAAGATCAGGATAACACTGCGGTTAATTGCTGGCAAAATCTATTTTGAACCCTAGTGATCTTCTAGGGCTATCCTATACCACGGCGACCACACCATGAGCTAGGGCTAAAAGTCTCTGTTGAAACCATGGGAATATCGGTTTATGGAAAAGGACTAGGTTGTATCTGCTCAACTACGCTTTTCAAGGGATACCCAGCAATGCTGACCATAGTGAAAACGGTCGGTACGCGGGTGCTTTGGCACTTGGTTTACAGCGAAGCAGGGAGACATCCTTTTTACGCAGAACAGCGAGTGACAATGCCAGCCAGGGCTTTCACGGTATTTGCATCGTCCGCCTTGGATTCGGTCACATAAATTCCATTGAGCGCCCAGAAACTAGCACTTTTGTTGACGTAGGACAGGGAAATCTCGAGCAAACATGAATCGACTGGTCTGGTTTTCCTGACTCGAACACGTATTCTGCAGTCGACAATATCAATATCAGCGCTGGCAGACTGTATGGAGAATCCTGTGGAGAAAAAGGACAAGCCAGAGCAGATATACTACGGCGATGACTTTAATTGGATGTTGATGGAGATATCTTCTCCGTGCCTCGTCTTGTATGATGTTTAGAAGAGGGAGGCCGCACTACTGGACGGAGCCACCGCCCTGCTCCACCTCCTACTGACATTCCTCAAGAAGCTAATCTGACCCATGCGTCGAGGATCTTTTATTTTGCGACGAAAAAGAGTTCGAGGAAGCGAGGCAAGCGCTCACTGGGAAGCGCACCTCGCTCAACGTACTTACCAATCCGCACAACCTTAGCCACCGGATATGGAAGAAGCCGTTGGACACTTCGCTGGAACGATCTTTGAGGTTTGTGGAAAGTGTAGCTCTATTTGGTCACAATTGGATGATTCTAACTCCTTGGGCCGATAAAGGAGAACCTGAAGAAGGCGAACCTGATCATTTTGACTCCCAAAGACAGGGTTCGATTTACCAAGGAGAGGCGGCATTGATTCATGCCCAACGTCCGGCGTCATCGGAGGCTCTACTTCGCCCAAGTGGCTCCAAGTCCACGAGCCCCGGTCAAACAAGCGTTGGCAGCTGGAGAGGAAGACTATGCAGCCATATCCCAGACCCAAGACACTACATTAGGAATAAATAGAATTGGCCTCCGGAAAAACTGGAGTATACGACCCATCAAACACGGATTGAATCAGATATGGTGACATTTAGTATAGAAGGTAGACAGTGAATATGAAGCAATTAACTGAATTCGATAAGCGAAAGACCAAATCGAACATATCGTCGAATAAAAGCTACTAGTTGAGGGAACCAGTTATTTGTTGATGACTCTGAACAGATGTCGTATTACCCGCTGTGTCTGCTCTATGCGTTGTACTACTCCGTAGGTCAGTGTTCTGAGGCTCTGTAAGGATGCTTGAGCAGACGGAAGGAAGGAAGGAGGGTCTGACCCACTAGCTACACTAGCAAAAGCATTGCTTTCGGCCTAGGGCATACCTGTGGAGCTCAATCCCACACTCGTAGCACAAAGAGAGAATAAAGCACTTCCAGTATATCAACCAAAGGAAATTACCAAGAGAAGAGAGACGGAAATGCATTTCTACATAGCACGAGAAGGCTCCAAAGGCTGCGCACCTCTATGGAAGAAACGGTATCCGAGTGCGGGTGCACAAGCCTACTTGTAGCGAACCCAGGCGCAGTCGCGGGTCAAATAAGCTTGATTTAACAGCCGCATTGCCTGCCTACCTAGATAACCAATGTCCAAGTTGCCTAGCCAGAGAGAGTAAGCGTTACCAGAAGCCGCTTTCGATGTCGGCATGTATTTTCCACGTCGTAAGCAACATGCGCTCTGAGATATTTCTTGTGAGGGGCGATATGTGTGTTAATAAGCTACATAAGCTAGAGGAACTCGCTCCCTCTGATCAATCTTAATTCGATGGCATGGAAATCTATGTCGGCGCTACATATCAGCACTCGATGTTACATATATTGTCCTAGGCAATGGGATAGTGGGGCTTCGTTGTTATCCAGGGCGAAGCCTATATGAATAGTTTAATTTTTCAGAAAGTACATAAATTTTACCTACGCCAAAGTAATTTATTCGGGATTATTTACTTCGGCAACCAAGTTCTTGGATTGTGTGTTTCCTCTTTAAGAATCGGCTTTACTACAGGGATATTCACGGACGCACCACGACTTTCTATTACTACAGCGCGTAATTCGGGAGATGTAGACTTGTGTATTCAGTCGGGACAATACATAAGGCCGGACAGCTCTAGCAAAACAGATATACGATGATTCTCTATGCAACTGACATAAAAATCACCTTCAAGATATGCTAGGCTCTTTGCTGCTTTCTTGGGTCAAGCTAGGGGGATCTGAGCAAGTAGTTTTGTAAGCTGGACTGAAGACTTGCTTTGGAGAAGGTGTGAGAGAGGAATGGTAAGTTTGAATACTCAAGTGCCAGTAGTGTCTATCAATACATGGACTTCAGGTCAGGGAGTTTGCATCACCGCCGCCTTTCTCTCGCAAATAACCTTCGTATCCAAGTGAATACTTGGAGAGGAGCTCCTTCATTGCTTGTACAACACTGAAATATAAAAATATTACTATCTGGACAGGCACAATTAATGACGCCGGGGGTGACATCAGACTTACAAACCCCTTCGCCTAAGAGTCTCCGGGTAGAGGGACGATGCGTGGAGATCAAATCTCCTATGGGAGAAACGTTAGCTTTCGTAAGCACGAAAAGGGACTCACTGGCCACGCTGTGCCGACTTACAAGCGATATAAAATACCCCTATCTCTGAAATCCTCGGCAGGCTCCGTCACGGGGAAGTGTTTCAAGTATTCGGCGATATACTTGTCTGTCATTTTGTGCCGCGGTGCCCACCAGGGCGCTAGATCGTCTGTTCGTTTGTGATTAGAACATCTATGTTCAGACCTGACGCCGTCTTCTTTCTCTTGGATCTCTTACATTCATTATGGGCGTAGAGGAGCACGCCGTCGAATATCATGGGACAGCCGGTAGTTACGTCAACAGAAGCGTTCCCATCCCAGAGATCTCCGTGTACGAGCCTTGGGGTCAAATTCCTGCCTTCTGATTCCATAGGGCGTAGTAAGCACGGGATGACTTTGGTCATGAGGCCCTCCCGAAGCGCCCTCATTTCCTCTTCAGGACCGTGTGTCTCTTCCTCGATATCAAATAACCCGCTTAAGCCTTTCGAGAAGCATTTCTCCCATGTCTTGCTAAGAGGGAAATACTGCGGATTTCGACCGCTGTAGGTGATGTGTGGGAAGCCAAATCTGCCCGACGTCGCCGCGCCCCTCTTATGCATTTCTGCCACGAGGGCCGGGAAGTCGGATACGTCTGGAATGCCCTCGGACATCTCGTAGAAGCGGCACAAAAAGAAGTAGGTATTGGGCTCCTCTTGGTAGATACCCCATGCGATTGGCTCTGCCACCATCTCGGGCATGACACTGAAGGGTCTTCATCGAGTTGAATTCTGACGATACCATATTCTTCCCGTGTTCGAATTGGTGCACCTATTGATCTTTTATGAGTACTTGGGGTGGGAGGATTTACGCCACCACTCTCATACGATCATTACCTTTATGAAAAAGGGTGTCTCTTCTCCAGCCTCATTTGTTGCATCGATCTTGGCAGTCCTAGCCCAGTACGAAGCACCACTGCGAGAGATACCAAGGACTTCTGTACCAGCAGGCAACTCTGTGTATCATGAAGGTCAGCAATGTGAGAAGTCCTTCCACACCGACGGATGACGCAGGTTCTCACTTTCCCGAACGCCTTGGTCAACGTATTGAATGACCTGCAATGGGACTGGAGTCTCCCTGTTCCATTTGTCCGCCGCCTGTAACGACATTGTGACGGTAGCTACGTCTTAGAGATACCTTAATTGTATACAACTAGAGACACTTTCGGGGAATATGAAGAACAAAAACGAAAAAAGGAAAATCCCCCCAGAGAGACAAACCCAGCCATATCAATGGCCTCTCGGGCGGCACTCTTATTACCCCGTCTGTTGACACACCGCTTGGTGTGAGTGTCAGTCACCTGGAAGTCGGGTTGGGAGTCCATCTCGCCGGAGAAGAAGACAGGGTTGAAGACAGAGGCTCATTCCATGCAATTAGCCACTTTGAGCGCTGATCATTTGCTTTTTATTGAAATTTACTGAACAACCCGGTCAAAGGATTGGCTTAGAAGTGACCGTAAGGGGCGGGGTTGTCAAAACATGAAACATGGGCGATACTTTGCTTCACATGTTATCAGTTATGAATTAATAAACGCATTTGATGCAGATACACGACATTCTTGTAACGTCTGCTACGTGCTCATATTGTGCTTCGACCCGGCCCACTTGTCCATATTGGCAGCGGCGACCTGCCAGCCCCCTCTTTCCCCCAACATGCAAAAGAGAGCCTCGGGATGTTTTTCGTGCTGGTTACTGAAGGCCTCAGAACCAGAAGTCGTAAGAAAGAGAAAACCCGAGTGAAGCCTCTAGCCCGCACCAGCTGGAAGCCGGGTCCCGACTGGGAAAGGCTTATCTCAACCCTTCTCCCCATCATCGCAGTGACTCCATCAAGACGTCCGCACAACGTGTGCGAACCTCATCCTGCACTTGATTGCATGGAAAATTCAAATCGCGAAAGCTCATGGTTTTACGCACCCGCTGCCGCAAGTCAAGTTGATGGGCGCGCCCCAGGACCCCAGGATGGAGCCGCCAGACGGGCTGGCTCGTACCAACTCGTCCTCCACCAAGTCCTACTTCAGTCGAATCCTCACTCGCCGACTTGGTGGCAATGAACACCGCAAAGATAGTTCCAAGGGGCCTTTGGGGCTCACGACGCTTTACCAGCCTGAAACTGACCGGCCTGAAACTGACCGGCCGGTGGTTGCCGACCTGGTTTTTGTGCATGGCCTGAATGGAGGTTCCCACAGCACATGGAGCAAAGACAGCCTGCCGTCGCACTTCTGGCCCCGGGAATGGCTCCCGAAAGACGATGCCTTCCAGGACGTACGGATACATACATTTGGGTATCCTTCTGCACTAAGTCGCGAGTCGATTCTCAACGTTCATGACTTTGCCCGGTCTTTGCTCGCTGCAGTCAAAGACTCGCCAGTGATGAATCACGAGGAAAAGGTACGTCTGTAGTCCGGCTAATCCTTGTAAACATGACGTGCTCACGTCATGTACCATGTAGCCACGTTTAGTCTTCATCGCCCACAGCATGGGTGGACTCGTTGTCAAGCGGGCCTATATTTTCGGTCACCAAGCAGCCGAGTTCTTGCCAGTGGTGGAGCGAGTCTGCTCCCTCCTATTCTTAGCTACTCCTCATCAAGGCTCGGCACTTGCACAAACGCTCTCTCGCCTGGTGGCTTTAGTTCCTGGGGCGCGGCCATTCGTCAACGATCTGCTACCCCAGTCCGGGATGCTTCAATCCATCAATGAAGAATTTCCGAGAATCTGCTCCAACCTGTAAATCATGTCTTTCTATGAGACGAGACCAATGAACCTTGGAGTCGAAATGCTGCGGAAACCTTGTGTACGTTGATACTCACGGCAAGGTGCAACTGGTCCACTCGACTGCAAGAGAGTTCCTAACCAAACGGAACCTAGAATCTGCCTTCACGGTTTCTAGAGCCGAGGGCCACCGGCGGTTAGCCCTGGTGTGTCTACGTTATCTCATGAAGAACGAAGGGAATGCATCGAAACCTAGGAGATTCGGGTCCGATTCTGATGTCAAATCGACCCACAGCTCTCCTCAACCGAGGCCATTTGTAGGCTACGCATCGACCTTCTTGTTTCGACACCTGAACCTAGTACTCTCCAAGGAAGACGATATTTTCGTCGAGCTAGCTAAATTCCTTGGAGGCACCAGCGTCCTTCGCTGGATCGAGTTCAATGCGATTAATGGCGACCTACATACAGTCTACCAGGCAGGCAAGACCATAAACGCGTTGCTGAGCCGGCGGGCGCGGCACTCGCCTCCAATTGGGTTTGGGCAGCAGCAACACCTCGCTCTGCTGGAGAAATGGGGAGATGACTTAATCCATTTGGTGACTAAATTTTCCGGCTGTCTGAGAAGTTCACCGCAATCCATTCACCACTTGATCCCCCCTTTCTGCCCCAAGGACTCTGCCATTCGACAACAGTTTTCCAATCCCTATCGAGGAATCAATGTCCAAGGCCTTTCGGCTCGGGGGTGGGACGATTGTTTGACAACCATCACATACGCCAGGGGTACTAGGCCCAATGCGGTTGCGGCTGGTACGGGCTTTTTCGCCGTGAGCATGATGACTGGCACCATTATGGTGTACGATGACTCCATATTCCAGGAAATTCATGATTTAAAGCACAAAGAACCGATTTGGAGGCTTGCCTTCGCGGCTAGTGGTAAGTACCTGCCTCGGCTGGGGCGAAAATGGTTCGTATATGGTCCACTCACCAGGGCCAGGAGGTCATGAGCTTCTCAATACCGTCGCTCTGTCTGGCCATGGCGTTTGGGGAAGACGACGCGATATTGCGGATAGCAACGAGGCAGAACCAACTATTTGCGTGGGACATGGAGTCGGAGCAGTTGTTGCACGATGAACCAGTGAATTGGACCGCTGACTTGGAAGAATCATTCCAGTTCAGAACGCCGACCATGGCAGCACTGGGTTCCGAGACTCACCTGATGGCTGTGATATATAGCGGGGAAGACATGGTCCTATGGGACTATCTCGAAGAAGGAATCCACGATGTTTACGAGCAAGACATTCGGTCAAAAATATATGGGTCACTCAAGATGCCGGGGAGCTCATCAACCGTTCGCGCCGTGACCTTCAGCAATGCGATAGACACCAACCGTCTGGCAGCGACGTACACACATGGAGACCTTGTGGTGTACGATACGCAGGACGGAAGGCCGGTGGCGACTGCTCCGACTGTGAACACCATGCTACTGGCGCCTTCCTGTGACGGCCGGACACTGGCTGGCGTTGACTCTCGTGGAAACCTGACACTCTTTGAGTTTGAAACCCTGCGTTCCTTGTACCGGGTTCATTTTGACACCGCAATAATACCCAAGGGGCTCGCATTCACAGCGGATAGTCGCCGTTTCATCGAGATTCGTGGGGATCAGTGTCGGGTGTGGGAACCGACAATACTGCTTCGTCAAGACGACCTGGACGAAGAAAACAGCGACACAATTTCGATTTCCACCGGTCCTCTTGAAGTGTCGCACCTAATCCGAGAAATAGTCAAAATCACCGCTGTCGCCTCCTGCAGGGCTTCTTCCGCCGTTTTTTGCGCCAAGGACGACGGCTCTGTCCACGTGTATGAAACGGCGGGCGAGATGGAAAGCCAGCAGCTCTTTGTCCAAACCCCTGGGTGTTCCATAGCACTCCTCTGCCTGGACGAAAACACCATGTTCCTCGCCTGCGGTGATCTATCAGGGCGGGTCACAGCTCGCAAAATACTTCAGCGCAATGCTCCGCGGCGAACTTCCACTTGGGAAATCGGAGAGCCGCTCGTCAACGTCCGGGCTGATGTCCAGGGCTTGCTCAGGCAAATCCTTGTCTCGGGACGACATGGAAGACTTCTGGTATCAACAGAAGTCTTCCACGCTCAAATCGATAGGTCCCGTGGTGACCAGTGGCTCACTATTACGAGCAAAACCGAGTACCTGATTCAGGCCACGACCGAGGGCTTCAATGTCTACAAATGGGAGACACTGGAGCAGCTGCGCTCCGTACAGGCGCCCTTCGCCGGCACCATAGATCGGGTCATCTCACTACAACATCCGCGCATTTTCGCCACGATATGCAAAGAAGCATCACCCAACGACACACCTAACACAATGATCATCCAGCTCTGGGACTGTAATCAGCTTGGAGATTCCACTATGCCGATGGCACCAGAGAAGGAGATCAACGGCCTTTCGTCCGGCGTGGAGATCATCATAGGTGCCTTCGGTGCGAGGATGGTAGTCTACACGACCGACCGCTGGATCGCTTCGGTCGATTAGAGGTCTCGTCGGAAGACTCGGTGGTTCGACACTTCTTTATTCCAAGCGACTGGATCAGTGTTGTCAACAAGTCTATCATGAGCGTCGGCCAGGCTGGGGAGATTCTTTTCGCGAAACAGTCCGAGCCGGCAGCCATCAAGAGGGGCCTCGAAGTGTTAGAGGGCGGGGGCAATTTCAATCCCAGGAAGGGAAGCGGCCAGCGCGGAGCGAACCTTGCATTGCGGCAAGCTTTAAGTCAAGGGTCGTCGCCAGGGACAGGCGTATATCGCCCTGGCGTTCGTTCACCTATGTCATACTAGCCCCGAGGGGTCGGTCTTGTGGAAAGGAAGCCAAGGTATACTCGAAACCAAACCCGCATGTCTTGCAACATATGGTGATATGGTGGTGGATTCATTTGAATTTCCACGGGAGCCTTGACGCGACTACTTACAAGAATTTGCTACGTTTCTAGCCGATTCCTAAGGAATAGCATCGAAAATACGATGCCACTATCTAGGTAAGTTGACCTAACTTTCACAATATTCTGGACAGTTGGTGGCACTACTACCCCGGTTCAGAAAAGTCTTCATGGATTCGTTTCAGAGTCGCGTAATGCTATCCTCCGGCTGTTTGCTGGTAAGCGAGGGGTGTGCCGTGTGCCAACACACAGTATGTATTCATCTAGCTGGTATTAGATAGGGCATGGCGTGTTATGACAAGCATACATTAATACTATGCAATCTGTGTGTTTGGGAGTGTCGCCCGAAGTACGATTAGGAGGAGCGACTGCCTTCTTTGCATTCCCTTCACCGCGCCAAGAGAGCTCCCATTAGATTGCGGCGTCTCAATTCTTTTCATTAAAAGGGTTGTTTAATAAAGTAACTGTTGCTTCCGGAAGATTTACTGACACTTATCCAAGAATACGCAAGTATGTCTGGTCAGTCCGGACGGACTCCCAATTTTGAAACACCATGGCCGGCGGAAACGAGGCCTTAGTGCCGTCGGATCCCAGAAATAATACTCAGCCGCTTGCTCAGTCCCGCTACACGGTCTGGACCCCGCAAGAACGCCGCCTCTTCGTCTGTGTCCTGGGCTACTTGGCGCTGGCCTCGTCACTGTCAGCTAACATCTACTTCCCCCTAATCGACGTTCTGGTCGAGAGATATGCTGTATCGACGCAAGCTATCAATCTTACCATTACGCTGTTTATCGTGTTTCAGGGCGTGACGCCGTCCTTCTGGTCGCCCCTATCTGACACATGGGGCCGCCGTCCCGTTTATCTCTGCACCTTCACCGTTTTCACCCTCGCCTCGCTGGGGCTGTCCATCGTGGACCGCAACTACCCGGCCCTGCTTCTTCTGCGCGCCCTTCAGAGTGTTGGCAGCTCGGCCGTTGTATCACTAGCTTACGCGAGCGTCGCTGATGTTGTCGCTCCCTCGGAGAGGGGTGCCTACCTGGCGCCCATGCTGATGACTGTAAATTTGGGCCCCTGCATCGGGCCCGTTGTCGGAGGGGGCATCGTGGTGGCGACTGGAGATCCAAGGTGGTGCTTCCGCGCGCTACTGATCTTTGGGTCGTCGGCTACATTGATGATCGGGTGGATCATGTCGGAGACGAAGCGGTCCATCGTAGGCAATGGCGCCGTCCCCGCCAGGGGCATATGGAGGACATGGTGGACTCTTCTGGTCGAGAACAGGAAGGTGGCGTCTGTCCGTGAGTATATGCGGAATCAAATCGGCAAAACGACAGGAAAAGGGGATATGTCGACGACAACGGATTCGGAACTCGAATCAGAGATGAATGTCGGAAAGACGGGGTGCGGGAGTGCCATCCTTCCCAACCCGCTGCCGTCGCTCCGCATTGTCTTGTACGCCGACGCATTTCTCGTGCTCTGGCTTTCCGGGCCCCCCCGGCGCTTTGGTTCTGCGTTCAGACCTCCCTGGCGCCTATCTTCGGCCTCCAATACGGCTTTAATCCCTTCGAGGTCGGGCTCTGCTTCCTGGCCGGCGGGGCGGGCGTCATAGCCGCTGGCTTCGTCTCGGGGAAGCTTATGGACTGGAACTACAAGCACGTGGCCCGAGAGGCAGGGCTTCCCATCGATCACGTCCACGGAGACGACGTGGAGCGTTTTCCCATAGAACAGGCCCGAACCCGCGGTTCTATTGTTATCATCCTTGTCTCTCTGTGCATCGTCATCGGCTACGGTTGGGTCATCGAGGTGCGGACGCACCCGGCCGTTCCACTTGTATTCCAGGCCTGTATCGGGTGCAAGAGTGCCACTCTGCACCAGATATACGGCGCGTTGATCGTCGACATATTCCCCGGCAGAACAGCCACGGCGGCCGCGTCCAAGAACATTATGAGGTGTACGCTGGCGGGTATACTGGTGGCTGTGCTGGACCCGCTCGTGGGCGCGCTGGGTTATGGCTGGGTCTTTACCCTGCTAGGCATCTTCGATGCTGCGACATGTATTCTGGCGGTTCTAGCACTAAACCGATGGGGGAGAACATGGAGGAATAGACGGAAAGTAAATCAAGATGAATAGATGCAGAGGTTATGCATAGACCAGTAATAATGACGTAATTACGCTACACGCTTTATATACATATATATATTGAATGTGGTGTATTATACCGTCCCATGGAATCCTACGGCTTATGAAGACAGCAGGTCCAAAGATCCGAGGTATAGCGGGCTAAACTACCCGGTCCTTGTACTGCAAATTTGTATCCTCCGTAACCATTGTTTTACCCTCGCACTATCAGTTTTCTGCTGAAATTAACACGTAGGTCAAGTTCAATGTCGGTGTAGGGCTATTGATTTTTAGTAGGAAGCCCAACTCTACTAAATTCTTCCCCATCACTTCGCAGTGGGCATGCGTGGTCCCTATAAACCGCCGCCGGATTCCAACCGACTGTGCTCGTCGCCGAGCCAGACATCACTCTGTGGTACAGCGACTTATGCAAAAGCCAAGCTTAGGACTACTAAGCCAGCGGGCTTTAAAAAAGTGTGACGGTGCCCGGAATCGAACCGGGGTCTACACGGACTCGTTATGCCGAAACCACAACGTGTTGTACTGACCACTATACTACACCATCTACTCTCACTGATAGTCAATGCGTAATAAATATGTATATATATACGAAGAAATAGTAATCTAGAAGTGAATAGATTTTAGGCCTCCGATCGTTATCGTAAGTTCATAGATAATAGGGGCATTAGACCATCCAAGTGTTTCATTCATAATTCCACAGAAACAGTTTAGAAATCAGCTAGCCGGATATTCCTATGTTTGTTATGTGATAGGTTAAAGCTTTCAAAGTCCCTTGAAACGATATTGTATTGTGATGAGCTCTTATTCCTTTTCCTGCGGTGTGCTCAGAAAAGGGGGTTCGAGTCTTGTATGTTCTCGAGATAAATAATGCATCCACCGCTTTTTCTTAAGCATAGGACTCCTCGCTGAGGCCCGTGCCGCCCCCTCCCCCTCGTTATGCACCTATAATAAAACAAAAACTATTGTAAGTTGACATTAGAAAACGGAAACACCATGGTAGACTTACAATGACCCATTGTTCGATAACAGGGCACATGATTCATCCGGCTGCCATAATCTACTTGAGTATAAACAATGGATTCCCTGTTAACATCCTTCTTACCAACGTCTATCATGGTCCACGCAATGTAAGCGCAAATCGACAGACGCTCAAAATCCCGTGCCGAGGCAGATCGCCATTAAAATGAGTGCCGCAAACCGCAACATCGATGCTCTACCTGATGTGGATATCCCCCTTCGTTCTTTAGAGTTGATGTACCCGATGCGAGATCATCCACCGTCTCGAGGTATCCATAGCCCCTTCACCACCTGCCCCTGGTCAACTTGCCACGAGCACGCCACCTTCCGTCACCCAAACTGCTAGGTATTCCCGGCGCTTCCATCCCTCCCCCTGCACACCTTCGCTCCTGCGCTGAACGCCGTTGCGCACGCCATGATCATGACCTTTTACGAATTCTTGTGCTATACGCTGACTGAAGGGTTTGACATCAACTGGATTGGAACCTTTAAGGATAAAACTTTTCTGTGCCTACCAGTAACCATAAGGAACAAAAGTATAAAATGCCGAACGGCATCAAGCTTCATAATCGAATGAAGAGTATTACACCCCACCCACCGCCTACCAAGATTTTCGGGTAGCATAAAGTTGCTGACCCAGTAGAAACTAAAAGAGGGGAGTTCGCGTTGGAGTTGAACTGTTTTCGTTTGATATTTCTAAAAACCAGCGAGAGAATCTATGACAAGATTCAACAGGTAGTGTGAGCATGACGCATAAACACCGTTTGGCCCTCTGTTAGATTTACCTGGTGGACGAGTGCCTAATTGCAGGCTTAATTGTGTCATAAATGTATTGTAAATAATACTTTCCTTTTCGAACCCTTCTGGATGATGACACTACCTGTTCAACTGTAAAATGACCTGCGTGCCGGAAAGTTCGCATAGTGTCCTGGATATGGTGGTTGTGAAGTCTTGAATATGCCGACGAGACAGGCAGTTTGAAGTCACTCAGAAGCTCGTTCAAGCGACCGGATATACTCATCAGTGAGGTTTGAATCTCAATCCCAGCTTGTTACTTGATGGAGGACCTCGGGAAGATGTTGATATTATGTAATATGCATGCCGCCATTTGCCACTAACAACAGTGTCATTGAAGTCACGATTTTTCCGTGTTGGTAGCATAAGGACTATGCCTCCGCAAAGGCTTGCCATAGAACCCAAAATATGGCACAAGCAGACAACCCAAGCCTGAAAGAGATGGATTTCAACAGCCTTCTAGTCTACCGGTAGCCGATCGCGCTAAAGCTACTCAATACTAGTGACTACATATTCTGGATGTCTGTAATGGCATATAAGGCCCAGAAGTCGGAAACCTAAACACATTCAAGCACCTCAAGCCTCCATACGCATCGATGATATTGCGGTACAGCCATACCACATATAATCGCGCTGCCGTTGAGCAGCGAACCCCGATATTGCGCATGATCCAGTGCAACTGGTACTCCGAAACAGACCCGCAGCGAGAGGTACCGTTGCGGGAACCATGATGGGAACCCAATACTCGGGATGCGTATCATCATGATTCTTCTACTTGAGAAATGCGGAAACACGGTCTTGACGCCGTGTGCCTGCTTGGCTGGCGAACCTGGTCTTGAGGCCGAGGGCGATTTAGTGAAATCCAGAGATGGTGGTACTCTGGTCGTAGACAGTGATCCAGAGTTCAGAGTAGGTGGTGTAGAAAACAAAGAGAATACCATATAGGAAAGCGTTGTACAAGCAAACCACCTGCACAATAGAGAGCGCGGCCAGAAGACGTCCCGGTCGGCCGAGATTGGGCTGGGCAAGGTGGATTTCGCAAGTTACAATGCCTCTGCTACTCGCGACAGTCTGCACCGCCCGCGGACAAACAACCCGGCCGAGACGGTCAAACACGGTTGAGTCATGCTTTCTTCATATCTCATGATTGGCCCTGGGGATGAGGGCCTCGAAAACTTCGCAGAGGGGTCGGTCATGAGGATGCAGGCGGTCTCTAAGTCATAGCAACTGCGTTCAGATGGAGTACTCGAAAATCCGTCCGCTGTATAGATGAGAAGCAAACAGGCCGAGGACCTACCAAGGAAGCACCCATCATCGCATTTGCATACGTTATCAGGCCCTTGCTTGTGTAGACGTCCTGTATCATGATTTACTCAAGTCGGCAGGTGCAGGATAAAGCCAACAGATCTTGAATCATGGACACCACTAAGAATGAATAGCGTATGATACCAGATTAGGCAGACGGCGTCGATTTTGAGCAATCGGAGGGTGCGAAAGAGACGTGGGTATGCCAAGGACGATTAAGGTTCGGGCGACGGTCGTCGCGACATGATCCCTGGAAGACTCCTCTTGCCACTCTGGATGGCAGTGCATGCTGTTGAAATCAACCGCACCTATGATGATGCCATTCCTATCGAAGGACGTTGGGTGCGTTCTGGACTGTTCCGCTGTGCAGTCTGGGCATTGTCACCGGCTGATACCTGGAGGAACGCCGGGAATGAGGGCAGATGATCCAGGATGAGGTTCGTGGTCTACGACTACCGGGCGACTACGGAACCTGACTGTACCCAATAAATCAACATCATCGGGAGCCCAATGGAAGCATCTATACTCGGATATTAAACAACAATGCAACCTGCCTCAACACGCGCTTAGACATGCCTTGGATTTCATAAAACAGACGGTTATGGAGCGAAAAGGTGTGCTTTGGAAAGCGCTCGAGTCCATCTTGATCAGATCGGAATTCAAGCAACCTGCTCTATCTGGCTTAGCGACAACACTTCCTAATCGCATCTTGATGCTTTCCAAGCCTATTTGGCCACCACGGTTGATTATAGATGATTATCTCAGCCAGAAATATGGATCCGTGCCTGACGCCAACCCGCAACAGCAGCAAAACTTCGGCGCCAGCATGCAATATCCAATACCATCATTCGATTCTGCCAGCAATGGATCCGCCGTGGCATTGTTCTGCTTGCATAATGGTAAGTCAGCAAAGAGAGCACGACTCGAGCTTTGCTAGGTTCGAAGCGGTGGGTCATAGAGGGTCCGCAGCACAGCAATAGCAAGGTAGACGAGAAGTCTTCGGACAATAAATTTGGGATTCGACTCTTTTCTCACCCGTTCTTTCCCCACTGGTGCATGCCGCATCGTGGGCCCCGCTGTCTGTATTCTGATCATAAGTAGATCAAGATGCGCCCGCAAGTTACCTCGTCCGTCTTCAGACGACTCACCCGTACCTTTACCAAACCATCCCGACTTCATATACCCCCAAGGCCCTTCACGTCCACGACTCGACCGCTCAAGCTCGTCAGTCCCCAAGTGCGAACCGCCAGCTCCAATCAGAACATCAACGTGCCCCACCTCTCCACCCCTGTCACAATGGCCTCCGCCCTCAGTGCCAACTCGGTCCTCGAGCTGATCAAGAACCGTCGCTCCCACTACCCGCTGTCCAAGGACCTCAGCGTCTCCAAGGAGCGCATCTCCGAGGTGGTCAAGGAGGCCGTCAAGCAGGTCCCCTCTTCCTTTAACGCCCAGTCCAACCGCGTCGTCGTCCTCTTCGGCGCCGAGCACGACAAGCTCTGGGACATCACCTCCGAGGTTCTCAAGGCCATCGTCCCCGCTGACGCCTGGGAGGGCACCGCGGGCAAGATGGCCATGTTCAAGGGTGCTGCTGGAACTGTAAGCCTTTTGTCCCCCTACCATTCACCCGTTGCTTCCAAAAGATGAGAAGACGTCAAGGAAACCAAACACGCTAACATACCACCCCCAAGGTCCTCTTCTTCGAAGAGCAAGAAACCATCCAAGGCCAGCAAAAAACCTACCCCATGTACGCCGACAAGTTCCCCACGTGGTCGTCCCAATCGGTCGGCATGCTGCAGTACACCCTGTGGGTTGCGCTCGAGGCCGAGGGCCTGGGCGCCAACCTCCAGCACTACAGCCCCATCATCGACGAAAAGGTGGCGGCCGAGTGGAAGGTTCCCTCCAGCTGGAAGCTCGACGCCCAGCTCGTCTTCGGTGGCAAGACGGGCGAGGCTGGTCCCAAGGACATGCTGCCCATTGAGGACCGCGTTAAAGTCTATGGCGCTTAAGAGCTGCTAGGATGGGAAAGGAAGGGCAGTAGCTGATGTTGATGATGGTGATGGCGTACTTGCATGGCACGGAGTTCATTGAGGGATAAAATATACATACACTTGGAGATTTGAGTTAATGAACATGGCCACATGGTATAGGTCATTATACCAATAAAGAGCATGACTCGGCTCACCAATTCCTAACATTCTGCCCAGCTTTCTTGCTTGTCGCTTTTTGACTTCTGGGTGTCCCCAACTGGCCTCAAATCAAGTGCCAACTGAGGTGATGGGAAATTGCCATTTAGACGGACTAATTCATTGCCTTGATGAGAGAAATAATGACCAAGATTCGACCTGTCGATACCTTCAAGGGTCAAGAACGAGAACCAATCAACTCAGACCTGGACGACAGATTCGGGTGAAACCTTCGGATGCGGCTGACTTGATCCCGAACGACTGACTCGAGACTGCCGACATCACCTACGCAACACGCAAGAGTACAGTTCGAGCACCACAAACGTGCTCACGTTCATAGTCATGGAGAACATCTCTTGTGTCCGAAGATCTGGACGAGAAACTGACGTCATTTTTATATACACTATGCAGCCATTCACATCCTTCAATGCAGTTCCGTTGTGCCATGTCCACTCCCCTGTCGACTTCTATTGAGCATATTCAATCAGTGTCCTAAACGCCTAATCCTATTTTCGTTGATGCAAGACTCCTATAGGCGATTCCCTTTTGGCATATGTGATATCGTCGAGAGGTGATGATATCGCGTATTCAAACAAGCTGAACAGCTTCGATAAAGCAATGTCCGTCGTCTCGACATCCGTTAGGCAGCTCTGATGAGATGCACTACTTTGATCAAATCCACTTTCTTCCCAAATTCTTATCTTGTAAACTTGCCTCATTCTGTCGTCGGTGCAAGGGCTTTGCCACTGTCAACAATGATTTGTTCATCGATGCGCTTTTCCGTCTCTCCATACTCAAGTCGCTTATATGTCGTAATGCGTCCTTCGTTCATGTCGAAGTCAAAGAATCGCACGCGTCGGATGTAATCGCCGTATCCGCCGTAGCCACCGAATCCGGCGCCACCGCCGTAGCACATCCAAAGCTTAGGCCGATCGTCTTCATCAGTGGAAAGCATACAGTATTCGTTGGCGTGGTCACTGAGTGGTTATGTTAGCAGATGCACCTGGCAGCAGGCTTGTGAGGACTCACTGTCCACAGCTCACCATCACGACGCCCTGTTCAACCAGAGCGTCGCGGAATCCCGAATTATACCCAGGAGCTGTAACGCCTTCTCTCCATTCACCGAAGTAATAGGACTCCGTATTCGTGTACTCTGGCAGCGGGATGTGGATAAAGGCGAGGTCCATGTGGATGTGAGTATACTGCTTATTCTTCTTCTTCAGACTGGACGAGGTTTGCTTGAACCAGTCGATCTGGTTCTTCTTGATCCAGTCGTAGCCCTGCCATTGCCTCTCATCGGGGGAATACGAGTGCGAATCCAGCAGGTAGATGGTGAGGGCAGGATGGGTCGACTTCCCACGCGCTAGTACCTCGATGTAGTAGTTACCCACGCCATCGATATCATCAGGACCAGCTTTGGAAAGTGAATAAGGTAGTGATTCAAGCAGCGACATCTGAGAAGCTCTTGGCAAGGATTTCTCGTCGTCGTGATTTCCGAATATTTCAACATAGGGGATCTTGCGCTTATTTAGTATATCCGCGTACTTGAAAATGGCCTGCACCACAAGGTTAGCCGTTGCTTTGGGGGGGAAGAATTATCCATGCAGACATACTGTCTGCGCATCTGGTGCAGTGCCTCCATTGACTTGGTCTCCACTGAGTACGACCAGGTCCGGCTTCTCCTCTTCCAATAGCTTGATGATGAAATCCAATGTCCTCGGGTCTGCCTCGCACTTGCCCCCATGGTATTCGTCAGGGACCGCGTCGCGACAATGACCCACCCCAGTGCTCAAGTGCAGATCTGCCAGCTGCATAATCTTGAACTTGCCATTGTCCTTGACCCTGGGTTGAGGCTTGGTGGTCTCCACCTGGCTACCTCTTCGGACGGTGATGTACGGTGCTGGGATGTCCGAATTGGGCTCCAGGAATATCGGGGAGCTGGTCATGTGCCATCCCTCTCTTGCGTCCACGGCATCATGGCCAAACAAGATATCAACCGCTGTGATTGCCTTCTCGGAATCGCTTGCGTGGACCTTGGACGAGCGCAACACCCACAAGCCCAACGTGCGAAACTCCCATTTCTCATCGGCCTCGCCCTTTGCACTTGTTGACGGATCCAAGCGACTAACCCGAAGATCCATAACCACTTTGTCTTTGGCAGTAAGCTCCTCCTCCTTCATCCTTCGCACGTGGACATATGCTTTGGAAACCCATCCCTTGCCAAGATAGAGGTCTTTCTCGATGCGATGCCATAGTTCCGAGTTCAGCTTGCAGGATGAAAGCGGGTTCAATTTGGAGCATTGCGTGATGGCGATGTCCGTTATGACGAGCCCCGGATGGTGCTGGGGCATGTACTCGTGGATCGCATTGGGGATGACTCGGAAATTGCGATCGAGGAAAAAGACGAGGAAGAATGTGAAGATGGAGGCGGCAGTAAGCTGGCTGATGGTGCGAATCTGTCGTCAGGCACAATGTTACGGTCAGCATGGCAGGAATCGCGCGTTTGGACAGAAAGAGGCATGAAGCGACAGAAAGCCCATCAAGATTCACTCACGATTCGTCGCGTCATGATTCAAGGCGCGATATTGGGTCGATTTCTCAAACGACCCAAACAGCTACAATCTTAGCACTGAGCTAGCACAATCGAGCCAAATAGTACCGGAGGCGTAGTCCTATATAACGTGCCCTGAAGCATTTTCGCCCTGGTATAGGACAGGTTCTTAGGTCTTTTAATGGTGTCTGGAGCTGTGCAGCGAAATGCCTGTTGATGGAAAGGAGGCAAAAATCCGGTCAGCACTTTACCAGATCCTGGAAGGCCACCCGAAATGCTGATCTGGGGTACGGCGTCCCCACAAGAAGCAGTTTATCCCTTTTCTGGCCTTAGTGGCTGGTTCGTGTGCCATCAGCTAGGATGGAGCTAATCTAGGTACTTGGGTACCTCTAGCGCTACAGCCATGCTCAAGTAGTTAACCTGATGTCAAAGCCGCACCTATTATTTTCTGACAATGCCTCACTTTCCCTTGACGAATATCTCATGATTCCAATGGCCCTGTTTTGAGATACATTGGCATTGAGAATCACAGAGAATGTGAGATCCGAGGATGACCTTGCTCAGGTCTGCGGCTCTGCCCCTGCCTCGGTGTCTCCAGGCCACGCGATGGTTCTGCTGCGCATCTCAATTCAAGCAGAAAACTTTCCCTAGGACTTGTACATGCTTTTTGTTCAATTAAAAGCCTGTCTATGCCTTTCCCATCTTTGTATCTTGTTGTTTGTTCCCTGATCCGTGTCCGCTGACCCAACCACCGTACATAACATGATCAGCTGTCTCTGTGAGCAAGGAAGCTACTCTACCGGATATATATGGCCGTTTCCGAAAGTAGGTGTAGCATTGCAGCACCCGAATCAGTGACAGGGAGGAGGGTCACACGCATTCGTCAGATGCCATCGGCAAGATATTAGATTGTGTGACTGACACCACTGGGAACGAGTGCTATCTCGATACTCCGTCATCATCTGAATTCACAGAGCATTCAATCTTCTGCATGGGTCTGCAGGGAAATTTGAGCCACTGCTATATACATGTACGTCGAGCTAACATTTTCCTAGTGAGTAATTTGACTACATGCATGCTCATACGCCGAGGAATTCTGAGATTAATTTTGAGACTGCCACCCGGGTTTCGGCTATAGTGGACATCCATATCGATATCCTTGGCGAAGGCACTGATCCGGAATGGATGGGCTTACAAGGCGGCTCGCTCGTTAAATCAACAGAGCCAACAAAGCTTGTGTCTGGGATCTTGCTTCTGCAATCCGCGCCTATGGGTTAATATCATGCGTAGGGTTTGACCTGCACAGACTCAATTTGTAGATGAGCAGCTCGCTATAGCTTACGGAGACCGTTTGAACTCACGTGGTGCCATAGTCAGGGCCATGGAGTATGATAAGGGACACGCCATTGGAGCTCAGAATCTATCGCAGAGGCACCAAAGGGGTCGATACTTACTCAGCGTCAACCGCTGGTGGCAATATTTAGGCTCACATCTGCCAGAGGTTGGAGCAGCGTCTGGTAAGCCATTCTTTGAAGATGCGGTCATTGAGTTGCCGTGCTTGGATGTTGGTGCAGACTTGCTTGCCGCTTCCGTCGAACGGATGGTAAACTGGTGTTTCTCATGCCTTGGACCTTGGTGTCCTTTGCCGAGATTCCACATAGGCTACGGTTAACTGGTGGGACATACGTCGATGTAAAAGTCAGAAACTTCAGTCCAACATGCTAGTAACTTGATATTGGTGATCTGTCGTGGCGACAAGAGTATCCAGGGCGCTGCCAGCTATGCGGATACCAAGGCTTCCAATGGAAAAGCTTCTCCGACCGGCAACTTCTCAAGGTCATTGCGACATAGTGATTTTTAAGCTCTATCCGGAAAGTTAATCACGTTGACACATTGAGACCTCCTAGAGATGCAGCATTGAAAACAATGGAGGAAAAGGGGGAGAAAGCTTCGAGATGAAGAAGACACAGAACGTCCGAGGAAGATCTCTGCCGATCAACGACACGAGATATACCACAGGCACTAAACCAAGTTGACCAAGAACAAGATATTACGAATAGATCAAAGGAAAGGAAGTCTGGAAGCTCGAGTCAGAGATATCAGGCGGTACCCGAGAACAACCAGAAGACGACATCACCAGTATGGCCGCTGGACACACAGGAAGCTCCGGACAAGAGAGACTTAAAGGTATTGTCGTCGCTCGAGATTGCGGGGACTTCTAGAAAGTCCATCGAAGCACTCGATGCTTGGCCAGTTCAGACGGAGAGGCCGTGAGCAAAAAGGATTCGGAAAGAACAGAGGCAAACAAGAATTGGGATGGAAAACCATTAAAGGGCGGAGGGAGGCGTTGGGTCACAATTTTCTTGAGCAGTCTACGGTCCTTGAACAATCAGATGCATGGGATTCCTCACCCGTAGACGAACTTGCGAAGGAACGCTTCGAAACTCGGTCTGAGACAGAGGGGACTGATAATAACGCACAAGAAACATTAGATTAACGGCAGCAGTATGCTTAGAGCACAGAAAAAGAAACGCATTCTTGCAAGGATCAGACCATGAGATCACCAGCGCCCGGAGCTTCGCTGCCAGAATCAAATGACCCAGATTAGCAAGCTCAGATCGAGGGAGAACGATGCGATGGCGCCGAAGATGGATCCGAAACAATATTGGAGATCAAAGACTTATTGGTAGAATACGATGACCAGATTCAACGAGTATAGGGCGCGGAACAGACGATGAACTATGCGAGCAAGGTCAGCTCCCAACCCAAGATGACGGAAGCGCAGGGATCCCAGTCTATCCGGTCCAAACTTCTCCCAAAATAGGCAAGTCGGCTACTGAGGGAGTCACCACTCTTTTATGCTTTTCAGAATACATATATCCACCCCCATGACATCCACTTGGTGTTTGAGATCAGGTCGCTAGTTTCGATGTTTGATCGTTTCCATATTGTTTCAATATAATCTTCAGACAATTCAATCCGGGGCTATGTTTTGGGGATATCTAAATGTTTTTGGAAATCCAATGACGTACGTTAAAGTACTGCATTATTTTCTACGTATAACAAATGTTGGCTCCAAATTTTGCCCTGAAGGGCAAGGTAACGACACTCCTCCTTCCTATCCCGCCATCGCCCTGTGCCAAAGCGACTCTGACATATCTCCATGACCGCCATCGGAACCGCGTCTGCATATCTGGATGCCTCGTCGTCGTTCCGCGGTTTCCACTTCTAGTCCCGCCGTGATGTCTACTAGAACGAATAATGGAGTTTTGATCGGCTTGCAGTACGGCACCATGGACCGGGCGAGTGAAGACGTCGGTGGGGGTCTAGTTGAGGTCCCGGGTGAGGATATGGTTGCAGAGCTGGGCCATCTTGTGGGGGTAGGCGTTAACTTGGAGGCGGAGACTCGGGCTGCAACAGGTGAGTATGTGCTTTGGTCTTGTCAACGCTGGGGGAAAAAGAGAACATACTCACTTTGAGTTATCTGAGAGGGACGATGTGCTGTCCAAGGAGTTGGAGGATGAGTTAGATTTCATGATTACCAGTCCGTGAGAGGGCTCAGGGGAAGAAAGTTGAAGAAAACCTAAGCTCGTGTTAATTCCTTTGAAAAGTTTGGTCGTGAAATAGTTGTTGTGAATATAGGCCGCCTACTCAGGTAGAGGCTGCATTATACTCGGCAACTACCCCTCCCGAAGCGAGAAGCTTTTGCACAAAGGATAGATGAGCTCGGCATATATATTACATAGTGGATGGGTTGTGATGCTATTGACATATTTGAAGCTACGCTTGGCAAGTGTCGAAAATTCCTACAAGAGGACTAAACACTGTCTTGTAGCTGGGGTTGACACAAAGGGGTTCATCATGAAAATGAAATAGATGACTATGTATCTAGTAATGAGTAGACTTCCCTCTCGGTTAAGCTAGTCACTTACTCCGTGAAACCTGTTGGCATACTGCCGAGGGTAGATATCCTGTTTAGAAGGGTAAGCACGTTTTCGAAAACACTGTGATGTAGATTTCTGCAGAAACCCCCCGCCTGGCTTCAATGGAGATGTCTTCAAGTGAGATTTCGAGTTCACATTCCGATCCAAGAGTGGGTTAATATTTGACAGCCCTTAAAACGTAGTTGAGGGAAGTGCTTACCTGCGCATCTTTCAAGCATCATGCCAGACTCTTGTGGTACCATTCCAACTAAACCACCGCTCAAGCGTCTCCAAAGTCAACTTCTTCATCGGGGTCTACTACAACTCCCCTAGAAGCCCAATCCAATTTCTTCCGGTTTGAACCGCTCTACTCCACGGCATTGCCCCCAGCATCGCTTCCTTCACGATGGGAATCTATTCTCTTGACCGCCTGAGAGATCTCTTACACCAGAACCTCCCCAATCCCCTGCGACACATTCTTGTTATAATAACCCGCTAGTTTCTGGTGCTGCATCGTCAATCCCGGTCGGCCCTGAAGTCTTTCCATCCTGACCCTCTTGGCCTCGCGTAGAAATAGCGAGAGCGAGTTGACGTATTCCGCACTCCTAGGCATACACAAACTGGGGAGCAGCTTGTTACACACGTCGGCGATTTTGCTCATCAACACTGGGAAAGACCGTGTTTTCCAGGCATCCCCCAAAAGGTGCCAGTCAGACTCAGACAGGAGGTATCTTTTCCTAAGGTGAGGATTCCTGATGTGGTTGGTGGGTTTTGCCCCTTTCCCTACTTGCTTTCCATTCGGTGACTTGTTGTTCGCTTCGTTGAGATGTCTGTCTTGGAGCTTCTTCCAGTCGTCCCGGTAGAAATAAAATATATTTTTTATGAGTGCCGCAATGGCATACTTAAAGCGACCCCATACCTTGCGAAAAAGTGTCTTCATGGCACACTTGAAGCGAGACCATGCTTCGTCGGTAACGTCGCCAAGAACGGGTTTGATTGGCTTCAGGAGCAATCCTACGACGCCAGCCAGGACCCACAGTGGGAGGCAGGCAATCATAATAGTATACCTCAACAAGTTCATGAAGCGTTCTTGTGAAGAATGGGACAACTCGGGGCGGTTTTCAACATGGTTGGATCGTGCGGACTGGCTCGTGGGGCGAGAAAGGTCCGAATGGTCCACGGGTTCGTGAGCTGGCTCGGCATTCTCGTCTTGGGCATCGTCACTTTGGTCATGACTGCCACTTGGACCCGCAGAACGACTTCTTTGATCAGTTCTATGAAAAGAGATGCCTCTAGAGCTGCTCCTACTATTTATTTCCCTACCGGTAGATGAATACTACTGGTGTTAATCTAAGTACACCGTATCAACTGACGCAGAGATTGCACTCACATTAGGAAAACCTCTCATATCACGAAAGTCTCTCACTATGTAGAACCTCAATCTTGGGTTCCCTTTGGACTGGCAGACTTTTATATTGCTTGGTTGGTAGTATTCGGCCAGGGCACCGCGATCATGTTGCATTTCGAGATGTCGAGGGTTCCAGGTGTCTCGCATATTCCGTCACTTCCGATATCCTCCTGTATGTGTTTAGGCCAGATGAAGTCAATGGAGTGACGGCGTTTGTAAAAGTCGCCTTGTTTTTTGACCTTCTCGTCGCTGATAATTTCTGGCTTCCGGACATAGAAGACTGCGTCATAACCAAGGCTCAGCTGGTGATAGTCAGTGTCTGTACCACTGTGATTTTCGACGGCACGAGCAATGGGAACTTGATCCGCATCGAATAGTTTAAGCAGGACATCAGTTGATACGAGCTTGCTTCGCTCGACGGAGATACCATGGATCAGGCTCAGAAAGCCTACAACGCCGATAATAAACGGTATTAATTGACCAATGGAGTCTAACGTATAAACACCAATGATTTTATTACAATGTAGTGTCAGTTCGACGGAGACCATGGTCCAAACGATGGTAAAAAGATTGGCCGCACGTAAGAGTTTCTCAGCCGGGGGTGATCTTTTTGGAGGGTTAGAGTGAAAATATCATCCAGTTTTACTGTTTTTGTTGCTTACTTGAGGAATGCCATGATTCTCTTTCCATAATTAGGCGAAGCTGGCTCCGCATTTGTATCTTTTTGGGCCGTGACCCAGAAGGGATAGGGGATGAGCGGAATAAAGTCGATCTTTGGGCACCACTTGAAGAGTAAAAGACACAAGAATTGCACCGTGGTCCTGAAGGTAAAAATATAGACATCAACGAAGGGTATCAAATAACACTTTAAGTCGGGCCGCTTTTCACCTGCTGATTGTTTCCCGTTCGCCCCTTTCCAGCCCATGGCGAGGGAGAGTCGGGCCCAGTACTTGAGTAAAAACCATGACATCGAGAGGATGTCACGGCCTCTCTGCTTTTTCTCCAGCATCTCAGCCTCTTCAGCTCTCAAGCCCATTTTGGCCACAGTCTTGTGGCGTTGCAGGTGAATGATGCCACTGGCACCGAACCACACTGCCAGTCCCGAGATAATGCTGGTCTGAATGAACAGGAACAAGAAAAAGGCCACCATCATCAGGACCTCTCGCACAAAAAGCACAGCATAGACCGCACAAATGACGCTCGACTGTATCTCGAGGAAGTACCGTATACCGCCAGCGATATCGAACCTGGAAAATAGGAACGTGTAGTCTGAACAAGCATTTGCGCGTCGATGCAAGTCCCTTCCCCGGAACCAGAACCACACGCCATACGCGCTAAGTCCGGTGGCAATGCTGAGCCGAAATAAACTGCCAATCAAGGGGAATCGTATCTTCTTGGTGTGGATGTCGATAGTCGATGTGCGGTGTCCCCATATCGAGAGGATGGAGAAGAGAAAGCCAAAACAGAGGTGGAGAAGCACTACCAACTCAGCCGTCTGGGCCGTGTTTTTTATGGTAGCTACGACCGTCGCAATGAACAATGCCAGCAGGAAGACGGTGTTAATCTCGAGGCTGGAGTCAATGGCGCGTCGAAGAACGTGGTTGGCAATGAATGCCGTGATCCACTGAAGGTAGATACCAGTGCGGATGCCTAGGTCGTAAAAGTCGGGGTTGCCCTCAATTTCGCAAGAAGCTGGTGCAGGACCTGCGGACTGCGCTTGTCTTTTGGAGGCGTTTGGCTTGAATTCACGCCAAATAGGGGCCCCCATTGCAAGGCCGAAGGCAACCAACAGCTGACGAGATACAACGGCCTTCGCATCTTGCAACCGTATACCTAAAAATACAAAAATATATTATTATTATTAAATACGCCGTAGGCTCGAAGCCCCCGGTACCTCTACAAGTGCTCCCGTATGTCAAACCGTGCCCTAATGGCTGGACTAAATACATACGCTGCTACGTAGGTTCGCTCTATTAGCGACTGCGTTACGTCCACCACAATACTATGTTAGTTCTCACCCTACTAACAAAGTCCCCCTGAGAAGATCGATATTATCCGGGCTTAAGCGCTATCCGGCCAGTCCTGAGTAGCCACCTTGTGATAGTCCCGCTGACTACTGGTTTCCCCGTCGCCGTTGCCAGGTCTCTACGTGTATGCAGCGGCCATGGTGCGATAGTGGCCCGTAGGCGCTCTCTCGATTCTTCCAGCAGGCCGCAAAAGAGGATTACGTGCTCTGCCGTCTCGGGGGCCTCTCCACAGCGGCATAACGGCGAGTACACACCGAAGGCTCCTATCTTAAATAAGAAAGCTGTAGTCCTATTTTTCCGGTCCTGATCTGGCATAGGGTAGACGCCTCCGGTCGGTTTAGGTCTGAGTACTTGCCCTGTTTCGGCATTCGCATCGAGGGGCCCTCCTGCTCCTCGGCGATAGCGCGTCGCTGGCGGTCGTGTTGTGCTGCCCTGGAGAGCCATCTCTTCTCCCAGTGGTCTAGGAGGGCGGCCGGGACTTCCTTCGCCTTGCCTATCCACTCGGAGCCCCTAGCCTCCTTCTCTATCGTGTACCCCGCTGGTCTGAGCGATTGTGACGCCCGCTTCCGTCTCGCCGGCGTGTCCTGTCGGAGTATGTGTGACGCTCTCGCGCTCGCGCTCCGAAGCAGGCTCCTTTTGCCGTTATTCCGTAGCCGTTACAAAAATATATCTACATGGGTGATTAATTTGGGGGGCAACGTCTTTTTGGCCTCTGCTGGAAGCATGTCAGCCTCAATGCTGGAGATCTTTTCAGTCATTAGTGGCACATGCCCTCTGCAGCGCAATGCAGTAGGAGGGGTTGTGCCCTGGTAGTAAAAGCTGCGTGTCGCAGAGGACGTTGATGAGTTGAAGAGCCAATGGATTTATATCCAGCCATGCTGTGCCTAACGCCTTAATTTCATTCTGACGGTCCGGGAAATTGTACTTGTCGTCGTTAGCACGCTCCTGGAAGAAAGAACCCAAGATGCATTTTCCATCATTTGTGCAGTTGGATGTGAAAATAGGTTATTTGGATGGAATTCGATATATAATGATATATCACATCATGCACGGCGCTGACATCAACAGCGAGGAATCTGACCTGAGTTTTGGTCCTAGGCAAGTAATAAATTCTTCTCGGGTCTTACGATGGGTCCTGGGACGGCGGGTTCGAGGCATTTCATAATTGTAAACAACCAAAGGTTGACAAGAAGATTACACCAGCATCCTCGAAGGCAGGGAGTGGGCTATCGTCTCACCCTGTAGAGAGGAGAAGTGAAGTCACATCGAAGTCAAACAGAGCAGCAGAGGATTGATCCTGGTGACTACCATCCAGTGAAAGTATGAGACCAAAACTGTCGATACATATCAGATCCTATTTCTACTTCGCAGGCTCTATCTAGCCTCGCCTTCAGGATACCCCCACTTCTAGGTCATCAGTTCTCAGTGGACCTATTTTCTTTTATTCTATAATCGCCGTTTGTCGCGCAGCCGTGGACACAGTCCAGAGCTGTTGGCTCAACGAATTGCGCCAAGTCGGTTGACCCCTCTCCGGGATTGTAATCAATATTGCAGATCACTTCTTTGAAGCCTGCCCGAATACGCCCAGATCTACGAACCTGCTCACGCGGCTGCAGGTCCATCGGATGTGGATGGTGTTTCAGATAATTCGAGTCGGTGCACCGAACTATTGTCGTCACAATCCCTAGCACAATCAAGAAGCGTTTCCTCGTTGATCCTCGGGCCAATGTTGCTGTTGCCGCCTCCCCCCACCCCGGTTTCGATCCACTTTTGGTTGTAAGTTAACGGAGGAGGGTTGGGGGGATCCAGGGACGGTCGCCTGACCACGTCTTAGCCGCTATTATTAACCTTCTCATGGACCACAGGTTACCCATCCGCCCAGTTCTATAGGAACTCATTGGAGGGCTGCATTTTCTTCAACTCCGTCAAGTCACTCCATAGTTCAACAATATTAACGGAGACCTACCGCACCGTTCGACCACTCAGGGAGCCAGAAGTATAGATGGCCAAGCTGACAGCGATGATGGCTGAGATAATCAGACTGAGAAATGCAAAAGTACGATCGGCACATAGAGTGATGCGGTAATACCAATCATTACTTGCGCCACTGACGTACACGAGGTTAGGGATGTCAGCCGCGCGCGACCTATTGGAGAGAGCAACAATCTGAATGTTGATCCCCACACGCCCAGAAGCGTAGAGAAATTTAAGTACAAAGCTGTTCACATCTGATAGCCGAGCGGCTGCTGCCAGTCATCCAGGTGCAAGGTCACTGGTGCAACGCATCATCAGAGTCAGACGTAGAATGTTCCAAGATTGGCCTGGTACCAGAGTCAAATTATGGTATGCCTCTTGGCGTATAATGGAGCACCCAATACCCCAGGCTCTTAGTGTCGTTGTAGAACCTGTAGAGCTGACGGAATCCAGGGTAAGGGTGATGGGCAATAATTCGGTAATCCGATGAATCAATTTTATTTCTTGTTCTATCTGAAAGCCACAGAGGTCGCGCGATTTTTGCAAGTAGCCTAGGACGGCAGAGTCACCGCCGTGTATCTCAGACTCAGTGCCCAGCGTTTGCCAGTTCCCAAATAGAGTGGATGACACCATCGTGTTGGAGAAAGGCAGGTTATATACGTTAGTACCCAAAACAGTCGCGGTGAAGGTCATAGCAGTACTGGTCGGAAAGGACCTTCCTAATACCAATCCGATTTGAGCATGAGCACACTCCCCACGTCTCTCATTGACATGGTGAAGGTCTAGGCATTTAAATTGGGGGTGTATATTGCGGTATCAGCTCCTATTCAGGGATCCGATTCTGGCGCATAATCGAGAGGGGCGTATGGCCACTCATGGAAATTGACATCGCTTTTATCCCCATAAATGACCTGTTGATCAACTGCGTAGTCGGCTCTAACTTAACGTCGGTTAGCAAAGCCGGTATCTATCTAGCAGCATCATAAAACTGTAAGACGGGGTACACATATCCCAAGTTCAGAGACGTGAGCCAGTTGAGGACAAATAATCTCCAAGAGAGTTCTGCAGCACCAGGATCAGAGAGCTATTCTAAGTTGCAAGATTCGAGTTTGCTGGTGGCAGTGTAAGCCTCGTAAGCAACCATGTTGGAAATTGTCGTTCGCGCAAACGCCGACAGCAGTGTGATAAATGCGAAGTGCAAGAGCCGCCAAGTGCACCCACGCATGAGGGCAAATAAGCTGGGCAGGTCTTGGTTTCCGCAGATATGCTGCTGGCGGTTCATAGGCTCTTCTGGGCACTCCTCGGGGCGGCCCTTGCTCGTGTATCAAGGCCATGCGGGCGGTCTTGAACCAGACAAAGTTGAGGGCCGTTACGAGTATAGGGGCTAACAGGGCATTGCACACCACGTCGACCGCTTTTGCTTGGGATTGAATGAGTTGGCCTCATATTGTTTCACTCGCCAAACTGCAAAACAGCTTTGCCTTTGTACCGGTTTTGGCTGTCCATGCTTTCAGGGCGACTAGCGCCACGAGGAATGAGGCTTACCACCCGCACTGAAAATGTAGCTCTCTAACAACCTGGAAGGTGTGTCAGTGGATCTTTCGCCTCAAAAATGCAAGTGCCCTCATCCTCGGGGTACTAGCCACCTTTTTGCTTCAAACTATGCTAGTGATCTGGGTAATCCGATGTGGAACTGTGTCATCCGACACAGTGAACGGTGTCTACTGCTCACCCACTCAAGTGTTTACTCTACTTAGCCATACTTGACTTCTGGTATCTTCTGTGATGAGCGCGAAACCCCTTTCACGTGCTCACATCCGCCGACTTGTATTTGGTCCTGATACGCCATGGTTGAGAGATAATCATGAAATGCAAGTCTTTGCATCAACAGACTTAAAGTTGACATGCCATCAAGACATTTTTTCAATAAAAGATTGCAACTTCAGCTGCACTGACTACTTCAGAAGGTGGAAATTCCATCGTGCTCAGATGAACCTCCCCTGGCTCGGGTTCTGGACTTTATCGAGTCTCGGCTTTGCAAATTGCTAGTACTTTCTTCCATGACCCCCGGCAGGCTCTCCGTCAGAAAAGCCCTGACCAGCCGAGGTGGAAAGGGGCAGTCGCTACTACACGGCTTGATACGACTCATCGGAACAAAAAGGAGGAAAAGAGGTGGTGTGGCTGTGTTTGGACGAGGCCCCAGACTTGATATTTGATATAATCGATTGCATAACAAGTGCTTTTGGATAGTGTGTTCTCAATTTGTACGCGACACCCAGGTAGGAAGGCACTACTGAGTACGAATTGCGTCAGGGGATAGTAATACGCAATCTCTCACGTTGGAACTGTAGCCAGACGCATTAGGCGAGCGAAGAAAACACACAACGGACACATTTCCGGACCCAGGACTTGTAGATGAAAGGGATACATAATTTTACCCACGGCATAGAATATTCAATACACCTTCAGTGAACAAGTGCTTATATGCAGAACCCGAAACGGATCTCTGGCTTCCAACATTTCAGGTTACTCACTTGTCGTCATGATTTGCAATGCTGCACGTATCGCCGAACTGGAAACATATAGAATAAGCATGCAACTGGAAGTTTCCATTGATCATCTGATGCTTACACCGAAGTCAGTCGAAAATGCACTCCATTTAGTTATGACTACCCCTATCTCTGTGCCGCACGATCATATCAATCCCCAGTGAAACTCCAAAGAGTCCAATCGCCCAACCTCATTCCTAATCATAAATCCCGTATTTGATAAACTGATTATCAAGCCTAGCAGCTTCTCCAATATCGCTTACTCTTCGGCCCAAAGTTCAAATTCCTATTAACCCCACTCCTCCATGTCCTTCTGTACACACAAGAGTTCCTCGGCAGCAATCCACAATTGCGCCGTGCGCTGCGAGATATTCCTATCCCGCCACCTCATGCCCCTCGGACTGCCAAGGAGACCAGGAGGACTATACCCACCTTCAATCCCATAACTCTTGCTTGTGCTTGCGTTCCCATTATTGCCGTTCTCAGAGCTGTCTGCACCATCTCCCACGGCATTGTTCTTTATACTCCTCCGTATACGGCTCTTGAACACATCCTGATCCTCGGTGTGCTCCGAGCAGCTTGTCAAACTATCGAAGTCGCCTCTATCTCTACGCCATGTACTAGAGACTGTCGGACCGGCAGCTCCATCATGCTCTGTCGTCCCTCTCTCTGCCGAGTCGGCATCTCCATCAACTGCGGCTTCTTTCAATCTTCTGACTTTCTGGGTAAATCGCTCGAAGACAGCTACACGCTTTTCAGCAGCCTCAGCGCGATCTCGCCACATCTTGCACTCTCTTTTCGCCTCGCGCAACTGTTCGCTCAGGGTCCCAATGTCCATGTTGTCTCTTGTCTCAAGCTGTCGTCTCAAATGCAGCACCTCTTCACTTTTCAACTCCAGTTGCTTCTGCAGTGTGCGGATCTGTGTATGAAGGAGTGAGTTCCCGCTGCCAGGTCTTGGACTGGAACCAGGCATAGGAAGCGGGCTGGAACCATCAGCTTGGGGCACGCCGTCTCCACCAGCTGCCTGTTGGCCCAGATGGTCGATTGAAGATGCGGCTGAGGGGGGCCGCATGAAATTGATGTGATGAGCAATAGGCGGCTCTTCTTGATGTGGGACCATTGTGCCTAGCGATGGCGGACGTGAAAGCTCTCTGTCACGTTGTGTCACCTTAGATGGCGACACTTGAGGCTCATTTCGTGCAGCCGTGAACGTCAGCCCCGTTGGTCGAAGTGCGACTTTAGGCATTCTTGTTGGGGTGGCATTAGATAGCGCACGAGATGGAGAAGACCGGGGATTCTGATTGATGCGACTAATCGAGGTCTTGTATGTACGATTCGGAGTGTTGACCTTTGGTGTGTTTTCGCCCTTCTTGACCTCGAAGGTGCGTTGCGGAGTAACTGTCGCAGAGCCGACGGCTGATCTTACAGATCTGGCCGGTGAGTCGTTCTTGGTATTTTGAGACATGAAGCTGTTTGAACTCCGCAAATCAGATCGAGACACTCCTGTAAGCGTAGGCTTTCGTCCATCTGGCGAGTCTTTCGACACGTTGTCAAACAGAGCTGCCATAGCCTTGACAGCGCCACCGACAGGTTTCGAAGTCGACCTTTGTGAAAGCGGCCGTGTCCCATTGTCTGTCGATGTTTTTGCAGGTGACACATTCTTAGCTTTGGATGGAGAGACATTCATTCTGGAAATGGCTGATTGCGGGGATTTGTCAAATATACCCTTCTTCTCAGGTGACAAGGTAGTTGGCTTGCTTTTCTCCTCCATCTTTCTGTTGAGGATCTTTCGCTTCCATTCTGGTGTCGCCGCCCTCTTTTCGACACTGATAAATGATTCCTCGCTGCGGCGGCTTGATAGATGTGCTGAATTACGGAGCTTTCGCTTCTCTTTGACTGATGCAGCCGAAGACGTGGGACTATTTGTCACAAGCTCTTTCCATTTGGCTGATGGGCTGCCTTTGAATTCCACATCCAAGTGGCCTTCACTCTCTTTCTTGGAGATCTGTTTGCCCTTAACCGACCTTGGAGCAGCCGGAGACGTGGGACTGTTTCTTACAGGTTCTTTCCGGCTGGCTCTCGGGCTACTCTTGCTCTTAGTCCCCATATCCGAGTAGCTTTCACTCTCTCGCTCAGATAAATGTTTGCCTATGCTCAACCGTGGAGATTTCCTCATCAAGTTTTTCAGAGACCACGGACTGGATCTTCCCGAAAGTCTTTTGTCGTCAGGGTTGTTAGCAGACTGAGCTGTCTCTTGAGGTTTGACATTCGACGGAAAATCTGGAGAACTGACGAGAGCCTCCACCACCGAAGGATGGAAACTAGGAAACTTTTCCATGTCCATTGGTGATGATAGCTGATCGTTGTCAGATGAAATTGGCTCCAAAGGCGGTCGATCAGCAGCCGCTGTCACATCACCGCCGTAGTATAGTTTCTGCAGACCTGAACTATCTCCCGGCAGCTCCTTCCCTTCGAAAGCGCTTGAATCATTCTCACTTTTAATCGTCTGTCGCTTTGCAGTCGACTTTCTCGAAGAAGTTTGCAAAAAGTGCCTCAACGGTGTGTGTCCTGCTGAAGACTCTGCAATTGAGCGGTGTTTGTGCTCATTTCCTCCCACGTCAATGTCCAAAATATTATGATCAGGAGCCGTTGATTTTCTCGATTCGGATTCTGGACGGGTGGGTTGACTGGTATCTCCGACTTCGATTGAACGTTCAGAACTCCTACGGCGCATTGCTGAATGTCTAACATCCTTAGTAGAGAGGCTATCAGAACTCTGCAGGGATGAGTCTGACTCCTTGGGTTGTGACACTTCAGATGCTTGTCTTTTCAACCTTTGCTCGGCGCGGCTTTCGGAATCTGCGGCTTCATTCTCGTTAGAGACGTCTCTGGTCTGCAGCTTATCCTCTTTACCAGGCTTGTAAGACACTGGCGTGAAGGATGTTGTAGCCAGGCCTATTTGACCTGGCTCCTCAGAATCGTGGTTGTCAGCAGGGCTTTCTTCTACTGTAGGGGAAAGCGCGTTTGTCGAATGCCTCTGTGCTTTGTAGGATGCGGAACTCGAAGGCCGCGGCCTTCTGCGCTGCACTGAGAGCGATTCGGTTTGACTGTCATAGCGACCACGTCCGCTCGATGACCCGTGTCCTGAAAACTTGTCGTGAGTATGCTTGAACTAACATTTGAGCCACGAGCCTTTATGCTAAAACTTACTTGGCGAGGGCGTAGGGCTAACTGCAATGGGCGAACTACTTCCCTCTTTGCGTCGGGTCGAGGGCCTGGGGGCGCTCCAATCTGGAGGCTTTCTCATGGAGAAAGAGTCTGACGCCGAGGACCGCAGTTCTCCCCTTCGGTTTTTTTGTCCGGAGTACATGACATCTCTTTGTGTTCTGAGCGCATTCAAACTTCGCAACTGTCGGACTACTTCTCTCCAATGAGTGATAAGCATCTCCGTAATATTATTTGCCACGTGTATTTTGTCAACCGTGATCAAAGCTGGTGCTTCCAGCCTAGGTGTTCTGGACTTCTTTTGCTTCTTTGACCTGGGTGGTGTTACTGGTAATAAAACGAGACCAGCGGTGGGGTTTGCGATCTTCATCTTGTAGGTGTTAATCAAGTCGCCGACGAGAAGAGGCCCAAAGATGATGCCTAAAGAACTATAGCCCATCAAGTCTGCTGTTGGTAATGGTCTACCCGTATCGTCTTCCCTCGGCGCGTTCTCTGCTACTCTTCCGATGAAACACAACAAGCCAAACACGGCACATATTAGCTCTCGTTGATGCTGCAACTCAACCGTACCGATGGCTAGAGCAATAAGTCTTGCTCGCAGCTTGGTTTCTCTGGTTTTCGTAACCTCGGGGTCAGTATCAAGTTGACTATGGATGGCGACAAGGGCATCGAAGAGGGCAAGAGACCCGAGAATGCCTCCAGGCAAGCCAGCCAGCAGACGCTTAAAAGTAGAAGCAACATCATGCACGCCGCAGTTGAGATGCGAGGGAAGATTGGGGTTCCTCGTTGTGGTGGCAATCTCGTCGTTGTTCAGGTCGGCACAGTAATACTCATAGAGAGCGTTCACAACTCGTACTGATCCCGGCACGCGAAATATGCCTCTTGCTTCAGCTATTGAGGAAGATCAGTGTTGTCTCGTTTACATGGTGTCTCTGGGGACTGACCACGTTGAACAAGATATTGTGCAGTTGCGCGGAAGCATGTTGGCAACACTAGGGAGCCAGGGGCATATTCGGTCGGCAAGTAGAGCGTACTCTTCCCACACACTCTGACTAGACCTCGCAAATCCACATTCTTGAGGCCGTCTCTCCTCTGGTGATGCACAAAGTCGAGTGCAATATCGCTGATGCTTCGCCGATGGCGGAGTTGTTGGTTCAATCGAAGAAACGCCGCTTCGGTGGGTTGACTGGACGAGTTATGTCCGAACACCCTCGATATCCAGCTACCTTTCCTGTCCGGCAGAGACGCAGATATAGCTGGGTTTACCTGCTGTGCTGTCAGTGCCAGCTTGACTCTAACGTCTTTAACTTGGACCTACTGCGACCTGGGGGAAGTCTCCGGGCACAATTGGACGTATGCCATACTACGTTCCCGGTCAGCTAAACATACATGGAAGTATACTAAAGCACCCAAAAACTCAACCTTCTTAGCAAGTCTGTTGTACTCATCCACAAACTGCTCGCGATCATCAACCTCTTCGCCTTCAGATGCAAGCCCGATGTCTCCGCTTGACGATGTCCAAGTATTGCTGCTGCGAAACACGTTTCGGACCTGGTCATCGAGAACGCCAGCGGTCTGGGAGGTGGTCAAGTCAGAAATGGGTCGCGAGAAGGTGTTTTGCGAGAGAGGTGGCCTCCGGTTCTTAGTCTTGCGAGAGAATGGGAGCGGTTGCGTGGATGCTGAACCACCAGGAATCGCTGGCTCCTTGCCCTTTGCTGAAGTCGGAGCGGTATCATATCTATAAGACTGCATTGGAGCGACTCAAATAAAGAGCACCAGATGGATCCGGGGGGTGGGGGTAGGGGAACCAGAAAGGACTACAACTTTGGGAATTCAAACGTTCCTTCGACATTCACCGCTCCATCCATAACCTTAGCCAGGTGTTATACAGTGAGGTCTGTTTCAAACAATCTTCGACCGCTCCTTCCCTTTGTTTGATGGACTACTAGGCCACCCGCAGGGCGGCTTCGGACTTCTAGCTCCTCCATATGGGCCGTGCCTGCCGACCATGGTCAGAACCGAGGGCTGTGCATTTTAATATGGATAGGTAAGTTTTGATACTGCTCAAGGGGTAAGAAGAACCGGCGACACAAAGGAGCAATGAGACCAGAAATTTGTAAGGCAAGTTGTTATATTGCACCGACAAAACGTCATCCTTTTCGTGATCCGACCGAGGCACTTCAACCAACATACATTTGCCTCGTATAAGTTCCTCATAGAATTCTCTGGTTCCTCCCAGTCGAAAATGCCATTAAAATCGTCGAGTAGGGAAGAAGAGCTCTATAAGCTGCGCGCAGATCCATTTGCAACCAGCATGGTATTTCCCTGTCTCCCTAAAGAACGCCGTACGCCCTGCCATGCCAACTGGTGTTCTATTCTCAAACCCTCGTAAGCATTATCATCGTGGCGTCCAAACCTCACGACGGGGGGAAGTATTGTTCCCCTTCGTCGCCGTGGAAAAGGACATATTTCAGAATGTCCGAAAGGGAGATGATGCCTCTCAGGTGCCACTTATCGTCGATGACGACTATCCTGTGCACACGAGATTGACGAACGGTCTGGAAGATCGAGTCCAATCTGTCGTCCTCTTGGCATGTGTAGATACCGGGGAAATCCTCTGGTCTCTTAGCCAAAGCCTCGCCCACAGTCGACTTGAGCTCGTCATATGCACCACCCTTGATGCAGGGAATAACATCCACAGCCTCAAAAAGGTTGAGTACCACATTGTTCTTATCAACAACGGGTACACTGGAAATGTTATGGACGACCATGAGATTGACCACCTCAAGCACCGAGTCGGTCATGCGACAGGTCGCCAAGTTCCTGTAGGATCCCAAACCAATCTCCCGAATCGTCTGTTTCAAGAGGGACGTATGTTGCTCCGTGTTGACGGCAATAAACTTGAGGATGCGGTACTGAGTGATGACACTCACGACTGTCTCTCGTCCAGTCTCGTCGTCAATGTCAACTAGCGGTATGCGTCGCGCCCGGCTTCGCAGCATACGACTACATGCTTCGTACAGCGGGCGAGAAGGGTGGACGGATACTGTTTCTAGAGGCAGCACGCCTATTGCCTTCTCAATGTCTGCGACGATTACCTGTCAGCCATCCAACCACCACCTGTACACTTGATGTATTTGTGCATACCTCGCAGACTACTCAGTCGGAACTTCTCGACATTATCGATCTCGTTAGGGAACTGGCAGTAGTACTGAATCACATTTATGTAGTCGGTACTGGTGAGCAGGCCGGCGAATCGAGAATTATGCGAGTCCCAGAGGGGAGCAGATACGATTCCTGTGAACCAGTATTGATCAGAGCCCAAATTCTTCCAAAATGTTTCCCGCCGGCGGCGCCCGCGGCGCCCACGGCTAGAGTCGCATACCATTCTGAATGAATATGTTCAGACTCTTGCGAATTAAGAGGTCGTTGTCGAGAATGATGAGACGAAACGATAACGGCAGCACGTCGTAGCTTGTTCTCACTCGAAGGAAGTCGCGTAGGCCTTTCTAGGGGATTGCATTCTGGTCAGTCCTGAAGCCACCCAAGCCGCGCAAGTAGAAAAAGGCAGGCGCAGGCCACGCGACCCGATGGTGGGTGAGAAGCAATATGTGGCTAGGGACTTCGACAGCAGACTCATTCCGCCAAAACGTCAAGCAGGCAGGCCGTGAGGTTACTTACAAGACCTTGCATCTGCTCCTCGTCTATGGGAGTCATTGGGGCTTCTGCGGCAACAGGGACTGTGTGACTTCGAGATTTGGGTCGTAGGAAGGATGACGGTGCTACGAAGGAGATATCATGACCCGGCGCAGCGACATTTGGCGGCGGTTGCGGTATGGTGGAGGGGGGATGCTGTGGCTCGCCTGCGGGGCAGTCTTGGGCCTTTGCTGCATCCATGCTGCTAGTGGGACACCCAAGAGGGGGACGTTCAAGCTTTCCCAGCAGTCAGATGAGCAGATGTCGTGAATATATAGATGGCCCAAATTGGACGTTCTTGAGGTTCTGGCGAGGTCGAAATAGAATGCAGATGAGCCGGCATACGAGGAAATCAAGCCGGGTCGTTTTAGAAGGCCAGGGTACATAAGTAACTGCATAGCCTGATAAGAGCAGCTTGCTGTTGATCGGTGGGCCACCCGGGCTTGTTCCGCGGCTAGCAGGTTACTTTGAGAACCGCCAAAAGGTCGGTTGTCGGTTAACAGCTTTGATTTTTGGTCAAGATCGCAGGGGTTTTGACCGCAGATATGACCCGTCACTCATTTAGTAGGCGCGGATCAATTTCGATTTGAATTATTGCTGCATTGCAAACAACTGCAACCCGTGGTTGTGCCGAATGGTCGACCTTCGACCTTCGATCTTCTTGGTTCCTCCGGTTTGAAAGCTTGAAGATTGTATACAGCTTGAGATGAGATAAGCTAAAGTTTCAAGGTGACGTTGGAATGCCTGGCTACAGAATTCCAGCTATCAGATATGGTTCATGCAGCGAGGTGAGAAGTACAATAATGTCACGCTAGAACGACCCCGAACAGCCTTATGCTTCATTAGATTGCTATCCCAGGAGAAGCGATCGACAACTGTTCAGGTTATGAAATCTCTGTCTCGCGATAACTCGATAAAGCACAATGATCATCCTCACTATTCTACAGACTCGTCCTTTTTACACTGTCGCTTCCTCCCTGACTGTTGCCCAGTCGCCCGATGATGTCGGTGGAGAATGTGGGTTACCTGCAAATGGATAGCTACGCAAGATGTGTTTGTACTGAACTGATGATATATCATACTGCTGCCGGGCGAGGCAATTCGATCTTTGACACTTGAATACGGGTAACTTGCCTTTCTGCTCGTATTTGATTTAGCTTTCCGAGTACAAGTACGATTGCCAAAGAAATAACCCGTGTTAGTCGCACAGTTACCGAAATCTCTTGAACATGGTTGTATGACATCTCGAGCCCCAACTCCTCCTTCGAATATGCGGAAGGACTGACCGCAGACTGGAGTAAAGCACATCAAAACCTACCGACAATCTTTTCATATTGAATTTGATGTTGCCCTCTCTAACAGTCTTGGACATTGTATATGGCACGTACGATCCCAGTGTTAAAGCTGGACTTTTGTCGTCATCTGATAGCATGGTGGTGGGAAATATTACCGAAAATAGTCAGAGGGGCAACAATAAAGAGTCAGAGAGAAGGCAACAGCAGTCTCCGCAGTGCTGATGAGACATCACGCATCCGATCCATCGATATGATGCCGAAGGTCAATACTTAACTAGTTCCAGATGTAACACGTACATGCTTATGGAAGGTTCTTGTCCACAACTGGACTGCAGAAGTTGATTACACTCTGAATAGCTTCAACTGCTAGCCCTGAAGACAAAGAGGGGCTGTGGCGAAGACCGTCACAAGCCAAAATTTGGAGCTGTTGGAGGTGGGAAGATACGGTTGGATCGACCACGGTTGGGTAGCACAAAGTGGGCTTTGTTCCAAGACAGCACTTCAGCACGAGATTAATTGTTTAAAACGGGAGCTAGAGATTTTCGAGGTGTTGGCGCGGGTGACTTTGGAAAATGTTGGAGACCTTGAGCTGCTTGATAGCTGGGGTTGCAACCTGACCATCAACTTCTAAGTTGGCCTAGAATGGACCTCGCATCCTGGGATTTCCAAAAGGAAGCCGCTGCCGACCCACATCCACATGAGCTGTACCCTCTAGCTGCACCACGCTTGCCCAGAACAACCGACACGACCTCTGACGACGCAAATCCTAAATAACGGGCGAGCGATAATCTCTTCAACGTCCACCTATCACCTCACACACGTCGTCACTTCTTAGGAAAAAAAAAGGAAAAAGTGACACATCCATTGCCATCACCACACGAAAGGCATCCCTTCGGCTCTGTGGGTCGATTTTCCCGCGAGTCCATTCGGAGCGTAGGAATTAAAATCCAACATTTGGGTTAAAGCAGCCGCCTGGTAACCAAAGAGCTCGCTTTCACCTCACGCTCCACCATCCAACCGTCACCGACCATCTTCTCTCTCCCATCGCACCACGCACGCTAAATTTCACAACAAACAAAAAAGTAGGCAACGCTATCATCGACGACGACCTCACTTACCGCCCATCGCGATGGGTGTCTGCCAGTCATGTTGCGGAGGTAGGGATATCATGATTTGAGCTGTTTTGATGCCCGCGTGGACTGAAATGTACCGATCTAGGCAAATCCCGCGACGGACTCTACGAGCCTGTGCTTGCCGATAGCGAGCGCGAGGCTGTCGCTGACTTGCTTCAGTATCTGGAGAACGTGGGTATCCGGCCTGCCGATATCTTCGGTATCAATTTCCCCCAGCTTACCGTGTATCAGCGCGGCGAGACGGACTTCTTCTCGGGCGAACCCCTTCGAGCTCTCAGCACCCTCGTATTCTCCGAGAATATCGACCTTCAACGAAGCGCCAGCTTGACGTTTGCCGAGATCACAGAGCGAGGTACGTCGAAGATAGCCAAGAGACTGGCTGACGAACACCCTGCCGATAAGAGCTTCCCTCAGCTCTATGCTCGAATCAACGTGAGACGACAGATAGACTGACCATGGCTGCAGATGTCCGCGAGGTCGATCGAGACACGCTCGAACCTATCCTCTTCCTCCTCCAGAGCCCCGACATCGAAGTCCAAAGAGCAGCCAGTGCGGCGCTGGGAAACCTGGCGGTCAATAGTGAGTGAGCAATGCCCCGTGGCGGTGGCTTGCGTGCTAACTATGGCCTGTAGCCGAGAATAAGGTCCTGATAGTACAACTTGGCGGATTGCAACCACTGATTCGCCAGATGCTCTCGCCCAACGTCGAGGTCCAGTGCAATGCTGTTGGCTGCATTACCAACCTCGCTACTCACGAGGATAATAAGGCCAAGATTGCACGATCGGGCGCGTTGGGCCCTCTAACACGCCTAGCAAAGTCTAGGGATATGAGAGTACAGCGAAATGCCACGGGAGCGCTTCTCAACATGACACATTCTGGTCAGAGCAATTTCACAAGCCCAGATTATATGCTTCAAACAGCCACTGACTCCCAGACAGACGAGAATCGTCAACAACTCGTTAATGCTGGCGCGATTCCCGTGCTTGTACAACTTCTCTCCTCTCCCGACGTCGACGTCCAATATTACTGCACGACCGCCCTGAGCAACATAGCAGTGGATGCTAACAACAGACGGAAACTTGCCCAGACCGAGACGAAGCTCGTTCAATCCCTCGTCAACCTCATGGACTCGTCCTCGCCCAAGGTGCAGTGCCAGGCTGCACTTGCCCTACGTAACTTGGCGTCGGATGAGAAGTACCAGCTTGATATTGTCAGGGCCCAGGGACTGAATCCGTTGCTTCGTCTTCTCCAGTCGTCGTATCTCCCCTTGATCCTGTCAGCAGTTGCTTGCATACGAAACATCTCGATCCACCCAATGAACGAGTCGCCCATCATCGAAGCCGGTTTCTTGAAGCCGTTGGTTGATTTACTAGGGTCAACCGATAACGAGGAAATCCAGTGCCACGCTATATCCACCCTTCGAAACCTAGCAGCAAGCTCCGATCGGAACAAGGCCCTGGTCCTCGAAGCCGGCGCCGTCCAGAAGTGTAAGCAACTTGTTCTGGACGTGCCCGTCACCGTCCAATCCGAGATGACAGCTGCCATTGCCGTTCTGGCCCTTTCGGACGACCTCAAGACTCACTTACTTAACTTGGGTGTCTTCGACGTCCTCATCCCTCTGACCCACTCACCCAGCATTGAAGTCCAAGGCAACAGTGCCGCGGCTCTTGGCAACTTGTCTTCGAAAGGTGAGAATTGACATGGTTGTGCTACGCTTTTCAACTTGTACTGTCAGCTAATTCGGACCAGTGGGCGACTACTCCATCTTCATCCAGGACTGGTTGGAACCGAACGGCGGAATTCATGGTTATCTGAACCGGTTCTTAGCCAGCGGGGATGCCACTTTCCAACACATCGCCATCTGGACGTTGCTGCAGCTGCTTGAGTCCGAGGACAAGACGCTGATCGGACACATTGGCAAGTCGGATGAAATCGTCGAGATGATCAAGCAGATTGCGAACCGCCAGATTGAGTCTGACAACGAATTTGGCGAAGACGACGACGAAGGCGAGGTTGTCAACCTTGCTCAGCGATGCCTCGAGCTCCTAGGGCAGAGCATGTCGAAGGCTCACATTGAGGGCTAAATTGTTCGATAAGCCGCACTTGTGAAGGACTCGAACGAGACTACTTGTGCCTCAATTCACGACTGCCTTTTATTCGGTTCAACCCCGTTATTATGTTCGATAATTTCTACCTTATTCTTTCAGCATTGACATTGACTTTGTGGTTTGGCAGGGAGTTGGAGGCGTATTTATATAAGCAGGCATTGTAAGACTTGATGGACGGCTGTATCATTGGCCCTTTTGTTTTTAATCACTCATTGGTGCATATCCCTTGGTCAAGTGGTTTGGCCAAGGAAGGCGTAATTATGGAATTGCAAGCTTTATGTTAATGCGGACTTAGCAGCTGAGGGCTGCAGGGTTTCCTTTGTACCACTCTATCGGCATTCATGGAACACTAAAAGACTTTCTCGACTTTATGTTACTCCTAGTTAGCCGTTCGTAATACTCGTAAGATGTTGGCCACTTGTCGCGAAGACCTTTTCGTGGGAAGCCGTTGCTAGATCAAGTAATGCATTTTTAAACCATCGATACTCCTTGCGGTGCATCCAAACTATGCGGCGCCGCAACCTGTGATGCAGTGTTCCATGTTTCAGATGTTGGGAAATGCTCCTGAAACCGTCCAGGCGTATCCGATTCTATGCTTGCTTTTCCATACCTGGAAGGACGAACTTATTCTGACGTCGTGTCGACAGGTTTCAGCCCATTGTCGAATTTGGACCACCATTTCAGAGGATTCCACCCGTTCAGATATGATGTTGCCACGACCTTCCCCTTTATCAAGGCCAGAGGCAAGGGGCCGAAGTCACGGCTATCCCTGGACCAAGGCAGATTATCGCCCATGATGTAGCAGTGGCCTTCGGGGACCTGGTGACGGGTAAATATGTATATATTTTAATGACGAATTCAAGCAATGGACTCCAGTAGCCCAAACAACCGCCACCACGAGCAGGAGGAGAAAATCAGCGTACCTGGATCATATGATTGCGGTTTTTACAATCAGGGCTGTTCATCAAAACATAGTCGCCTGGCATGCCAAGCACGCGCTTGATCCCCTCCTCGCCGGGCTCGATGGGAATATTGTAAACAACGCAGTCGCCGACCTGGACATTGCGACCGCGGCGGCACCGCCGGTCGATGATGACAGACTTGCCGAGGACCGGGAAGGTGGGCATCATGGAGGCGCCGGAACCGGAGCCCCAGGCCACACCGTAATTCCATATCAAATGGGCAAAGGCGACCGACTTGCCGATGGAGAAGAGGACGCGGAACGGGTGGCCATAATAACGGCTGGTGAAACCCATTTTGAGGGGCTATGGGGTTGGGATCATTTTATGGCAAAGAGGTCTTGGCATCACAAATGAAGTCAAGACGTTAGGGTCAAGACGTTGGGGTGAGATGAAGAGCAGTAAGGAAAATTGCCTGTGGTTCTTTACAGTTGAGTTCAAGCTCCATCCCGAGTCTTCACCCAGGAATCCCGGTTTGACGGAGCTCGGTGATTGGCCCGACACCTCGAGCTCTCTCCATCAGCCGAACCTCAATCTCTGGACTTCGATGGAACAAGTAACTATTGTCGACCCAAACTTCTCCTTACCTCATAAACGAGCATTCCACGAGCTGTTGTAGCCTAGCTCGTCAAAGCCACCCGCCCAAAATGCAGCCCAAACGCTGCCTCTTCTCTCCGGCCCACGCCCTCTATCGAGTTTTCCTCTCACCTCTCGACAACCCATCCACAACGGCAGCGCATCGCAACACATTCTTCCTCCGCCCAGCTACCTACCACCTCTCCCCGCGGCTCTTCACAACCACGGCGCGCCTCGCCCGCATCGGCCACAAGGGTCCCCAAGTCAAGACGCCCAAACCAAAGACTTTCCGGTTTCCGTCCGATTTCGCTATTCCGTTTAAATACGTCCGCGTCGCCAGCCCCGATGGATTACTGTCGGAGCCCCAGCGCTTGCGCGATGTTATGGGTCAGCTTGATTTGAGCAAGTACAAGTTGCAGATGGTTGCGCCGCCGCCGCAGCCGAAGAGCACTGCTGAGGCCGCGGAGGAGGGGAATGAGGAAGAGGAGGGGGTGATGAACCCTCTCGAGCCCAACTCCCGTCCCGCTCCTGCTGAGGAAGCCAGCTGGGACACAATTCCCACCACAGAAGAAACCTGGGCCTCGTCCTCGTACACCACCAGTAGCTCCTCCTCCTCCTCCCTCGACGCCTTCTCCGCCGACCCCTTCGCACGCCCCGACCCCCCCGCGCCCATCTGTCGTATAATGGATAAGCACGCCGCAGCCGCAAAGCTAGAGCAACAAATGAAGGAAGCGCGGAAGAAATCGGTCGCCTTCAAAGAACTCGAACTTAACTGGGCCATTGCCGAGAATGACCTGGGGTATAAGCTGAAGCAGCTGAGGAAATTCTTTGAGAAAGGCATGAAAGTTGAGATCATGCTGGCGAAGAAGCGGCAGGGCAGGGCAGCGAGTAGGGAGGAGGGGGATGCGTTGTTGGAGAGGTTGAGGGAGGCGGCTAGGGAGGTGGAGGCGAAGGAGACGAAATGTGAGGGGAAGTTTCCGGGGGTGGTAAGAGTTACGTTTGAGGGGAAAGAGAAATAAGGGTTATCGGTTGAGGGTTGAAGCTTGAAGGCTTCTGAGAGGTGCAGGGGTGAAGGCCTGAGATGAAAAGTGCTGAGGCTCGGCCAACTTGGGTTGAGCCGCGCAGTTTTGACGCTGGTACCAACGCTCTAGGCACCATAGAACAGGGTCTTGCGGGGAAGGATGGACTTCGATCAGAAAGCTTTGGTCGATGCCACAGCACCCCAGCACACAAAGACGACGATAGCTTGGAGCAGAGATGCTGTGATCAGCAACGTGGAGGATACCCAGGTGTCTCTTTCCCATTTGGCAGAACTCCGCACTCATAGAGTTCAGAGCTGTACGATATTATATAACTTGGAGGCATAAGTGTGAATAGCACATTTCTGCACAATGTAAATTACTGACGAAGTCGTTCGTATATCTTGACTGTCTGACGGTTAGGGATATCTAATCCTCCATCTAGCCGAGTTAGGTAGTTAGCTTGCTTGTACCTCTCTATCTTGGTACAACCAAGAGTCGAGGCGTTTTGTTTCTCTACGCAAAACATATATTATATATACATCATGCAGACCAGCTTTCAAAGCCGGTCCAAAGCCCCATTTCCGTAAAACGCCAGAGGCATATGATTCTCTCCAATATGTCCCTTCAAATCCCTAAGTCCAGCCGGATTTCAAAATTCCCAGAAAATGTTGTACACCACCCATAGCATCAAGTCATCATCGGTCTGCGTGTTGTCTGCGTCTGGTCTAACCAGGTCGAAATCCAAGTCCAGGTCGAGATCGAAATCGAAATCGAAATCGAAATCGAAATCGAAGCTATGCCCCCTTCACTTGACGACAAAAAAGCATGCCCCAAGCAAACTAAACGCAATCGCCGTAGTCACAAACCCAGCCGCGACCTTTTCCCCCATCGAAATAGGCTCCACCACGGGCATCTTGGTCTCTATCCCGGCCCCGGCATTCGGGTCCCCCTGAGAGGTGCCGCCCGTATCCGCCGTGACAGGCGCCTTGCCCTCCGCGGCCGTCTTCTGCACCAACGTATACATGATCGCAGACAGAGCATTCATCTGCTCTCCCACGCCGACCAACCCGTCATTCTGCAGCGATATGGTCCACTGGAACCCGCACGCCGTCCCGGAAATGCCCTTAAACTCCGCCGCCGACGGCGAGCCATTGCACATCTCAGCCGCGGCTGTGGCGGTCGATTTCAGGAGCGGCATGACAGTATCGAATGTAAAGGGCGCCATTTGCGCGGTGCCTGCCATCCAGCGCGCCAAGTACCCCTTGAAGCTCTGCTGGTCCGTGTCGCAGAAGCCGCCGTCCTCGCAGGGCTTCTCCACCATGATGCCGTTGTCGAAGTGATAGGTCGACGTCTCATTCAGCAGGCCCTCGACGCGCGCTTTCCACGTCGTGTTACCGCCCGTGTAATTATACATAACAGCTGAACCGTGCAGGAAGATCCCGGCGTTGTAGGTCCATTGCGCTTTGTCGATTTCCTTGCACCCCGAGTCAACACCGGCCCCGTCGTAGACGCGGAAATCGGACGAGATAAGGTTCGTATCCGTCATCCAATCGTAGACTTTTTCCGCCCAATCGGCGTAGGTTTGGTTACCTGTGAACCGCGCTAGCCGCGAGGCGATATTGAAGAAGCACCCGTTGGAGATGGAGTTTTTGTAGTTGAACCCGTTGTTAAAAGTGAAGATCTGCCACCTGAGTCCCCCGCCGCACGTCGCGGTATCCCATCGCTCCACGTACTCGTTAAACGTTGCTTGCGCCAAGGCTAACCATTGTGGTTGATCCGCCGGCGGGTTAGGGAAGTTGTTTTCGGCTGCCGTCATGGCCGCCATGGCCCAGAAGCCCTGGTCGTCGTTTCCCTCAGTCCGCGTCTGGTTCGTGGGCATGAAATCGCGGTCGTCTCCTGCCTGGTGCAGGAGAGCCTGCGATGTGACGTCGTTGTATGTCGTATCCCCTGTCAAGAACCAATAGTCGATCATGGTCCCGAACATAGCCCCTGCTTCCCACCAAAAATACGGATCCGGGAGGTTTCCTGGCACGTCGCCGGTGTTGTTGCCCGTGTAGTATTTTAATAAGCCGAAGGCGGTTGTGCTAGCTGCGTCTTTGATGGAGTCATCGCTGTTGAAATCGACTGTGATGGCGCTCCCTGTGCCCGCCAGCAGACCAAAGATGCCTGCTACGCGAAGTGATGAACGCATGATAGAAAAAAAATGGGCTATGTTAACGAATGGATTGTCGTCCGGTCGAAAATTGGTGGACTAGCTTGCCGAAATGGCGAATAAAATGAAGAGAAAGTGTTAGACCGAGATCATGTCCTGGAGATGGGAATCAACCGTCGGTCGAATTGTATTGCAAACAGTGACTATGCTGGCCCAGAATAGACCGTTGGCGCAATCGCGATTCCAACAAGAGACGCAAAGAATTAAAAAGACGATCACCTGGACGGGAATGAAGTGAAGCTAGGACAAAAAGACTCAACCTGGAGTAATTAGGAATGAAGGGACACGAAACGGCAAGGCCACTACGTGTCAAGGTTGAAAGAAAAGAAAGGGTCGGCTCCGATCTAGAAGCGACGGCACGACAAAGAGAAGGTTGTTGAGGAGTGAAATTACCACATCAGACAAGACACCGATACGAGAAAGGAAGAAAGAGGATCTCAAAATCCAGCGCACCAAGACCGAAGAGGATCGGCTACTAGCCAGGGCTTACCATGTACGAGTGACGTGATGATGGCCGTGCCCCTGTGCAAACTTGCCGCAATTGCAACAGATACAGGCCTACGACTTAGTGTCCCGGCCAGTCGTTTACCTTTTCGTCCCGCCGTACATAAATCGCCAGCTCTGCGGAACTTGGAAAGATGGGAGGGATGGGGCTGTGTAGGAGCCGATGTTCTTGAGGTGAAACCGTTCGAGTACGACCTTGGCGGAGTTTCGTCTCAACACGGCAAACCCGTTGGCCCCCTGTGGAGGGCGACATGACAAAGTAACAACAAAAGACACAAACGAGCGCGTGGCTTGACTCTGTGGAACTTCACAATCAGACAGACCTGAAATAGGATACGGGAGAAATGCAAGCACCGCGATTCTCAGGATCGCTTGTTCGAGCTCCTGAAGGATGAGAACCTGCGACGTGGTTGTTGAAGGAGGCTCAAATCCCCGTCCGAAATCCGGATCCGGTTGATGAAGAAAAAAGCACCAACCAGGCGGGTGGGACCACTAAAATGACATTTAGCCAGGGCTGGAATTCCAGTTGCCCGCGGCGGCTAACTCGGATAGGGAAGGCGTAGGGGTTCCTAGTGCACGAAGCAGATGCTTAGCTTGTAACGACCCCAGAAAAAGCCAAGTTGGAGTTTGAAGCTTGGCAGAGCGCATCAGTTGAGCGATCCGCGGTAGGTGGGCTTGACGGAGTCAGAATTAAAAGTTGGCCTTCCTTCAGTTGATCTTCAAGGGGTTCGTCGCAGGAAATCTGGATTCCGACACATTTCCACCGTTCGTCTGCTCGCAGATCCGTAGCTGTGGGCCTTTTAGAGTTTTGTTTTGTGCTGGTTGTTTTGGTCATTTTCACAATCAACCAACGCTTGCTGATATTATACTTTTGTCAGTCACACATCAAGTTGTTTCAAGGTATCGAGGCGAGACGCTGGAAGTTGATCGTCCGATAAGCTTCGCCCGTTGCCAGCGCCTTCTGCGGGCACCATGGGAAAAGTGGGTGTGCCGATTGTAGGCACATACTGGCTAGCGACAACGGATGTTTCTTGGCGTGCCCCATAATCTGCTATAGTCTTTCCTTTCTACGTACGTGAGGGAGACATAAGCAAACTTTTGGTATCCATAGCATCGTGTGTGCAACTCGCGAGTCGACGTCTCCAGAACCTTTGGGTATCATCATATCCTATCATACACGCCCGTCGTCTCCGCATCCCCACCATAGTAGCTACAATCCGGGAGAAGAGTAACGCTGCCCTATGCCTTGCGCTTCTTGGACGGAGGCGGGGAACCTGCATTGGCCTCGACCAACTCAGGAGCTTCGTCATCCTCCATGTCCTCATCCTCATCGTCTTCAAAGTCGGCGTCACTAGCAGCGTCATTGTCCTGCGCTTGTGCTTTGAGATGTTAGCTTAAGGGCACGTGATGCAGTCCAAATGGTCACTTACTGAAGTACTTGATGGCGCCGGGCCAGAGATCCTCGCTGAAAGTGACAGCAAGTTCCTCTCCATCGGTGAATATCTCGAGGGGCATAGGGTCGTCGTCTTCCTCCTCATCCTCATCCTCATCTTCGTCGTGGGTAGGGACCTCCTTTCCTTCAGCTCTGAGACGTTGTTTCTCCTTCTCCTTCTCCGTCGCCATCTTGCTTTCCTCAGCAGAGGTTCTCAAGCCTCGGAATCCGAACCAAGCGAAGAAGCTCATGCCGCCAAGACTGGTGTTATCAATTTTCTTCTTCAGCGCCTTCTGCTCGGGCGTGAAGTCCTCCTCCCGGATGGTGCCGCTTCCAGACACGCCCTTCTTCTTTTCCTGCTCCCAGACGGCCATGACCAGGTCGAGCAGGCCCGAGGTCAAGTCTTTACCGGGCTTCCACTTGATAGGGACAGGCTCACTGACGAGCGACCCATAGCCGGACTTGGAGAGACGGTACCAGAATTTCTTCTCGATGACGCGATCCTCAAAGTACTCGTTCTCGCTGAACTCGAGCTTGATGGCAACACTGCGAGGGTCACCCTTACCGCCATTCTCGATTTCAAAGCGGGAGACCGAGACGGATGTGAGGGAAGACAAGAGCAATGCCGAGTCAGACGGCTGGATGTACTGGTCCACCTCGGGCGGGGCCTGCTCGAAGACCAAGGGCCAGAAGTTGGGGATCTGAGCGATTGTCTGCTGTCGCTTCTCGTACAGATCCTTGGTGAGAGCGAATTGCTGACGAACTAATCACAGTGTTAGCCATCAATCTTATGCATCAGTCGATCGATCCATCTAGCCTTACTTATCTCGACCTCGACCTCCTCGAAGTCTTTCTCGAGATCTTGCAATTGCTCGTACGTGACGGCGGTTTCACCGGCTGAGGCTGCCATTTCGGTTGCTCTACTGAGTGAGATGTGCCAACGTTGGGAATTCAATCTGTAAACAAGTATGAAAGTGGGGATAAAAGTCGAAGGAAGGTGTTGAAGACTTGTAAACCAGCTATGCCGAATTAAAAGCGGATGGGTTGAATATTATGCAACTGGATCCGGTTCATCACATAACGTACCCCACAAGCAAGTTGGCCACACAAGCAAGTTGGCCACTTTTTCTTGGCACCGTACGAACAACCTTTTAATTAACATCTTTACACATACCAAGATGGGATCGGATTGGAAAGAAAGCGACATGATTCTAGCGTGTCAGGCGCTTCAATCGAAACCCGAATTAAGCATCCGACGCGCTGCCCAACTCTACAATGTCCCTCGTACAACTCTAGCTAACCGAAAACGCGGACTACTATCTCGACGCGATACTCGACAATCTAGTCATAAGCTTACGGAATCAGAAGAGTTAGCGGTCGTACAATACATACTTGACCTAGATTCGCCATCATTTCCTCCCCGGCTCCATGGTGTTGAAGCTATGGCTAACCGACTGCTCCGTGACCGTGGCGCTGGACGCGTCGGCGTCAACTGGGCCTCGAACTTCGAACTTCGTACGACGACAACCAGACCTTCGGACGCGTTTTAATCGAAGAATCGACTACCGACGAGCCTATTGCGAAGATCCTGACGCGTATCGCGCGTGGTTTACGCTCGTACGAAATACAATTGCGAAATATGGTATCCAAGAGGCGGATATCTATAACGTCGACGAGACAGGATTCGCGATGGGCTTAATCTCATCCGAGATGGTAGTTACAAGTGCCGAACGACGCGGAAGGCCTCGTACAGTCCAACAAGGCAATCGAGAATGGGCTACAGTAATCCAGGGTATTAATTCGTCCGGCTGGGATATCCCGCCGTATATTATTGTCGCGGGTCAAAACCACCTCTTATCCTGGTACGAGAATAGCCTATTCCCGTCCGATTGGGTAATCGCTGTAACCAGAAACGGTTGGACAACAAATGAGCGAGGCGTAGACTGGATTCAGCACTTTGATCGCTACACGAAGGATCGTACGAAGGGTGTTTATCGTCTTCTTATCCTCGACGGGCATAAGAGCCACCACTCGACTGACTTCGAGCTATATTGCAAAGAGCATACTATTATTACACTTAGTATGCCTGCTCATTCGTCACATAAGCTCCAGCCTCTCGATGTAGGCTGTTTTAGGGCTTTGAAAAGGTCGTACGGCAAAGAAATTGAAGACCTAATACGGGCGCATATAACCCATATCTCGAAGGAGGATTTCTTTTCGGCATTCTATAGGGCGTATCGTACGACTATAACTAAGTCGAATATCTAGGCAGGTTTCAGGGGGACAGGACTTATTCCGTACGACCCGGAATATGTGATTTCAGAGCTGGATATTAAGCTACATACGCCTACACCTCCTGGGAGCTCGTCTGGCGCCCCCTTAATCTGGGAATCAAAGACTCCAAATAACCCAACCGAGGCGCAATCCCAGTCTGAATACGTTAAAAACAGAACCTTACAGCATCAGAATAGCTCCCCGACGACAATACTTACGGCTATTGACCAACTTTCACGTGGTGCGACGGCTGTTATGCATCGGTTAGTTTTACTTGAGGATGAGGTTACTACACTTCGGAAGGCCAATCAAGAGCTAAGCCGTCGTCGAAGGACTAAAAATCGACAGCTACAAGATAGAGGATCTCTTAGTTTACGAGACGCTCAGGACTTACAGTCTCAACGGGATATTGAACAGCAGCTACAGGATGATATACGTGTAAGTCGTCGTCGTACGAGACCGGCCGAACCACGCCGACGGCGTTGTAGGGTCTGCGGAGAGCCCGGAAATAATGCTCGTACTTGTGAGAATGATAAAGATACGTACGAGGAAGAGGATTCCGATTAGTTTGAATTATTATTTTTTAGTTTACTTAAGTTATTGAAGTTATTCATACGGTGCCAAGAAAAAGTGGCCAACTTGCTTGTGGGGTACGTTAGATTTTCTGCAATGATGCTGGATTTATGGATCTGCCATACACCATCTTGGCGATAAACGCACTGCGCAGCTCTATGGTCGTGCGCATGCACAAGTTGGCCCGTGCCTTGCCGCCGCCAAACACCACGATCGCGAATCTACTTGCAGTATTCCCCAGCTCCGCGATATCAACAAGCGGCTCTGAAACCTCGGTGGCCACAAGCATGGCAATATTCATACTGCTCAGAAAATATTGACCAACACAAAGTATGCATCATGGGTAGTGTCAGAAGATAACCGAGAGCTCCAACTTGTAATGGCACTCAATTGCAGTCGTTTCTTCCTACTTTGACTTGGAGTGGTCCTGCCTCCCCTTCTTGGGCTGACATTGCAGTACAGTTAAAACTCCTCCCAATGCACCTCAAAGGTGCCCGTAAGCTGCGCTGTCATCGTAAGGTGAACCGCAGCATCCTTCTCCAACGAAAGTTGGAAATGATTGATTGTCTAAATGACAGCTCTTTGGTGTCAAGTTTAGCATTCCTATACCAACTGCCGGTTGACCGTGTTGGATATTTGCTAAGCACTAGCTGTTCTCGCATGCTGACATGCATCAGTTGAGGGTCACTGGACTGGGTGTCCGGCCGTGTCAGTTGTAATATTTTGCAGTGACAGCTCCTTATTGGATGTTGTTGCTAAGCCCCTTGTAGTCGATGAGACAATCCTTCGGCAACTGACTTGCGGACATAGCCACAGGGCGTGGGTATCTGGTTAACAATGCTGCTTATTTGACTGCGGCTTGCTGCTGATATGCGCGGTTTTCGACAAAACCAACTGGCGCTCCGCCATACTCCAGGGCGAAACTGTACTCTTCCAATCTTAGCCAATATGGCCGACGACACCTTTCCTCCATCTATATGGTCCACCATCATAGATAGTCGATCAAAAGAAACGCCAGATAGAGCTTTCTGCGAGATACTCGAAGATGGCTGGCGTCAGACCGGATCTCGAAAATTACCTACTCACAGCTTGCAAGGGCGGTCAACCGGATGTGTTGGTGGTTAGACGAGGAGTTTGGTCCTTCGAAAGACTTCGACTCGTTTACGTATGTTGGAGACAATGATCTACGGTATACAATGGTTTTGGTTGCGGCTCAGAAGTCTCAAAGACTGGTATGTGCTCTTCATCTTGAGACGGCATTTTTATGGCAGGTTCCAATGTGCCTATAGATGGTCATCGCGGATTTGAACCGGCTCACCCATGCAGCCCTTCTTATACTCGTTGAGAACACCAAACGCCTCCAGTGGCTGGGCGGTTCGCCAGCGCAGACAGCCCTAGGAGAACCCCTCACATCCGAAAGACCTGGCACGACACTATCCACTTTGCCACCCCTGAGCCACTGGCTGGAAGACGTAGAAGTTCCAGAATACCCCTTTGACAACACCTGGGAAGAAGCTCAGAAGTCTCCCGTATTGGTCATCCACTCGTCCGGCATAACGGGTATTCCCAGGCCCCTCCGCTATACGCTTGACATGACCGCCACATTCAACTTGATGCGGCGGTTTCCGGACAGGACGCACGAGAATCCAAATCTTCAGTTCGACCACCTGTTCGACTCGCGTGCCTTCTGGACCGCACCACCACAGTGGTTAGGCGGTATCGCTGGGTAACTCATGTTCTCCCTCTTCTTCGGCAGTATCCCCATCTGGCCTCCCTCTCACGAAGGCACACCAACGCCGACTGCTGTCATCGAAGAGGTACTAGACAAAACAAACCCCGATGGCGCCTTTTACGCCCCAAGCACGCTCCGAGGCTTGTGTCTTAAGGATCGCTCATTAAAGACGTTGAAGAAACACCACAAGTACCTCCTCTGCACCGAAATTCACTTAGTCACCATCGTCGGCTCTACAGAGACGAGCTGGTGGCCACTGCAGAAGCTCGACGATCGCCGCGACTGGCGCTACTACCGCATCGACCCGCGCTTGGGTCACCATCTCGAGCCTTTCGACAACGGCGGCGCTGGTGACGATCTATACGAACTCGTCATCCATCGAAACCCGGCCTGGCGCCGCTTTCAGGGCGCCTTCATCATGTGGCCCAACCTCGATGTCTACCACACCCAGGATCTGTACTCACCCCACCCGACCAAGCCAGACCTGGTCTGGTACCGTGGTCGCAAGGACGACCTTGTCAAGCTGGTCTGGCTGACTAAGGTGTGGGCTCATGATATAGAGAGTGCGCTGGTGACGTACCCGAAGATCGAGGCGGCTATGGTGGGAGGAGAAGGTAAGGAGAAACCGTTCGTCATTGTGCAGGCCTGCCAGGATGCAGGGGTAAAGGGGTTAGATGCCGATGAGTTGTGGGATGTGGTCAAGGGGCTGAATGAAAAGATGTCGGCAGAGGTGCATATCCTGCGTGAGAATGTTATTTTGGCTGATCAGGAGAAGCCGCTGAAGAAGCTGGCGAAGGGGACACTTGATCGTAGAGGGATTCTGGCGGATTACAATGATGAAGTTGAGAAGTTGTATGCTGGTACTATGGTGATGGATCGTGACAGTAAAGTATGAAAGTACTCAGTGTGAAGGTCAACCCTCGCAGACTCACTACAACCAGGTGACTTACAGCTGGAACACCTGCCATGGCAGTGTCAGATGGGAAGCCAATCATAACCCTTGTAGGAGCCCCGCCAAGCGTGGATGACTTAGTCGCGCTCCCTCAAACCTAAGTTGTCATCTTCTTTCCTTCGCTCCTTAGAGTAGAATCTTCGTCGATAGCACCTAATCGAGGTCTCTACCAATGCGATGCAACCCAGGTCGTGACAATATATAAGGGACAGGACTCCCAGGCATTTCATAGATAGACAGTCTCTACTTCAGTTGTGACGACTGACACATGGACGATAAGCAGGGACATCCTGACATGGCCTGCCCTGATCTGGACGAGCGCGTTCCCCTTATAATAGGAGAACGGCCAGACATACTTGTAACCCTTTCCTTCTCTTTCTTCCCTAGTTTAGTATTCAACAATAGAGATGCACTGATATGCAACCTTGATTCGTACCTATGTGCCTCTGCCTCGTTACACCATGTGTCAGTCGTCACAGGCCCTAAGGTTATTCCAGTGTAGGAATTAACTAATTTCGTCCCTTGCCAATTTTAATAGGGCTACCTAGCTAATTTGGGTGGGGTTCCTAACGATTCTAGTCATATATCGAGCCTACCTTACGGTCACGGACTTCGGCAGACCACTACGGTAACGGGAGGCGAATAATTTCGTAGCTAGTAGGCGCTTAGTATTACCGGCTACTACTGTTAGATCGTATTCGAATTGGTTAGCTACCTTACGTACACTTAAGCCGCCTACGCGCTAGGCCGCCATAGTAGCGCGGGTTTCTGAAGAGTATTTATGTCCCTTTTAGTAAGCGCATGAAAAAAGCGCGAGAGCTTTTCTATGGGTATCTTCCATAATTGCTAATCGATTAAGATGTTGGTACAGGTAAGGATAAATCGGGATTTTAACACGAGCACGTTGGAAGTGGGGGTGAGGATGGGGGTGGGCCATACTTACGTAGCTCACCAGCATACCGGTGGAACTGGTTTCGCAGTCTCGCTCTCGCTCACCCTGGACAAGCACAGATATGCCTTTTGATCCAGCCGTTCAACTAGATGAATGCAGCTCTGACAATTGCTGTATCGTCTGGCAAAACCGGTTGCGTGTCAGTTTTGCTTTCTCTCTCACTGACCCTAGCATGAAGAGTGACAAGTATGTACACGAATCTCCTTTATCCATCCATCTCTGAACTGAGTAGAAAGTAGCTCTGAAGCTTGCTGATCTTGATGCTTTTTATACAACAGTGTCGATGCCTAAAACTGTAGTGTTTTCCTTCTTCCTTTGTCCTTGGTTTATTTCTGTTTTATTTCTGAGTTCCCTCTTCACACAGCAATAAGTGGCTCTTCCGCGTCCTGTGGTCTCGTGTTACCACCACCCTCCCGTTCAGCAGGCCTCGTCTCGTTGCTCGACTCCGTACCTGGAGGCGCCGCATTAGTGCCCTCCTGTGCAGTCGCGCCTTCAGCAGCCTCCCCATTCTCCGCGTGTGCTCTCGCAGCCTCTTCCGCCGCAGCAGCCTCAGCTTCAGCCGCTTCAAGTCGTTGTCGTTCGGCCCTCGCTTCAGCCTCCAACTGTGCAATATGCCTCTCCGCGACACCGGGTGCGATACTAGCCAAAAATAGAATCCCGGCTCGTTCGAGGCGCCTGGCCTGTGTCATCAGCCAATTTGCGTTCGCCTGCCGTCTCTGCTGCACCAGTCTGTCGGCAATTGTTTCTGGACGTGGAGGCTGCTGGTTTCCATTGGCATCTCGGGCATTCTCGGCTCGAGCCGGTGGAGCATTGCGGCCGTGATTATCAGCCAATGGCATCAGATGCTCGAGATGTCTTCGTATGGGGTTCCAGACATGCTCCGCGATTGGGGTGAGGGCTCCTGCGTTAAAAAGGAACAGCGTCACCGCAATGGATATGACTGTAAACCAACGTGACCAGCTAGAGTTGGGCGACGTGAACCACCATATGAAGAGTGTAAGCCTCATCACCATCCAAATATGCGGCCAGATCTGGGCCAGTGCAATGGCCCGCACATGTGGGTTGCCGTGCTGGGCAATAGCGTGCCCATGCTGTAGTTGGGCGGGAGGTAGCGGAGGTAAACCTTGGGGACCTGGCGCTTGCGCCTGTGCCTGATTCTGCTGCGCAGCGTTGGCAGTCGGTGGCGGCGCCGCCCACATGTCTCCTACGGGAGATCTATGCTGCGGTTGAACAGGCTGTGGTTGAAACGGAGGCAATGGCATATTGAACTGTGCTCCAAATGGGAACGGACGTTGCAGAACCGGGTATCTGGCAGTCGGAGGATTCGGAGGTGTATAATATGTACCAAGATTACCGTGCACCAAGAGGGCTCGTGGTCCTTCGGGCGAGGACAGGATGTAGACTTCAGGGGTTCCTGATGTGGGTTGAGCCTGCGGATGACTCGTCGGCGGATTGCTGCTCTGGCTAGCTGCTCTCAGGGGATCTGGCGTGCCAGTGGCACTGCCTGTCCGCGATGGAACCATAGGTGTTGTGACGCCAGGTGGTATTGGCTGATGTGCCGGATTATTTGACAGATTCGTCAAGGAAGAAGTACTTGTATTGCGTCGCATAGCATCGGCCATTACTCTGGTCGCTGCTTGATTGGCATCAGCATTTCTTAGCATGTTTTGTACGTCAGCACCGGAAAGTTGTCCTCCAGAAGGAACAGACCGAGGTGGTGGAGTGCCGTGTGGTGGACTCCAAGGGTTCTGCACATTGACGGCTGAGAATGGGGATCCGGTTCGCGAATTTCTATGGAATCCTTGTGGGGTGGATACGGTTTCGTTCACGGTGATGCGCCATTGTTGGCCATTAGGTCCCACTCCTTCGCGAACGACAGTTCTAGTGGCGTCTGGCTGAAAAGGCGATACTGTTCTTCCTGGAGTGTGACTGCCCGCCACACCATGCGGAGTCGGTGCATGGCTATCCTGTGCTCCATTGAGTCCCATGGCAGCCCTCTCCCTTTGGTTGTGATTGATGAGCTCCTGGAGTCGATTATGGTGCTCCATCTGCGCTGCTGCCCACTGGCGTTGCTGATGGGCAAGCTGCTGGGGATTCAGGCCAAGTGGAACATTGACAGGCGATCCGTTTGCAGTCATGCCCACAACAGGTGGCTGTGGGCCGAAAGAGGCATTAGGCCAAGTTGCAACAGGGCGCCCTTGAGGCCCCTGAGGTTGCGCATGAAAGAGATGTTGGCTGTGGATATGACCAGGTGCGAGCTGAGGCAGTTGTGGTGGTTGAGGGTTGAATCTAGCTCCCAATATACTCTGACTTGGCGCCGCAGCTTGACTCACAGGTGGTGCGGGAATGTTTGCGTGGTTGCTGTCGGATAGCTCGCGGAGCACGAGATGGAGCATTTTGCCATCTGGGGAACGAAGCTGCCATAATGTCAGATATGGCACCGCAAAATGATGAGTGATAGAACTTACAGTCTGTTCGCCAAATACCTCCAGCATGGTTTCGTTGTCTCGAGACAACAAGCGTCCTCTATGAATCAAGCGCTGTACCTGGTGGGACGGCTTTGTCTCCAAGCTGTCCCGAATCCTCTCTTTCAATTGCATCACGGTGGTGTTCAGAGGCAGGTCGGAGAATGCTAGTCCAGGTGGAACGCCAGAAGATGGCGAGATGATCGAGAGTGTAAAGGTTGAAGCCTCAGCTCCTGCTGGGCTGGCGTTGTTGGCATGCTCCGAAGCCATTGTTGGCGGTTGCAGCAGTCAAGGGATACGTGCGGGAACAGAATAAATGGCTCAACAACAAAGAGCTCGGCGACGAAAAGCTCGGCGACAATGATCGAAGACTCGCTCGACGATGAAGGTAGTGAATCGTGTTGAATGCCCGTACTAGGAAAGAACGCCGAGCTTTGACCAGGAAGTCGGCGATGATCCTCCGATTGACTGGGGGCTGTTAATTGTAGTGAGTGTCCCGTGCTGGGAATGCTTGGGCGGGAAATCGTCGACAGTGTGGTCAACAATCTGATCAATGAGGAGTGGTGAACCGTAATCAATACCATCGGCAGGAGAGCGAGCTACGTGAGCAGGCTACCAAGGATGGCGATCATGCCAGGCAATTCGATTCAAGATTTACCACCATGCACAAAAAACACGATCAGTCAGAGGAGCATGCAAGTAAGAGGAAGAACGAGCACAACGGCAAAGAAGACAAACAAAGAGCAATAGCGACAGTAATCAGAAATGAATACACGCACAACTCGTGAGATTAACCAGCGGCTTTGAGGAGAGAGCAGGAAGCTTTAGAGTGTGGGAGGACTTTTTTGACACCTATGAATTCAATGCGGTCGCCATTATTCCACGTTGGCCTCTCAGGTTTCGGCCACTGGGGTCGTTGTACTACGTACCTGACTGCTGGCCCCATCTCAGTTATCAGTGGGCTCGTGCATGAGCCCGACAGTCGGGTTCTGCCCCCATTGACCGCCTCTACACCTCCTGCCAAAATGGGCATAGCCTTCTGAAAGTGCGTCATTCCATATTAGAGCTGCATTATTAGATCGACTGGGAGGGCTTTTGGAGAAGAGATCTGTATGGGCACCATTGAAGCTCAACACCATCCAATATTATACTCCATAGGTAAAGATCGACGAAAGAGGTGCTCTGACTCAGACAGAGTTGGTCAAATATTCCAACCCGAGACACGGCAACTTGCTTTTCTACGACATGCGGGTTTGTGTCAATTAGCAACAATGGCCACTCCCCCAGCCTTTGCAGCGCTGGCTCGCTCCAGTGCGCGGACAAGCCGGCTCCAGCAGACATACGCAGCCGGATCCAGACGATATGCAAGGCAATTCACGACAAGTCCACGAGCATCATTCCGCCAATCCGCTCCAACACGACAGAACAGGGAGAAGTTCCGGTCGAAGCTGGGGTCTGCATTGAAGAACACTAAGGTCCAATGGTACCCCATACCTGTAGGACTGGGCATCGGCTTCTTGGGTCTGGTACAATTCTACAAGACTCAGGCTCGAGAGAAGGAAAGGATTGAAAGGGAAGCAGAGGAGGGACAACCAGGAGAACCAGGAGCCCGACCCAAGAAACGGCCGAGGATAAGGCCAGACGGACCATGGTAAGCACCTGCTTAGTCCACCTTGCAACACCACCAATGACTAGAGCTAACTTCGTACGAATCAGGCAAGTCAGAGTCATGTCTACGTTGCCGCTCAAGGCTCTATCTAGACTTTGGGGCAAGTTCAATGAAATCAACATACCGTATTACCTGCGCGTTCCCGGTTTCAAGCTGTACTCCTTCATATTTGGTGTCAATTTGAGCGAGGTAGCTGAGCCCGATCTTCACGTCTATCCCAATCTCGCAGCCTTCTTCTACCGGAACCTCAAACCTGGTGTTCGCCCACTTGACCCCAACCCAAACGCCCTGCTGGCACCCTCTGATGGACGAGTGCTTCAGTTGGGGCAGATCGAGGGTGGTGATATCGAACAAGTCAAGGGCATGACCTACACCATAGACGCTTTGCTTGGCAAGAATACGCCAACGCCCAGTATCTCTAGCCGTGGCTCAGGAAGTTCAGGGGAATCCACGGATCCCAAACGCGCAGACAAGGCTCTTCAGAGCGACGAAGAGATCGTCCGATCGGACGAAGAATTCGCACGCGTTAACGGCATATCTTATTCACTGCCTAGCCTGTTTTCGGGAGACAAGAAGACCCAAAATAAGAGCAAAGGAATCGAGGATCAATCTACGGACACTGACAAGCCAAGCGCAGTATCTGAAGTTCGCGCCGACCTTGCGTTGGGAGAGAAGCCCTGGTACGACCTTATCTCATCAGACAAACGCAATGGCCTTTATTATGTCGTCGTCTATCTTTGCCCCGGAGACTATCATCGATTTCACTCCCCCACGAACTGGGTTGTTGAGAGGCGCCGTCATTTCGCTGGAGAACTCTACTCTGTTTCGCCCTACCTACAGCGCACACTACCGGGCCTATTCACACTGAACGAACGTGTCGTTCTGCTGGGCCGGTGGCGGTGGGGTTTCTTCAGCTATGTGCCCGTGGGTGCAACAAATGTGGGCTCCATCAAGGTCAACTTTGATAGGGAGCTACGAACTAACTCGCTGACAACCGACACGGCTGCCGATCGGGCCGCTGAGGAGGCCGCTGAGCGAGGAGAGCCCTATAGCGGGTTTGCGGAAGCCACGTACGAGGCTGCGAGTGCGGTGCTTGGAGGCCACGCACTGAAGAGGGGAGAGGAAATGGGTGGTTTCCAGTTAGGCAGCACGATTGTGCTTGTATTCGAAGCCCCCCTCAACGAAATACCAGGCTCCCAAGGCGGATTCCGCTGGGCTGTGGAAAAGGGCCAGAAGGTCAAGATGGGCCAGGCGTTAGGATATGTCGAAGAATGATGTCGACACAATTCACCTCTGAAGCAGGCACATACGCAACTTTTGTGTACAAACCAATCGATAGGTTGTTGGTGAACGTGGGGAGTAATATCTCAAAGCACCAGGGCATAAAGAATTTAGGCATCAACGATACATCAGCAAATGGGAGTGGTCCATCAAATCATTGTACAATATATCACTGTATAAACTATATTCTGATGAAGGGGTCTGAGATGAGCACACTTTGCATTGCCATTCACATCCCAAAATCGATTAGGGACTTGAGGATGTATTTCGTCTCGTCATCCACTTATTACCCCAGAGTTCGATGATTTCCACTCAAACTCAAAATGACGACGAGGAGACAAACATCTCAACCCCGGGTTTTGCCACATCGTTAATTGCACTTTCCACCCTCAAGAGTCGCTTTCGCACTGCGATTCAAGCCGCCGACCGGGAGGAGTGGAGCCCCGTTGGGCGTTGTATTTCAACAAGAGAATTTTTTTCCCTTTGACGTAAGAAGAATCTCCAAGGCTACGACCACCGACGCCAGCCGGTATCGCTCACCATTGGGAAGAGTTGAGAGTACCTAATGTAGTTAATTGGTCGCGATGATTTGAGGAAGATTGATCTTTCGAACGTCATCTTGCTTCGCAGCTCATTATATGGAAAGCCGCTTATAAGAGCCCGATTATTCCGTCTTTAGCTTGTGGACAAAGCCCAAACCCACATCCAACGACCCTTTTGTTATTATCTGCTAACAGCTCAAAATAACAAAGTTGCCATCAATCACGAATTATAACCATGGGGTTTACATCTGTTGTCAGAGGCAATGAGGCCTACCCGGAATCCCGAGTTCTCATCATCATCACTGGCGGTACGATATGCATGCAACCTGCAGAAGACGGCTCGCTAGTGCCAGTGGATGGGTTCCTGGAAAATGCCATGGCCAACCGGCCATCGTTCAACGATAGGTCTGAAAGAGGTGAGTGCAAAGAAAACAAGTGAGAATCGTAGGACTAACCCGACTTGCAGTCAAACTCAGTGCTATAAAAGATGGTCAGAAGATCATGCTCAACAGTCTCCGGACACCACCAAGCTCCTACTCGCGCCACATCCGCTACGGTGCCCTAGAATTCTGCCCATTACTCGACTCCTCGAGTATAAGTTCCGTGGGCTGGACGCAAATCGCCACAACCATCAAAGCCAACTACCACCTCTTCGACGGCTTCGTCGTGCTGCACGGGACCGACTCCCTCTCCTACAGCGCCTCGGCGCTCTCCTTCATGATGGAAGACCTCGGCAAGCCCGTCGTACTAACCGGCTCGCAAGCCTCCATTTTCGCCCTCCAGTCCGATGCCGTGGATAACCTGCTCGGCTCCCTCATCATCGCGGGTACCTTCGTCATCCCCGAAGTCTGCCTCTTCTTCCACCACACGCTGTTCCGCGGAAATCGCACCACCAAAATCTCCGCTTCGTCGTTTGAGGCCTTTGCTAGCCCTAACTGCGAGCCCCTTGGCAAAGTGACGGGCGTGGGCGTCAACGTCAATTGGTTGCTTGTTCGCAGGCCGACGAAAATCGCTCAGTTCCAGGTTACGCCATACCTGGACATGGCGCACGTGGCCTGTGTTCGCATGTTCCCCGGTATCCTCCCCGAGATGGTCGATTCCATCCTCAGGGTCCCCAACCTCCGCGGACTCATCCTCGAGACGTTCGGTATGGGCAATGCCCCCGCCGGCGTCGACGGGAGTCTGACCAAAGTCATCAAGAGCGGTGTTGAGAGGGGCGTCGTCATCGTTAATATCAGCCAGTGCACCAACGGCTTTGTCTCGCCGCTGTATGCACCCGGTTTTGCCCTTGGGAAGGCCGGCGTCGTGTTTGGTCATGATCTAACATCCGAGGCTGCTCTGACAAAGTTGTCGTACTTGCTGGCTTTGGACTTGAAGCCTGCCGAGGTGTCGGCGAGGATGTCGTCGTCGCTCAGGGGCGAGCTGACGGAGTTCAGTGTTCCGGAGTTTTCGCACCCGGCTGGAGCTGTGGAAGCGTCGAGTCGGTTGTCCGGCGCGGAGGCGGCTTTTACTTTGTTAGGGTACGCCATTGAAAAGGGGGTACGCATTTGAGACTATTTCCTCGATTGATCTTTCCTTGAGCGATGGAGTTGGTTTCTAGAGCTACGAGACGCAAGCATCAATTAAGTTGCAAACCACTGACTGACTGGCTCTGATATAGGATTTCCAAGCGGTCAAAGAACTGTTGGAAGGAGACAATATCAACTACCAACTACTCAAGAGAGCGGATTATGCTGTAAGCAATGTCACCCAACCCCAAAGCCCCTTTTCTTCTTCTTTTTCTCTACGAGTCTGCGTGCTGCATTGGTCTCTCTTATGAGATATCAATACTCCTTGCAAGCGACCACACCGGATAAAATATTTCGACTCAAGTTAACCGTTGTCTCTATCTCTATGTCCTTTGTTCCGCGCAGCTTATCTTGCTGTTTCTTTTCAACCCCCAGATCGTAAAGAAGCACTCGTATTATGCTCCCGAGAAGCAACCGAATACTAACACCAAAGCTCCAACCAACAGGGAAACACGCCAGTCCATCTAGCGGTGGTCGGCCCCGAAGTAGAGATTCTAAAGGAACTACTGCTCCGAGGTGCAAGTGTGCATGTCCGGAATCGCGCTGACAACACTCCGCTGTTCTTGGCCGTCAAGTGTGCGAAGCATGATATGGTGGAGTTGTTGAAACAGGCGGGGGCGCTGTTGACGGAGGCGGAGGCTGTGAATACGCCTATTTGAATGACTAGGAAAAAGCTAGGAAGAGGATTGGGTGAAGAGATGAATGCTGGCGCAACGACATATGTTCGACTAGTGATCCTGCTTGTCTTCTGGATAGTTTCTTCCAAGCTGATGAATAGACGGCCATGACGCCTTAAAATGGATGGCATAACGAATTCACTCGAGTTATGTGTAAGTGATGCAGGTCTGTTTTTCAGTCATCTCATATGGGCCCCGGTAACGATTAAGTGTCAGTCACCATGGCAAAACCTACGTGAAGCTAAAGTGAAGAGCACACGCAAGTGGTTTGTGGCCATCGTACGCTCAATGGTCACTGGATATAATTTCAAGAAGGTTAGAAGCAATGTCCCTGGTTACTTAGTTGATTTCTTAGTTTACAGAAGGTGCAAGCTGGGGTTCAGCAGAAGCCCAGAGTGTTCGAGACACCCGAAATCAACCACTATGTCCAGCGAATGCATTATTCAAGTGAATCCAGGCCGCTTCTGCTATAATTAACTCAGTTTTCGATGTCCCATCCTTATCTATTGATTTAGATATCTGTTAGATCGAATATCTTCGAAAACCTTCGCTCAAAGAACCCCCTGAATCACACATAGACATCTGGAAAAGGACAATTGGCTAGAAATGACCTTGTTATCTACCGATTGTCGAAAATATTTCCTCTTCTTCGTTTTCATAACAAACAAAGCGAACGATAAAGCGCAGCCATTACCAACACAGCAAACCGGCGACTTGTTGCTGGTATTGGTATTTCTACTCCAGGCGCTCTCCTGGCAAATGTCTCCCACTTTCAAACTTATTTGCTTCCTTAATTACTGAGCACCCTTTGACTCCCTCACCCATTCAACTCTGACCAAGAAAACCAATCCCGCGATCCTTGCAAAACCCCACGACTACCACTACTGTAATCACGACATCATCAGCACCTCATCAGAACAACACCACAACAACACCCCAATCATGTGCAAACAATACTACTACCTATCCCTCTGCTCCAAACCCAAGTGCGACGCGATCCTCGGCCGCAAACACCGAAACCGCTATTGCCGTTCCGCCCTCGACGCACGCAGGCTGGGCCGCTGCACTGACGGGGTCATGGTTATGAACGAGTTCCGGCATTGCGAGACGGGGCCTTGCCGACGGTGTAGGACCGAGACGGGAACGGAACCGAGGGTTGAGAGCGAGAAGACGGTCGTTTTGGATGGCTTTGGTGTGTCTCTGGCCGGACCGGCGGCAAGACGGAGGGGGAGTGAGGTGGAGGTAAAAAGGACTCGAGGAGCGCAGACTAAGGCGTCGAGATCCCGAAAGTGCGCTGGAAGTGTGTTTGAGTTTGCCTTTGAGAACGCGCTGGGAAGGGAAGTGGAAGATTTCGACAAGAGTCAGAAGAAGGATCTTAAGCGGAAGCGGAAAGGAGGTTCCGAGATGAAGCGAGACAACCACGACTTTGACAACGCGGAAGAACGGTTGATGATTGTCAGTCCAGCGAATAGCACGTTTGACCTCCACGAAGATCGTGCCGTTGGTGAGCAATGGGCAGGGGTATCGAGAGAAAGAACTGTTGACAACTTTTACTACGGTTTCGAGAGCGTAGCTAAGGATGATCGCGACTCGGGATATTGCGCGGGAAGCGCCGAATCGAGCGTACTTTGTTCACAGACACCAGATATATGCCTGAAGAACCCATCATGAGACTTGAGAACTTAGCAATGAATAATTAGAAGCGGCATGCCCACTATCCTGTTGGTGTAGGCCACGCGAAGCTTGAACTACTGCCATATGGCGTTAACCCTGTGCGTGTTGTCGCCTAGTCACCAAGATTTTGACTGGAATACACTACGGAGGAGACATAGTTGAGATGTTTTTCAAGAATTTACATAGCATGATCTTAAGATACCGCTACAGAAGAGTTGATGGCTTCGGTTGGTATGGAACAATCCTGTAGAGCTTTGCACATTGGATATCAGGATAGTGAACCGCTTACAATGACCAACAACGGCAGTATCGAGTACTACAACTCGAATTTGGGCCCGGTAGAGACAAAGGACCTGATTTCTGTAACAATGAACAGCAGATTACTCCAGAGTATTAGCGAACAACGTACGTCCAGACTATGACTTCGTGATCTTCTGTGGTATCTCAAGATATCAAGCATCAGTCCGTTCGAGGTTTCTCCTCAAATTCCATTGGAAAAGAGGGGAGTCGTATGTTTGACGGATTATTAGTCCGAGATTACATCCAATACTGTGGAATAAAGTTATGGTTGAGCCTCGATATGATGAAGGGGTGGTAATGATCGGTATTCTGAATTATATCGAAGAGCTTCGTCATATCTCGCGGGTACGCAGTATGGACCAAGAGCATTTAAATATTATCAAGATAGGGTTGGACAGGTGATGGGAGCGATCGATCTTGGTGGACAATAATGCAGTCCGACTACTTTCTGTGTTCTGACTGTGTGGTTGTTAGGCAAGACGTGTCAAATTATTCTGATCGATGTTAGGACAAGGACCAAGAGTCTCTGAAGTCGGTCGAGTGATTCCGTATAGGTCAGCAGCCCTCTCCCATTTCTCAGGTGGAAAATGGAACTGTTCCTGCATCTGTCACCAGTCTACCACGCGCGCCCTGCGAAGCACACTCTACTGCCGCACGACGTCATGCGTGAAACGGCAACATCAACCAGCGCTGAACGGCTTTTTTCTTGTGTTCCACGTCCCCGGCTGTTCTGGTAGTGCCTCGGAACTGCTTCCAGCCGCAGAGAATACAAATCTGCACGTCGGGCAACTGTTCCAAGTACAGCTAGCATCATGATGGTGCTATTTACAGTTCATGGCGATCTCACTTTGCCGATTCAACAAATGGCATATGAGAGTCCACGTGTTGAAGAAATCGTCCGAGGGGTGTATGCTCTTGCCAATTTGTTTGTCTCGTCGTTGACGGGACTGCGGCAACGACAGGGGCGCGGCCGACGTGACAGGGCTAGCGAATACGAGGTTTTTTTTGGCTGCTCCCACCCAAGATCGCCACTATGGGCTAGGAACATCGGAATCGTGAGATAAGCGGTGAAAGGTACTACCCGCAGGTGATCCTCTTGCTAGAGAAAAAAGGTTTCGATTCTTTGTGTTGATTGGGGAGCAACGCGTTCGTGGTTGCTCTGATATCCAGGGAGATTGGTTCTGATACAGACGACATACCACATACTGACACCAACTAGTCTACAAGTATTCATAACGCCAAGGCCGATCCGAGTAATTTGGTAATGTTTGAATGCTTCTAGGGGTCAGAGAAATTCCTCTCTGCCTGCCTGCCCGCCGCTGTAGGCGCTCCTATCTGCGGATTTGCGGTAGATTAACGTGCTTATATACACGTCGCCTTTGGCCTCAGCGACCAAACTTGCAACTATAATTGAAATGATTTTTATTCTGAAATTCCCCTCTGTAGTCCCTTGAATTCCCGATAAACCTCGTTTCAGACAGCTCTGTTCGCTCTCGCGGCTAATGGAAACTGGCAAAGTTGCCCACCATGAGGCGGGAAAATTGAGAGATAGAAATTCACGACAGATGCTAGCTACTATAGCCAAGTTGGCGAACTTTAAGACAGGATCCCATGTATCATCCAGGGGTATATATGTCATGCGTTGACTGCAGCATGAACTAACGGCAACTCCGCAGCTCCCCTGTTAGCTTCAACGGTATCCATCATTGTCTAGGCAGGAGTTGTTAGGAAGCATAATGTGCATATGCACCCAACCTGTAATTCAAGACAATATTGTGACAGCGGCTAAAGACAGTGAACAGCCGCTACTGCATGCTACAGTCATGCATTCATGCATTCATGCCTGAACTGGATACCTTACTAAGGAGAAGCGCTCAAGTCAACCAGGGATAGCTTCGCATTGTAAGATACCGTCATAGAAGAGAATCCACTGAAGTACTGTTACTGCACTCCAAAAGGGCAATACCGGCGACATAACATGGGAGAGCCGGGGTGGCGAGGGGAGGGGAGGCGGGGGGTGTATGTGATCAGCATCACCTCTCAAGCGAGCGCACGGAGTCTGAGAACATCCATATACTGGTGGTGGGCATGGAAAAAATCTGAACGACTGTTGTAGACCTTGACACGCCTCACATGGCCCTAATCAGACCCAAGGACTCGGGTCATAACAGAGGAGTTGTCGTTCAGCGTTCAGTATCGACCTTGTCTAGACTTCTGAGTCAAGTCTACCGCAGGGCTCAGACGGGGGAGGAACCCATGACTTTCCTTCCAATTGAGTTCAAGAGCACGAGATATTGAATCAGACCAACTTATCCTTTCGCAAGAAGGATGTTGATAACTATCTCGGGACTATAGTCTGTACATTACGTCCAAAGATGCTTCGACAGCCATGGTCCGTTGAGGAAATGCAACAAGACTCAAGAGACAAGCTTCAGGTTATGAACGGGTAGGTACGGACCAGGATGAAAACCTAGCATACCCAAGCGAACTAGACATATATAGTCAATAATGCTGCCACGCAAACGCAAACCAGCATGGTCTCCCCTACCTCTACATATAGTAGGTCAGATCTCTTACCTGAACAAGTAGGTTGAGTCGCAGGGCGTCTCAAGACCGGCAACAATAGCCGACCGAACCGACACCGACACCGCATATGCATCTATCCCGTTTTCTCCTTCTTCCGTCACGACATCATTGACAGATTATGTTTACCAGGTAGGTGCTAATAAGAAGTATGCTAAGAATAAACACACACCCCAGGCTAGCGTTGGCGGGGAAATACCTAGTCCCTGTTAGTTCTGGGTCCAACGTTCATCATACACTCCACCACGCAGCGGAATTCCTATAACGAACTCAGAACACCATCATCCACCGTTCAAACACAGAAAGTTTTGGACTTCATTTATTATTATTGAAGCTTAAACCCATTTCCGAAACCCACTTATCTCGGATCATCGTGATCATGGGCGCGTCTTCACAACGTAATTCTCTGACTTGGCTACCCCAGTATATGATGCTGAAGTGACTTGACTCGCTTCAGGTCCGCTTCCCCGAAGCGCATCAATGATAGACAAGACGGCACGACGCAATAGGTCTCATAGGGCTGTGGCCGATACTACTCTGCGTTCTTCTCTTCGCCGTCTCGGTGTTCTTGGTTCCTGTCGCTGTCGGTGGTGCCGGAATATTTTGCGATACTTGTATCAACTCCTCATGGCCAATGCGCGTGAGACGGGCAGGTAGTTAGTTATTAGGCAGTGAAGCCTCCCGAGAACGGAATACCCAGGCCCCGTAGGACTGTGGCATGACCCATAGGAGGGTTTCAACCTGCTAAGAATGCCTGTTCGTCTCGAAAGGCAATCTTGCAAGGAAGCCTGACATCGAACCCTATGCATGCAAGCCGTGGCCTCAAGCTTCGTGATTTCAACATGGCCCACTTCAATTCGATAGTGTCAAGTTCGAAATCGATGAGAACCGAGCGCGCGGTATTTGCCTCAGCCTCACCAAGATCGCTCGTACATCCCCAGCTGCGTCTCGATCAGAGCGTTGATTGGGCCGTGCCCAACCAGCACCCTTAGTTCCAGCTCGTAAAATCTTGAACACTTGGTGACATATGTCTATTTCGAGACGCCACATGCCTACACCCAAGAAAGAGAAAAGGAGCGGGAGAGGTTTCGATAGTGTAGTGGACAGACGCGATGATACCTTCCACTGCCCACCATGTCGACTTCCTCCCATCCTACCCATATCGGCAGTTGAGACATGGATATCTTGATTGCCAACCGATAAATTTGGGGAAGGTGCTAGTGCAGTCCTGTTTGCTAGTGCCAGACTTATTCCTACTTAGTCTTCGTTAGACCTAGACCTTGCCAAGGCCTTAACCTGGATGATTTATTTCAGTGGGCCGACCTTGAAGTTGACTCATGACCCTTGAATGTGATTCCCGCGAGAAAAACATGACTTCGGCCATGGTTCACCCAATCCACGATTTGACCAGGCGGATACGCGCGCCGTCAAAAGGGCAAGGACTAGCCGTTGGTGTTAACGCCCGGGGTTAGGCCAACGTTGAGCTTCAGTTCGTTAGGGTTAAGGATGGCGTGGGTGGGTGGGTGTATCAGACGGGTTTCTACCCGTCTTCCAGAACCCGCCTAGACTTCTTATGGAGGCTGGAATTGATTCGTCCCATTTTGATGGACCTGACGGCGGCGGCGGCGGCGTTGCACACCGTTGACTGTACACCCTCACCGTGGCATTGCATGTCAAGGGCACGTGCAGGCAGAGACATGGATGAGAGTAGTAGACGTTGTCGTTACAAGGTTGTCAAGGTGATGTTGTCTCACAGGGAAAATAAAGCGTTGCGAGAAGTGACAATCTGTTTAGTAAAGGAACTCATATTGTGATTCAATTAATATTAAAATTAGAATCCTCGAGTTGATGGCGGAGACTTTCACCGGTTTGGTTGGGACCGTCGCCATGTGCCTTACATCAACCCACAAGTCCATCCTAATATCTGATGCACCTGTGTGCTCGGATTCCATCTTGCATCTTCAGCATCGCCGCATGTGCGCTGAATTGCTCCCATCGCTTGTCAATCACAAGCAACTCCAAAAACGCCGTGGCAAGTTTCTCTCTTGTTGCTTGCTGTGCTCAGGTCACCTGCCTGGTTCGATTTTAACATCAAAGCCGATGCCACCGTATCCATCCAAAAATCAAATAGTCCCAAAATCATGACATAAAACGCCGCCCAATGCAGTGATGAACCGTCCAAATTGGTCATCTTTTTGTTTTCCCAAACGAAGAGCTAAAACAGTCGCTATGCAATTTGGAATGGGGGGGTATCCTGGTAATGATCAAACAGTGGTCTAGCCGGAAGGAGTGGATGAGATTCTATGCCAAGATAGAAATCGTCGTAATTCGTTGAAAGAATGTAATGGTCTATAATGCAGATCCTCGCGTAGGGAGTGTCTAAATTTGGGTATCATTCGAGTCATAAGGAGCGTCGTAAGTTTGTTATTTAAGCAGTAGGTACTATGCGTTGATCTCGTAAAGGAATGTGTTCGTCGTTGTGTCGATAGAGACATGTGGTGGTGGTGGCGGCGTCGTTGGCCGATCCTGTCAAAGGAGTGTGGGTGTACAATGGCGTCTGTGGGAATGCTAAAACTTGTATTAACCGGTGTGGGTTGTGCGGAGGTTATCGACTAGTCGGCCCTGTCCTTGCCTCTGCCCTGAAAAGGTACGGAGGAGGTTGATGAGGTGTGGCGGTGTTGAGGAGGCGGAAATAGCTGAGGCAACATGAATTGAGGCGACGGCGCCGAAGTAGACATAGGCGTTGTGGATTCGGTAGGGTAACCATGCATCAGCTCAGGGTGCAGCCACGGCGAGGGAGCGCGGGAGATCGGCTGAGGCGACAAGACGGAAGGGGTCGCCGAGTTGTCCTGTTGAGGCATTTGGAATTCAAGCGGAGTAAAAGTGGGAGTTGCGGAAGCAAAGCTGGTCCTGAGCGCCATTGGTCAATCATTGTGTCCTCAGCCTGTCGGGCAATCCACGACTTTGTTTGTTTAGATCCACACGGTTTGGATTGGAGAGACAAACCCGACGCCATAGTTGCTGGATCCCGTTGAGCCCAGAGGCGGATACCCCGTGAAGCCCTGATCGTAGGAGCCAAAATCTTCATTGTCGCTGTACACGATTGACCCCTCCCCAAATGTCGACGAAGCCGGACTGTATCCCCCGTAGGATGGCGAGGGGATGTTGAGATACTGTTGGCCGGTAAAGGGCGACGACAGGGCCAAGGGGCTAACTGCACTGCCAGGCTGCTGCTGCTGATGTTGCCGCTGCTGCTGCTCATGCTCGGGTGCCAGCATGCCCGTCGACAGATCCTCGGTGCTCCAGCTGAAAGCCGGGTTGTCGCCATAGGGCAGATACGAGGTGGTCGAGGGCGGGGTGCCTTGCGACATATTGTCCGCCACGTAGAAGTTGGGCGGGTTAAACTGCGGGAACGACGGCGTGCGTGTAGGCTGGAGCCAGCCCATTCTTTGACGGAACTCGTTAACCGTGTCGATGGGGAATTCCATGAGCGTCAATGGCGTCTGCAGGTCGCCTTCGAGACTCCCGGAAACGTTGATCGACAGCAGCCGTCGCGCAATTTCCTCAACTGGACCAATCGAAAGGCTGCCAAAGTAGGCGGCACCAATCTCGGGGAAGAGCCTCTCCATCAGCAGAGCTGCCGTGTAGTAATGTGCGATGATGATCAGGGCGCTAGGCGACGTCCCATTCTGCTTCAGGCACATGACGGGCAGCCAGAAGAGCCAGGTCCGCAGAGGCTGAAGCCGGTCAAACTGCTGCGACACCGACTGGATGGGGCTGACCTTTTTGGCACCCTTGAGGAAGGATACAAGCTGTTGAACGAGCTTGGTGTCCTCCTTATTGTGCTTGAGGTGAGCCTCGACCCTGGAGAGTTGGTTAATGGTGCGCTGGAAGGCGTCGAGATCCTCCTTTCGCGGCTGGTTGGGCTTGTGGTCCGGGCTGGGCGAGGGGGGGGCGGTGGGAAACGTGCTGCTTTCGGCGATGAACTCCCCGAATTGGGACTCGTGCTTCCACGGATCCATGGCGTCGATCACCTGTATCGACCCTGTCAGCTTCGCGCCTTTCAAACATGTTTGCGCGCGTGTTACCTACCGACGAGGTCCCTTGCATGAGTTGGGTCCAGCTTCGCCTATCGAGGGGGTCAGTACAGGGGTCTTGGAGCGGGTAGATGCATTGTATTGGCTCACCAATCTGTGGCTTGCCACGAGAGCACAAGCGAGGCTGCTAGAATAGCGTCCGACGTCTCGCGCGAAAACGAGCCAATGGCTTCCTGCAGGCCCTTGAGCGCAATGCCGCGATGCTCATACGCCATGTTGCCCACCATCGGGCAGTCTGTCAGAAAGGCAATGTGCATGGCAGAGAAGCCAAGCAGCGCATGCATGACGTAGCCGTTGGTCGCCCCAATCTTGAGGATACTGTATCCAAGGAAAAGAAAAAGTCAGCGCCCCCATCTGGTGCAAGGTTGCGTGCAGGTCACACGAGACAGTAAACGTACGTAGGGATTTGCCGGGTCCACAGCGTGAAACCATTGGCGTCGATGGTACCGAGCTCGTGGCAGATGGCGGCAACGTGGAAAATCAACCTGAGGTCCTCAACCGAGAAGCAGTGAGGAGCAGGCGTGGGGTAGATGTTGAGACTCGGGAAGGGGAAGATGCCGGTGCGCTGCCACTGTTCGATGGCTGCCTCGATCTCTGAATTCCACATCAGATCCGGCTTGTCAGGTGTAGCAGACCTGTCGTCCTGAACGGGAACGTCGTTGTATGGGCATCGAACTTTGTGCTTGGTGCAGTTGCGGCTGAGGCGTTTTAGTTAGTCAACATGAGTTAGTTGGGGGCCGCAGACGGAATCGCTAACCATTGAGGGAAGTTCTCATCACATCGGATGTGCCGGCGCTTGCTAAATCACCAGTCAGTCCAGCTCCGCCAAACAAGCCACCCCACCCGTTTGACGTACCAATTGTCACAGCCCTTGCGGGACTTGGTGTGACTGCGTCGAGGAGGACCACCACCTGGGCCAGCCATTGTAAAAGCCGTGAAATAAGGTTGAACGAGAGAACTAAGACAGCAGCTGTCAGCATTGGGATCCGTAGGGCCTTCGTGCCACCCAAGTGACGGGTGACACGGAAGCAGACTTACATGAATCAGGGCACGGAAAGTCGTGCCAAGTGAAAGCGAGCGAATAGGTTCCGAGGGGATCCGAGGCAGATCTTTCTCAGGACACTTCACGAATTTGTCGAGGTTTCGAGTGCAAACTACTGTTGCCGTGTTCAATACCACAATATAATAGTGAAACTATCTCGAGAGGCAGAACATAGGCTCAATGAGCTTAGGACTTCTTGATGGGGAGCGGTGGGGTTCGGGTTAAATAGTGTGTATATCAAGAGTAGACGGGCACGAGGTAGATGGCGGCGTCGCGGACAAGAGTCTTGAGATTTCTTTTCTTTTCCAATATTCCCTTCCAGGTGTTTAAAGCGACCGTGTGTTCCCTTGGGATGGAGGCAACGGGTCAACGAAGGTGAACTGCTAAAGCCGGGCTTGGTTATAAGCGACTGATGCCTGGTTGAGGTTTTGCTGGGAGGGGCAGGCAGAAGCTGTCTTATAAATTCCGGGCAGAGGCGATTTTCCCGGGTTTGATGGCGAGAGTGTGTCGAGGTCAAGTCTCCGGAACACAAAAAAAGGAACAAGCGAATGACAGGAGTCAACGAGGACTTCCTAAAGGTTGGTGAGGTAGCGAGTGTGTGGTTGAGGTGGTTGAGAGGGCTGTAATGGATTGGGTTGAAGGCTAATACAAGAGGTGAGGGGGATTTTTTCGGATGGGGGACCCAAGGTCGTTAAATAACAAGCGCCCTATGGTTGGGCATAAGAAGGCTGTGCGGCGACAATCTGACTTTCCCCAAAGGGACGAATACCAAAAACCAAGGGACGTTACGTGTGGAGGGCTGGTGCTGATGCACTGCCGTTAGTAGCAAAATATTGCATAATTAAATAAAACCTGACAAGACGCTTGTGGGCCAAGGGTAGCCCAGAATCTTGGGTACCAGTCGGCCTGCGAGCCCGCCAACAACAAAAACAAGTCACAGCTCGTCCTCCTCGACCGACCGACTCGCTACGGCTACACTAGGGCAAACCTCGATGCAAGGTGTAAGGTGCAGGGTGCAAGGGTGACAGTGGGCCTGTGCCAGATGCTTGTTCGTGGCGGGTGGGAATGGATATGCACTGGGGCGTGCAGCGAGATGTGTGATGGGATCATTGTTCTGAGGCATGGATGGCTGCTGGGATGGAGTGGAATCGTTCGTTGTTCAACGAACCCTGCCAATAGCAACCACTCAGAAGAATAGGCGACGGAGGGGCGGGGAGGGGACGGCCTTAGACCTATTTGGGTATAGCGGCAGAACGGAGGCGAAGCCGTCTTGTTCTTCAGTTCTCAGTGTTCAGTGCTTAGTGCTCAGTGCTCAGCGCGTGCTCAATGCTTCATCAGTGCTGGGCGCCTACGGATCCTCACCTGCACCAAAAAAAGCGTTAGCAGAGGCGGCATTACCACCACCATTATCATCAAATCATGTCTTGGTGCATACGGGTAAATTTGTGGGTGTCCTCGGGCCCAGCGATATTGTGAGGCCACTAGAGAGGAAAGCCCGCCCACAGTCTGCATCGCACCGACACAGGACGATAAAGTGATGCATTTGATCAGTTGACAATTTGTCAGTCTACTGACAGGGTGTTAGGATTGACGAAGATGAAAACTGCCGTTCAATGCTTTCCGCTTACTTCCAGTCAAGCCCACTGTGACGTTTTATCCATGCCTCTGCTTGACTCGGAGTCCTCGGGCGGTAGTGACCTAACTATTGAGACTATCATCAGACTTGGACGGACGACTTCGGGCCCAACGTGGCTGTGAAGACCACTTGGGCACCCCCATCTGGAACTATTCAGCGAAAACGGATGGCAATTCGTTCGCCAGTCATGTCATGCACTGATTCATTACGAGTAGAATGCACGCGCGATTCGTCTGATGCGTTGCGTTGCGCTGACAGTTTTCATTTCGATCTCGGTGCTTCCTTTGCCAATATGCATTCACCCCCATGGTCGCAATCATTCCGATGGCAACCCGTCATCTCCTACGCTAATGGTATCCTTGGTGGGATGGTGTGGTGACATGCATAGTAGGCTCAGGACCTTCTCATTCAGACAGACACTACACTTACAAGCTTGCCAACTGTGCTGATGAGGTCCAAAGTGCGGAAGGCCCCGAAACAGTTAGTCGGGTTGAGTGGACGCAACCTATGCCATGACATCTACTCAGAATCGACCGGCAATCTGGCTCTTTCTGCATTGGATGCACATTTTCGTGGCCATGTGTGAGGACACGATACGTTGACGATGAGTTTTACTGTAGTTTACAGGTGGTCCGCGTCTCCGTCTGAATCCACTAGGCCTCAGGATGGCTGGACAGTACTACATGTCATGCCAACACTGGCTTCATGTCACACAGAGAACACTCACCGATAGTGATTGGACCCCAACTTGATGTCGATCCTTGGCTCTGCGCCCCGTCACATGCATGAACTACTTCAGCACCTTACTATGCCAGTGTCGGGAGATCCGGTACTCGTAGTAGCGTCGGAAGAGTGTATGCCAATATCGCGGCCACAACCACATGATGGGGAATTGCTATGGAATATTGGCTGCCGCAGATCCGAACAAAGATGCCAAAAAGCCGCCTGAGATAGTACCTATTAGCTAAGTTACATGTTTCTTAGCTTTGAAACAGGCGATGGAAATCCACCAAAGTGGCAGACTAAAAATCGAATGGTTCTTAACGGTTTACGTTAGCAGTTGTAGGCTGCCGGCGATGCTGGAAAACGGCGCCAAATACTGAGAGATAGAGTACCATCGGTTTCAGGTCAGTACAAATGAGAAAGGCCCAAGCTGTCAAACAATCTCCAACAGGGATGACTACCGGCTTTGGCATTCCACATTCCGTTAGTCCGTCAGGAACAGCTAGAGGAGCAGGAAGGGAGGAACAGATGATACAAAATCTCCGTTGGAGAGATTAGGCCCGCCATCCGTGCATGTCACTGGAGATTGAACGATGACTCGGGTCGAACATTTATTCAACAGATTGACGATCATTGGATGCCCTGGTTCCAGCTTCATCCAAAAATAGACGGGGCCACTCCAAGGGTTCTACCGCCTCGTCGCGTGCTGTCATACTCGGGTGAAGCCGACAGTGCCAAAGCTGCTAGACAGCGGCAAAACGGTCAAATTACAGCTGACCATAGGCTCCTGGGAGATTGAAGATATCGTGATTGTGACACGCCGATGTCTCATAAACCTGCTTGAACAGATCAGGACTGTGTGAGGTGACAGAAACGGGGGTTGAGCTGATTTGGAGCCAGGATCCTGGACCTGGGGCTAATCCCTTCACTTTTTCAGGGGGACGGCGGACGGGACGGTTATGTCATAGCTGAGAAAAACGTCACTTTGGCGCGACGGCTAGGACAGTCAAGAAAAGCTAAAATCTCTCGACGCCCCACCGGCAGACGTTATGAAGTCGACTTAGCAACCGCATGCAACGTGAGATTTCCATGTTAATCCAAGATGTCGAGAGAACCTTTCGAAGGGCTTCTGGAGTAAGTTCTAGCTTCATGCCGTCGTCTGCAGCGGCAAAAAACCACCCAGGAAATATCGCCTCGTCAACGGCGCGCGCCGGTGGCTTGACGGCCACCGTCGTCAAACTATCACCACTCACGGTGGATAACGGCGAAAGTCAACTGACAACATGCAATCCCGGTATGCAACAATAACAGCATTTCATCAACAAGGAGACGCATTGCTCATACTTCCGCTTCCACTCTATCCGCTGACTCAGGATCCCAATACGGTCTAGTGCACGATATCTCCCCAGAGACGTCTTCTCCTTGGGCGGAATACGCCCCGTACATTGCCATGTTGAAGCTGCTGGTCAGGGTTCCGGAAGAGCGGCAGGGACATGAAAACTAGCCTGGTTTGAGTATAATGGGCCTTGTGGAATCGAACCTTGGGAATCGTTCTATGCGATCCGCCGAGCGGCACTCCGCAGCGCGATACAATACTACATTTTGGCGTTTCCGCCATTCTTCTGCTGGCCGGGGGCTGCGTGCCTGGCATTTTTCTTTCAAATCCGATCTGATGCATGGATTGTCGATTCCCTATGCCATGGCTGCTTCTGGTTGGCTGAAATGGCATTTTCTCGTGTCCATTTTTGGCGTGCCAGCCTACCCAAAAACCCAAGGAGGCACGGATGGCAGGTGCCCTGCAACGCATTTGTGGTATTGATGGCAGCACAGAGCACAGATCCTAGCGTCCACCGTGGTATTTGAGCCGCGGCGCCGCGTGAATCAGTCAATGGGGGTTGTTGTTTGCACTGTGCCAGGTTATGTCCTCTAACTCGGGGAATGCTCCACAGAGCAGAGATTGATCTTTCACCGACAAGCTAACCATGGTCACCTTGGAAATGGCGTACAGAGTCGGGATTGAAGACACGCCGAGTGCGAGATCGTCCACCCCACATACTTCATTCGCAGGTGTAGTCTTCATTCGAGTCAAGTTTTGGTCTTATTCCTTTTAGTCTCTATAGTAACTGCTCGGCCTGCAATGCCGCAGCGAGGAATGCCGCAGCAAGGAATACAGCACTTTTTGAGCCCGGGACATGGATATCGGAAACAGCCTCGGTCTATGCATATCCTCGAAAGTGAAATGCAGTTTCAAGGGTGCCTTTGCTTGGCTCCGATATTTCTCGGGCTTTTACCTAACGACCACGGGGCACTGATGCCTTTCTAATTCGAAATCATCCGGGTCTGGAGCCACTTCACCGGCCTAGCAATTATCGAGCCACAGCGACAAGCCTTCACACAATACCCCGTATTGCATCTGCGACAACAAGTAAGGGACGGCGGTTGGACGTAGGACGGTGGCTGTGGCTGTGAAATAATAAAAGCTAGCGAAGAGGTGCAGGCGCCATAAAGGGTCCTGAGACCCCT